ATGGATATTTACTTGTTGCAGTACCTCTGGGCAATTCATTGTTTAATAAACCATTATTTTATTGGTTTTTGTGCCAGTACTGCAAATCATAATTATTTCCCTAAAGATTTCTCTATGCCACAAAAGTAGGCTGTAGAAATTTGGAGCAAAGGATAGCTCATTAATTGTTTAGATTGTTTTTAGTCAGAAAATGGCCTGCATTACTGTCAAATGCTATTAGGATGTAGAAATGTGAGCCGTGTGTTATGTTTCAAATCTATGTGCGTCATTTTGTCCCCTGTGCCACACATCCCATCATTGGTGCTGTTAGTTCCCAGTCACTGCTTTCTTTCCATCTATGAATGACCCCATTCTAGTGTTTTTAAACGTGCTGGTGCAATGATTGTTAAATTGCCATGCAGGCACTAGAATGAAACGGCTCTACACTTTTGAGAAGACCTTAACAAAGAAAATTCATATTAAAATACAAACTCCTGTATCGTTTCCAATTCAAATAAAATCTACTTTTTGTGCTAAATGCTGCCTTGTCACAAAATTAGATCTTTATCCATTTCATTGCTTTTGTTTTGAAAGAATGCTTCTACAAATGGGTTGTAAAGATAATTTAGGCCCAACCATTCTCTTCATATTATATATGAACACATTTTTCTGGTTTTGACTTGCTTTGCCTTTATTCAGCATGTTTTTCTTGACACTGCTGATCGTACCATAGAAAAGGCTGCATTTTGAAAGAAAAAGGTTGATTTTAATATTTTCTCTTATCTATACCATATACAGATCTAACTATTTAAAAAAGAAAACAAGACATGCACCAAGTATTCACCTCAAACAGTCACTTCATTTTACAATTATACCTATCTTCCCAATTCAGTTGTTGTGCTTTAAATTTTTTTGTTGATCTTATGAATATCAAAAGTATTGTTTAAGCAAAATGTCAGTTCAGGTAATTTAGTGCAGTCAAAGTTGTAACCAGAATTTTAAATGTCTTGTGAGCAGTTTTTTTCAAGCCTGCACTTCATTAGCATAATGTCACCACTCTTGAATGGAAAGATTTGTGTTCTTCCAATGCAAAACTACTCTTTCAGCAGAACATGTATAATGTTGGATCATAACACTAAAATTCTCCCTTAAAGAATCCTGCAGTGTATTTACATTGCGGTCCAAACTCTCTGGATGCCCAGGGCATTAGCTGTCTCACTCCTGACTTGCTTCTGAAATTCTTTCATGGAGATTGATGGGATTACTTCAAAAAAGGAACCCAATCAATCTTTGATCTTTTAATTTAAACTACAAAACCAGCCCATGAAGTCACTTTTAAAAGCAAGGGAAATTGGAGATTTTGTGTTTTTTTTAAATGTTAAAAGAAAGAAGAAAAGATAGAAATGTTAGGAACGAAAGTTAGAAAAGGTAAAAAAAATTTAAATTGAAGGAGAAAGAAAAAGTAACAGAGACATGTGAGCACCGGTAAAGAAGCTTTGCAGAAACAGTTAATACCTAAGATGGGAGTATCCATGGACCTGATGGTATTTGGTAAGAGTTAATGAAAGTTGGGCTTCAGCTGTTGTAAAATCTGATGAGTGAAATAGGCTTGAACGTGTTGAAAGTTTTAGAGACCAAGATAATTGAATGCCTCGAGGCCCCAACGTCCAGGGAGGGGTAGTATATGATGCCATATCTGTGGCTCTGCTTGTATTGAGTCTTGTGTCATCTTGTCAGCAGAAGATGCTGAGCATTGTTTGCCCGTAGGGGATGAAGGCGAGTGGAACATATGGAAAAATTTCCCATCTTCTACTCTTTTTCTTCCCTTAACCCTAACATTTTTAAGCAGAATATCAGTTTGAAAGATTGAGCTTAATGAGCACTGTTCAGTTTACTTTATAAAGAGAAATTAATCCAAAAGTAGCAATGTCATTATAGTCTGAACTGCAATTCCTTTAAAATTAAAATGAATAATTGAAGGAACTAAATCCTTAAGTTGGCCTTGGTAATGACAGACTGTTAGTAACAGACTTGTCTTAAAGCGATCAAAAGGGTGTTTCGAAGTAAGTACAGGAACAATTCTCCCATTGAAACTTTGAGCTCCGAGTCCAGGCTGACACACCAATGCAGTTTTGGAGCATGGTGTGTTGCATTGCTGGAGTTAACAAAATCACAAGAATTTCGAGATCAGCGTGGTCCAACCTTTTGGCTGTTGAAGGCCGGATACTGGATTTGAGAAACATCTGTGGGCTGCATAAGGGCACAGCCTAAGCCCCTGGAGACGTCTCCTGATTGACTCTCTGTCACTGAATTTCAAACTCCTCACATTTGTCTTCAAATACCTTCTTGCCCTGGCACTTCCCTATCTCTCCAACCTGCTTACTCCCCAACCCACTACCCGCTGCCTCTGGCTCCGGCCTCCTGCTTATCCCTCATGCCCTCCGTTCCACCATCGGTGGACGTGCTTTTAGCAACTACGTCCCAAAACTCTAGTGGAGTCCTGTAGCTCAGTGGTTAGAGCACTCGCTTTGCAAGCGAGAGATCTGAGTTCAATTCCAGGCAGGGCGAAACCTTGGGCAAGTTTCCTTACTCCACACGCCTAATAATAATCCCTCCAAAACCAAAAACAATAATAAATTGGTCATTTTCAATCTACGACTGCTTGTGGGACATTGCTGTGCGCAATTGGTTTACACGCTCGCCCACAAATACATACAGTCAATTCACTTTATAGTGTGTTCTGTGAAGCGCTTTGGGACGTCCTCCTGACGTGAAAAGCGCTATATCAAATGCAAGGATTATTATTATTATTATAACACACTTCCTCTATCCCTCAGCTCGGTGTTGTCCTCCGCCACTGTCAAGTGCTTTGGGATGCTGCCCTGCATGAGGGGTGCTATATAAATGCGTTGTTGTTGGCTCGGGGTCTGCGTGTCGCCTGTATTTGTTCCGTGGATAATGAAGTTGGAAATGGTTCACCAGATGACATTATCCCCCGGGTCAAATGCGACCTGCAGGTCACCAGTTGGACCATCCTGGTCAAGCTGAAGGCCCTTCAGCTCATCGATCTCATCCCTCTCCCCCCTCCAATCACAGTATTGTGCTGCTTCTGAAATGAATCTAATGTCCTGATCTTAACCACCTTTCCTGGCAACATGCTCCAGTCACTGATTACCCTCTGTAAAGAATAACTTCCCAGTATCTCCTGAAATTACCCTTTACAACTCTAAACCCATGTCCCCTTGTTCTACAGTCTTGTTGCATCCTAATGTACTGATCTGCATTTACTTTTTCAATCCCACATTTCATAACCTCTATGAGTATATATTCATTTTATATTTTAGACACTTTGATATTATAAGCACTCTGTGAAATATGAGGATTAATAACCAGGCATTACCTCTGTTTAAAACTGCTAGTTGCAGTATGACTGCAGCAGGAGTTACACTGCCATTCTCTCTATTTGAATGGCGTTGTTTTGTGTTGAGTTGCTCCTGAGGGGGAAGTGAATGAGTCAGTAAATGGCCCAGTTTAGGTGATCAGTTAATGTTTAGGATTTATAAAGGCTGGAATGAGGACCATTAATCTGCTTATATGTACGTTGTCTGCAACTATATCTTGTATCCATTGAAACAAATTGAAGAAGATTTTGTTTTTAATCAAATGAACTAGTCTGATTTGATAAAAGGGCTTATGTCTAAAAGAAGAATGCTGCTTTTGTGCCTTGTAGTTTACAGCATTATGTACTGGATGGTGGGTTTAAAAAGGGTTAAAAAAAACAGTATACGCTTTAAAACAGGATTGAAGATCGCCATTTAAAATATTTGTTTTAATGCTGCTTTTAGATTGTGGCTCTGGAGATTTGAAATGTCGAGCCAGACTGGAGGCATTTGAAGCTCCAGTGCTCTTACATGATCTCTGGCACAATACTGTTCTTGGTATATGATCATGATATATATTTTTTAAATGATATGTGCACATGTAAATACCTTAACATCATTATGATATTTGCACAACAATGTTATGACTTCCATGTGGAATGTGACAAGCTCTGTTTGCTTTGACTCCACACCTTTCATTCTGATCGTCTGCATGTCACAACAGCAACAAACAAACAAATTGCATTTATATATTGTACCTTTCACACCGGGAGAAGTACCTAGAGGCAATGGGAGATCTGACTCTTGTCATGGTCTTGGAGAAATTTCTAGCTGGGAAAACTAATGTTTTATATGAAAGAGTTGTTCCTGCCACATGAGGCAAAAGCAATATATGTCATATCTATGTTTTTTCCGAGAATACTCATCGCTGTTTTTATACTGTTTTTATACTGTACCAAATGTGATCCTGGAAACTACTGTAAATTGTATAATTTCCTTTTCTGTCATGCTATTTTAAGCCACAATAAGTTTTTTTGTATTTACTGTATGCTGAATACTGTAAAAATGTAGAACTTTTAGAAAAACTCGACCATGGTAAGTTAATCTAATGTAGCAAATTCACTGTGCAAAAAAAAGTCTCAAACACAGTGTGCAATTAATATCTTAAGTGTCATGAAACATTTTGTGAAAAATGTATCCACACACTGAAAGAAAATATTAGAAAATCTAATCTAATAGAAGATCTAATTACTAGCTTTTGATATGTAGTGCAGCTCCATCATGAAAAGCGCTATATCAAATGCAAGGTTTATTATTATTATTATTATCATAACACACCACATTACAGCGTTGATTCATTTATAATGAAAATGGGGTGTGGAACCTATTTACTGCACAGGGTGCAGCAGGCCAGCTAGCTTCCCACTTGTCAGCCTGCTCTGGTGCTAAAAGTGAATGACTTCCAGCTTGTTAGGTTGACACCAATGACACATGCAGAGCATAGGAAATGAGGTTGGCTAAGGCCAAAACATCTGGAAGTCTGCCATTTTGTTTTTCTGCACTTTAAGAGTGGACAACCACTCACAGCATTTTAATACAAATTACCTGTATAACTTTGTTTCCCCCCCAATTGCCTTACAGGATGAAGAAGAAGAAATTAAACTGGAGATCAATATGCTGAAGAAATACTCTCACCACAGGAATATAGCCACGTACTATGGTGCTTTTATAAAGAAAAGTCCTCCTGGGCATGATGATCAGCTCTGGGTAAGAAACCCCTTTGATAAAAGTGTTGGACATTAGTTCGTAATAATAAATAATAATCTTTAGATTTGATATAGCGCCTTATCACGTCTTCAAGACATCTCAAAGCGCTTTACAGAATATACTGTAAAGTAAATTGACTGTATAATTTGTGGGCGAAATATAAGTCGATTCAATTCTCTTAAGTCACTCCAACCCTGCAGGTTGATCCTTCAGCTGGGAAAAAAAATTGCATTCTTTTTGTAGCTTGTTTAATGCTGAATTCAATTACACAATAAATCTTCTTTTATTTCCGTATTAACAAGTTGCAATCAGTAATGGAAATTTATTAGAAAATAATAGATAGCTGAGCCTGATTGCAAGGCAGTAATTTAATTGAGGTCTTGAGATAACGTCATAAACTATTGAGCGAAGCTTAGAGCTGTTATAACCTCATTTAAATTATCCTGAAATTCCTTGCCTGATATATCAGACTTGCATGATGTATACGATTTCAAGTGTTTGGATTTGTTTTGGTCTGTTTTGATGGCAGCATTTATTAGTGCGAATGTGCAGTATCTGTCCACACCATGCCCTTAATAGGCCGTGATGATGATATAAGAGGATTAACAGTGGTGATATAAATACATCAGGTTTACAGAAACGTACAGTGGATTATTCAGAAGATCTATTTCCTGCGTGCAGTCTTGTTTTTCAGGTGCAGGGGACCTTAGTATTGAAGTTTTAAAATCACGTTATATGAACAAAAATAAAGCTGGTTGGGAGAGTTATGAAAAAGTCATAATTTTTTCTCTTTCGTGTACAATAATTATATGTACCATTCTTGCATTTTACTTCCATAGTACTATCTTAAAATGTTAGGAATAAGGTGAGTAAAAGAAAATTGATAGCCATAAGGCAAGATACTTGTCCATCCAGGACTGTATACATGCTATGGCTCATTGGCTTGCAGTGCTACATATGTCTACCTCCCGGTTTGCTTTGAAGTCCTGTAGCTCAGTGGTTAGAGCACTCGCTTTGCAAGTGAGAGACCTGGATTTGATTCCTGGCAGGGTGAAATCTTGGGCAAGTTTCCTTACTCCACATGCCTGATAATAATCCCTCAATTCATGCCTGTTTGTGGGACACTGCTGTGCGCAATTGTCTGCCGCATTTCGCCCACAAATATACAGTCAATTCACTTTACAGTCTATTCTGTGAAGCGCTTTGAGATGTCTAGAAGAGGTGAAAAGTCCTATATCAAATGCAAGGATTATTATTATTATTAAGTATTGTGGACCTGTTTTTGCCAGGCATATATCTTTGGAGAGGTGAGCCCCCCCACCCCCCCACCTTTTAATTGCTGATAGTTTTATGGGCTGGTTTTACTTCTGAGCAGTTTTTTCAGAACTCGACCTTTTGTTGCATGTAATACCACAGAAATAATGGCTGCTCAGAACTAACAGCACATTGGGCCTCACCTTTTCTTGAATCTTTAGGAGGTAAATCAGTTAGACAATATCATTCACTGGTGGGAGCTCCTGTGAATATTGGAATTGAATCAGTTCTCTGTGGTGCTCTCAGTAATCTGGTTCCAGAGCTAGGCAAGTCCACAATTCTCTAAGGTACTGCTGATGAAAGTTCATCTTGCCTGGATCATCAGCAGGACTATGAGAAGAAGACCAATCACTGGGACAGGAATCTTCTCACAGCTTCCATTAGCAAGCCAAAGGCTGGAAGGAACGAATGTTCCTAGCTGGACAAGCAGCGGGAAGCTTGCCTTGCCAGGCAGTGTTCACAGTGGTGAACTGCTCAGTTTTAGCTGTTTAAACTTTAGCAGTAATCCCATCACACCTCCAAGTCTTTTGACAACGAGTGCCTAATATGGTATAACACCATTATAATGTCAGTTGTAATACTGATAGTTCACTAAAAAGACAGGGGTCCCGTGGACCTGTTTTGGCTTTGACATGCACATCAGTTGGCTCTTTGTGCGCTAAAAAATGGCCAACTTCTGGCTCATCGGCTCACTCCCAGTGCATTGCACATGAGCACTATATGCTGGTAACCCTCCTGATGTCACTTCGCAGTAAGAGTGAAATGATGTTGGCGACAATCTGACAACTCAGAAAGTGGGCAAAGTCTTCAGTTTTGTCATTATTATTATCCTTGCATTTATTTATTATTATTTATATTGCTACATATAAAATATTCCAGATCTTGAGAAATTAAACTCAGATGACTGGATTATAATGGCATTGTACTGTACTCTCTGGGATTAGGTAAGCAGGCTGCATCCCCCTGAAGCAAGAGTTTACAGCCAAAAGGAAATTTCTATGCATATGTGGCTTTCTTAGTAGACTCAGTGGAATCCTGTAGCTCAGTGGTTTGAGCACTCACCTCACAAGCGAGTGCACCTGGGTTCGATTCCTGGCAGGGCGAAACGGTAGGCAAGTTGTCTTACTCCACACGCCTCTGTTCATTTAGCAGTAAGTAGGCACCCGGTTGTTAGACTTTTGCCAGATCGCAATTCCAGTGGTAATATTCCCTTCCAAAAAATAAATAAATAATAATAATTTGGTCAATCAATTCATGACTGCTTGTGGGATGCTGCTGTGCACAATTGGCTGCCACGTTTCACCCACAAAATATACAGTCAATTCACTTCACAGCATATTCTGTGAATCGCCATGAGACGTCTCGAAGGCGTGATAAGGCGTTATATCAATTGCAAGGATTATTATTATTAGTTTGGATATTCTTAAATATGGTAATAAGTTTCCCTGTCTATTGGCTGACCAAAATAAATTGGGGTTAGGGTGAACATTGACTCAATGGACTACTTCAATCTTACTATGTCCTTATAAAAAATGATGGGGAGTTTTCTGGGATGAAGCACTCTATGTAATCTTCTGAGACGAAGACAAATGTTGAGAATTTATGTTAAAATGGTGTTCATGCTGAAGGTAAATTGCATAATCTGATTCTGCTGCTGGGTCCTGATATTACACAAACAGTCTTGACAATATGACTAGCCAGAAGGTAAACAGAAAGGCATATGGGATTAGCTCCTCCCAGTTAGGTATTATCTATTAAGACAGTTATACTCCTACCCCTCAAATCCCCAAGAGGGACAGACATTTCGGTATTTAATTACTGACAGAGCCACGGCTGGCCTGTAAACTCTGATCCATTGTTTGCACTGTCAGATGCAAAACATAACAAAATAATCCACCTTCTAAGTGTCTAAAAGGGCCTTCTCATACACACTGACAGATGGGCATAATACTAAGACCTCTTTGAGATGGATTATGCATTTCCAACTACACTGTTGTTCTGTCTTCTTGCATCTCGGACATCAAAGCCTGTTGAAAGGTGCTTCCAGCTGAATATTGATAAACAGGAAGCCACCTTCTTTTGCTCCTGCTGATGTCTCTTCTACTGACTCTGACCTCCTCAAACTCCCTAGCTTCTCTCTCAAACGGTGCATAACATTTGTGTCCTGTTTTATCCCCAGTGTTCCCTTCTCCCTCACATCCAGTCCCTCACCTTCCTTCACCTTCACCACGCTTCTGCCTCTGCCCCATCTCATACCCAAAGCATCTGAAATTTTTGTTCATGCCTTTGTCACACCCCATTTAGACTTTTCCAACACATTCTTTGTTGGTCTCCCTCACCGTTCATGAGCTGCAACTCATTCAGTACTCCACTGTCTGCATCCTCCCCCACCCTAATCTCTGCATGCCCATCACCCTCGTCCTCATCATTCCCCACTGTCTCCCTATCTCTCAATGGATTGTCTTCAAGGTCCTCACCCTCACCTATAAATCCATTTGTTTCCTGAGACGACCATATCTTTACGACCTTCTATCCTACTCATCTACACAATCCTCTGTTCAGCTAACTCAGGCTTGCTGCATGTTCTCCCACGCTCTCTTCCCCACCATCAGTGGCCAAGTCTTCAGTCCTTACACCCTTGATAATAATAATAATAATCCTTGCATTTGATATAGAGCCTTGTCACGTATTTGAGACGTCTCAAAGCACTTCACAGGATCTTTGGAATCCCCTCCCTCTACAACTGAGCTGTTCTGTTATACTGGATTCCTCACGCTATCTCACTACCTATAATGTATCTTACATACTGATAAGATAACAACAGAATTCAAATCAATGTGAGATTTAAGCTATCAAAAGCTCAATTTATCTCAGAAGCTAAATCCTGTCCTGTAACCTCATGGGTAGTGATATCTGTAATTATTTATATCTGCTACCCTTCCAAGTGTGGAAAAGATCAATTGTTCTTTTATATTTTTCTAATCTTTTTGTAAAATGGAATTAAATTCCAGAGTCTGTAAAATCTGGTTAGTTTCTCAACATTGAAACTTTTTAATCTTGGCCTTAGCTGAATTTTAAAAAAATCTATTAGAACAGGGATTGATTGCTGTGCGCATAACACAAGCTTTGCAAACACAGCAATAATGTGCCCTGTCATGGCTTTTTGGAGCAGGCTCAGTTCCTGGAACTGTTAGAGCATTCTGTGCTGAATAGTCTGTTTTGGATTCCCATCTTGGTTGCTAGGAAGATTGTGCTGCAAACGATGGGCTAGCTCACAAACATTGCAATGCTGCTATTGCTGAACAATGGTAATTGTATTTGCTATTCAAAATAGTTGTTGACAGATTTTCTTTAACCCAAAAGTTACCATTTTCTGGGTGAATTAATTTGCCTCACAAAAGTTTCTCTTAAACTTCTACCAAATACGTTTTAATAACAATAATAATAATAATCCTTACGTTTGAGGTGTCAGCCTGCCTCAAGTCTCATGTTGGTGTTTTGAACGTCATAGACGAGGCTGATACACAATGCAGTGCTGTGAGTTTGCTGTAATCAAATGCAGGACAAATTTTGATTTGTGTGAATTAAATTTGCGGATTAGCTAAAAATCACTGGTAACCGCTTCAGAAGTTACTTTACAACAGCAACAAAATTACATTTATATAGCTCCTTGCATGTCGGGAGGACGTCCCAAGTGGACAAGTGTAAAAGATCCATGTACTAACAACAACATGCTCGTATTTAGCACTCTCCACGCAGGATAGCTCAGAGCACTTATAAGAAGTCAAAAAAAACTTTGAAAGGCCAATTTTGGTAATGTATTTCTATCCTTCCTGAATGGTTTGGAAAATAATTCATTGCTTGTTGTGGTACTAAGTTGCTACACAGATTAAAAGGTTCCAGGTTTGATCGTGATGTTAGCTGATCTCTCCAGGGATTGTGGTCGATGAGTTCCAATTGACCTCAAAGGGAGGGGACAGAGTTCCTAATCCAGATCAATACCCAGAGACTTCTGCTGGAAAGTCAACTCAAATGAACATCCAGTTCAGATATGATTGAGTCGGTGATTATATTGCTCTTCCCGATTCCATCTATGGTCTTGTAGCACTGTCAGACATATCGTGAAAATGTTGCTTTAATTTCCATTTTTACGTAAATGCTCCATAGAACTGAAATACCCAAATACTGAAATACTCTCCACAAATGGCTTCTCCTCCACCCCCCGCACTGTCATGTGGTGTCCCTCAGGGCTCTGTCCTCGGTCCCCTCCTCTTCACCCTCTACATGCCCCCCCTCGGTGACATCATCCGCAGACATGGAGTTAACTTCCACATGTATGCGGATGACACCCAACTCTACCTTTCCTCCTCTACTCTCAACTCCACGACCACCGATGTCCTGACAGCCTGCCTGTCCGACATCGAGTCTTGGACGAGAGACAACTTTCTTCAGCTCAACGTGCGAAAAACCGAGGCCCTCCTGATTGGCTCACGTCAGCGCCTCCGCACCTCAGGCGCCGACACCATCAGCATCCAAGGCTGCACTCTCCACCTCTCAAAGCCAGTCAGGAACCTCGGCGTTTTGTTCGACCCTGAGCTGTCCTTTCTCCCTCACATCCGCACCACAACTGGCACCGCCTTCCATCACCTCCGGAACATCGCCAGACTACGGCACTACCTCACCCCTCACGCGGCTGAAACTCTGGTCCACGCCTTTATCACCTCAAGGCTGGACTATGGGAACTCTCTCCTCGCCGGCCTTCCCGCCACCTCCCTCCACAAGCTGCAGGTCATTCAGAACTCTGCAGCTCGTGTACTGTCCCGCACCAGGCTTCGGGACCACATCACTCCCACCCCCGCTCGCCTCCACTGGCTCCCCATCCCCCAGAGGATCGAATTCAAGATCCTCATCCTCACCTATAAGGCCATTCACGGCCTCGCTCCCTCCTACCTCTCTGACCTACTATCCCCCTACTTACCTGCCCGTATCTTCCGTTCCTCCGGCTCCGGTCTGCTCCACGTCCCCCGCCCCAATCGCCCTACCATTGGTGGTCGGGCCTTCAGCCTCTCAGCCCCCAGGCTCTGGAACTCCATCCCCCAGTGCCTTCGCCTTGCTTCCTCCCTCTCCTCCTTCAAGGCCAGTCTCAAAACCTTTCTCTTTGACCGAGCCTTCAGCTCCTCTCTCGACTCTCTTCCCCCTCCTCACTCCCTCCCTTCCCTCCCCTCACCCTGACCATTTCCCCCCTCCTCGCTCCCTCCCTTCCCTCCCCTCACCCTGACCATTTCCCCCCTCCTCGCTCCCTCCCTTCCCTCCCCTCACCCTGACCATTTCCCCCTGCTCGGGTCCTGACCCAACTGTGCAGCGCCTTGGGACGTCCTCCTGACGTGAAAGGCGCTTTATAAATGGAATCTTGTTGTTGTTGTTGTTGAGTTCCTACTCGTGGCACCTTTGAGTGTTTAAGCCATTGTTCTCTGCAGAACCAAAAGGATGAGTTTAGCCATCACTTTTTTTAAAACATTGTTTTCTTTATTATAGAATCATAGAATCGTACAGCACAAAAAGAGGCCATTCGGCCCATCGAGTTTGTACCGGCTCTTTGAATAGAGCAATGTAATGTCAATCCCACTCCCCAGCCCTTTCCCCATAACCCTGCAAACCCGTCCTCCTGAAATACCCGTCCACCGCATTTTTAAAAGTAGTTATCGAATCGGCCTCCACCACCCTTTCAGGCAATGCATTCCAGATTCGAACAACTCGCTGCATGAAAAAATTTCTTCTCTCCTCCCCTCTGCTTCTTTTAGAGACTATTTTGAATCTGTGACCTCGAGTCACCGACACACCCACCAGTGGAAACAGTTTTTCCCTTTCTAACCTATCAAATCCCCTCATGATTTTGAAGACCTCTATTAGGTCTCCACGTAACCTTCTCTGCTCCAATGAGAATAATCCCAGCCTCTCTAGCCTTTCCTCATAATCAAGGTCCCTCATTCCTGGCACCCTCTGGGAGACAGAAAGCAGAGAGTTGTGGTTAACAGCTGCTTTTCTGACTGGAGGGAAGTGTACAGTGGCGTTGCCCAGGGATTGGGGGATTTTATTCTTTATTTTATTTTATTACCATTTATTACTATTTTATTACCATTTATTCTTAATGTTCAGTCAAGTATCTAGCCGTTTCTACACAAATAAATCAATAGTATTTTGTGTGACTTAACACAAATCAGAAACTCGCATCTTTAGTCAAGGTGAATTTTCTGAATGCAATTTTAGGGCAAACCAGGCTTGGAGAAAAAAACAATCATAAATGTCAGCAGAAACGTGTATTTGTGTTTTTAAAGTGTCGCACACATCTAATGCAATGCTGCCATGTTATTCTTTGTTAGATAAGCAAGAGTTTCATTAGTTGGTCACCAGTGACTCTCCAGCTACTGACTTTCTTGGAAATTAGTTTTCGGGAAAACTTGAGTTAAAATTTTAAGAAAACTAGTCTTTGTTTTTCCATAATAAGGGCAAGGTAGTAGCTAATACTTTTACTCGAACTTGCATGACTTGGGAATGCAGTCCTTAAGACAAAAAAGAAAATAAATTATAGTGGATAGTTAAAGAAGAACCAAGATAAGCAATTGCACGATCTAACCTTCTGAAGTTAGAGATATTTGAGTTTTTTCTGTAGATCTGCATTATAACACAGATTCTCTTGTAGCATGATTGGAGCGTGGACCCCGATGTTTACTTAACAAAAGAATCTAAAATGCATGAATATATCTGGCCAGCTCACTTCAAAACACTATCTCGATTTCTTGTGTACTGAAAAACAGCTAACTTCAAGATTGCCACAGTCACTTCCTGGAACTAGCATTGGTAACAACCTGATGACACAACAGTTGGCCTTTCTTTTAAGGATGGGAGTGTGTTGACTGGCTTTCTGTGCACAATTACAGTGTCTGGGGAAGTACTGAATGGCAATTTTGCCCCATAATTTTATGTACCACAATGACCATGTTATAAGGGAGCTCCACTATATAATAGTCATCTCTAGGATTTTACACCTGTTTGTTACATGCAAGAACATCAGCCATCGAATGTTCTGAATCTGCCTTAATGATCAGACCAGTAATTGTTGAATCTGATGAATAGAATAAGAGACATTTCATCTTTTATTGAAAAAATTCTGGAAAAGAGAGACGCGATTAATCCTTTCTCTGTGTAAACCATTTTTGTGAACTTGAGTTAATTTAATTCTTTTATACTGTTCCGTATAACATGCGTAGTACAAGAAGTTACTGATCCATTTCCTCTGAAAATAACTCCATGTGCGTCACAAGTCACTGTTAAGGTTAGGGTTGTTTAGTGAATAAGTGGAGCACAGAGCCTGCAAGCTATAAATTTTTAAAAAAATCAGTGAGACAGTAAATGGTGTGGCTATATTCTGTGAAGGAACTTTCTGGAGGTCTTTGTACATTCACTTCCAGTTGACAAACATCCAGTTGGCCTGACACAGAACAGGGCAATTCTTTCTGACATACATAATACTCCAATTTCTGATTAAACTGTTGTACTTTGTTCTTTGTAATTGACAAGAACTTTTAGTTCAGGGTAGCATCTCAGAGTACTGGTTATTAAATCTTTATGTCCAATAATGTAAAATGGAAGATGACCTAAAAATGCTAAGGTAATCAAAATGTCAAAAAAAGCACCTTGAACTATTTCAGGAATTAGGTTTTACAGAAAAATATCAATTTGTTTCTAATAATGAACACAAAGCAGTGTCGTGTGCAAAAGGAACAAAAGAAGAATGAGATTAGGTTATTTTATTTCTGTTATGTATCTTTTATATCTCTCTAAAGGAGATTTTGCCTAAAGCATTCAATGTCACTATTTTAGAGTAAAATCCTGTCAAGTGCTTTGAGGCACTTTCCTGATGTGAAACGTACTATATCAAATGCAAGGCTTATTTATTATTAGATGAGGGAATGAGGAAGAAACTCCAGCCATGTCAGAGCTATATGTATGTAATAAAAGTAAATAAGTATGTATTATGTATGTAATAAAAGACGTTGGTTCATAAGACTGAAATACTAACGGTGATTTCTATATAATTTATTTTTCTCTTTTTTTAAAAAACAAAAAGCTCGTCATGGAGTTCTGTGGTGCTGGGTCCATTACAGACTTGGTGAAAAATACAAAAGGAAATTCCTTGAAGGAAGATTGGATCGCATATATCTGCAGGGAGATACTCAGGGTGAGCTGTCGATCTCCAATGTATAAAATGTTTTAATCAGACAAATGGTTATTTTTTTGTAGGCATTAATGACAAATGTGAAAGAACCTTGCCTATCAAAGCAAACAAAAAAAAGAGCAATTTCCATTGCTTATATCTGTCAGATTTAACCTCGAGAGAGAGATGCTCAAAAGTGTCTATATGCAGTACATTAGCCAATTTTCAAACACTTATAGGGGAGTACATGTGTTGAATTTGAAAAGCGCAAACGGCTAATGATGGCTTTAATCTTACATTCTGGTTCTATTAGTGATAATTGGGATGCTGGTTAATGTGTAAACAATGTAATGCATATCTTGTATTTTGCCAAGGGAACTTTCAAATTTATAAAATCTGCAAGATCGTCTTTGAATTCTGTCTTGCCCAGGAATGCATTTGAATAAGAGTTGGCAGTGTAGACCAGCTGCCTATTGTCATTTACAGTTTATGAACTGTCTAAAATGCAGAAGCCATAAGAACATAAGAAATCCTAGACAAAAAAAGACCAAGGTCCATCTAGTTCGCCTTCCCCTTCCTAGTGGTCGAATGCACATATATCCCTAACTAACTATGTACTATATCCCATAATGTTATTTCCTAAAAGAAAACTATCCATGAAATCCTGTGACAGGCAAGATCCCATTCCCTTTAAAAAAAACTTCTTAAATAGACGACCCAACAGAACAATGTTGATGAATAGAAAATGGTGTGACTTAGTTTTATGCAAAACTTGCTCCTTCTCATCTTAACAGTTCAAGAATAACTATGGCCCAGGGTTCCACTGAAAGTTGTGTGCATTTCTGTAGCTCGTATGTAAGCATAGATGTTCGTTTGTTCCGTCCTAGGTTTACTTCAATATTTAAGTATTGATGAGGCGCCTAAAAATGATGAAATTAGTATGAACTTACAAATATGCAGTGGTAAAAAGCTTCTTTTAACAAAAGTGGGTGTTGAAAAAGTAACCTTAAAAATGCTGCAGGAAATGTGCAGGTGATTCTCCTTTTTGGAGAAGTTGCAGAAATTGTTTCCTGACGTGAATGCTATGAAGGGCAGAATATAAACCATGTGTGTTTCTCTTTCATGTTTAGGGACTGGCACATCTTCATGTCCACCATGTCATTCATCGTGATATCAAAGGGCAGAATGTTCTGCTGACAGAAAATGCTGAAGTGAAGCTAGGTATGCATTTATCAGAATAGCTAACCGATGGCCCGATTTCCAAAATATCCATTAATTGGGTTTCTTTCACATGCAGTAGTATTTCTGGGAGGTGCCACAAGTTCAGATGCTTAATAATAAACATAAAATTCAAAGCATACAGCTAGTTATATGAAAGGTTTAAAACAAATGGACAATTCATTCTAAGTAATCCATCTCATTTGTTGCTGAAGGTTCAGTATACATTTATAATGATGCCTCCTATCCTGGCCCAAGTGCATTGAGTGTTCATGTATATAGAGTCTACATCTATACTTTGAAAAGTATCCACAGCATAATCAATACTGTATCAGTGCTGCCTGCACCTGTTATTGCAACAAGATTTGTAGATCAGTTCCAGTGTAAAAACACTAGTTTCACTTGTTCACAGGGGGACGAACGAGGCTGAAGTATATTAACAACACACGAGTATTAGTCAGATATTGGTCTCTGTTACTAAATATATTAACTGTCTTTAAAATAGCTGTCGTTACTTCCCCAAAGGCTCAGCAAGTTCAGTGAATAGGTAAGATATATAATTTGTGAAGATCCAGGGTTCAATCGCACAGGGTTCCTGTGCGGTTTTGAGTCAGAATGGAGAGGAAGACAGGATCAGGCTTGCCTGTAATGCTTTAGGGGATTGAATAGCCTCCAAGCGTTCGAATATATGTTTGCCATTTGGGTGAGGCAGCAGAAGGCACCTGGCACTTGTGTCACATAAAAGTCAGAAAGCCTTCAGGAAAAGAATGGAGAAAATTGCCAGGGGAGAAAAAGAGATGTTAAAAGGGTTGATTTGGGAAATGGCATATTTTCACAACTAAGCTCTGCACCAGGCCTACTAATTGGGAAAATGTATGATATTGCAATTTTAATCTGTTTACAAAACTAGACATTATGAATTCTTTAGAGTGACGTATTAGCACAGGCTCAGTCTAGTAGTGACTGCTTTAGTTGAGCTAAACTCAAATAAGTTTTAACAATGGAAATAATGTTTGGATTTAAGGCGGTTAGTTTCTCTTGAACCCACTGTGTGATTAACTAGTCACTATGGTTGAGCATTTCCTATTGATCTCCTTGAAAACTAAGGTGTGACTTGAAGACCTGAGGCTTCATAAGCCGGATGCTTAACTGATGATTATGTCCAGATTTTGTACCAACATGATTTTGATGTATAAGTGTATGTGTCTGCTTAATCCAGAAAAGCCACAGATAAACTGTTAAAATTTGCTCTCCAAATAGAGGTTTATAAGATGCTTAGTGGATAAAGTAAACCAAAACTTTGATATGCCAAGGTAACAAAACAAGAGGACATGGGTTTGGATTGTGAAGGGTAATTTGTGGACAGACAGGAAGTATTTATTTAGACAGAGGACAATTCACAGCTGGAATGGGTTACCAGCTATTAATTGCTTTTTCAGGTTGATTTCATTCCCCCCCCCTATCAAAATGTGCCTCTCTCATACTTTCCATATTAGGTAGTGTGCTGGAAGCTCACTTAAATGGCTCATTTAAAATTTGGCTTTCAAAATAATACTTGAATTAAGATTTTCCAGAATTTTGTGCAATGTAATTTTTAAGACTGTAGCCTTTAGGTTAAGATATGATCATTTTATGGCTTCTGGAACCTTTCTGGGCCTGTATAGCTTAGTTCGGGGCTGACCCTGAATCTTCATGGGAGCTCAGTGATGTGTATTAATGTAAATGTGCAGTTTTGAACACTTAATACTTAAAATGTACTAATGTGTAACTAACGGTATTGTAATTAAATTGAACGTATGCCTTTGAATTTTTTGTTGCAGTGGATTTTGGTGTTAGTGCGCAGCTGGACAGAACCGTTGGTAGAAGAAATACGTTTATTGGGACACCTTACTGGATGGCACCAGAAGTCATTGCTTGTGACGAGAACCCAGATGCAACATATGATTACAGAGTGAGCAAATTCTTCACGTCCCACTTTTAAACCACCAGAATCATTGCTCTGATTCTCGCTAGGAAAGTGTTTCCTTAGTTTTATTTTTATTTATTTTTACTTTTTACTTTTAAGTCATTAAACCATTTTCAAATCCATTATGCAAGGTGTATTGCAAACATCAAAATGAAATGACAACCCTTTGCAGCAATCTTTAATCCTTTTACTTACTAGAGATGAGGATATAGGTTTTCTGCCCCAGGGTCATCCAGCAGATGAATAGAACCACATTGCTGTGTGAAAACAAGTATTTATTTAATTTGTGCTTTTAAAAGAAACATGGGTTGGGAAGGGAATGAAGTTACAGGCAAACCACTATTTATATTTAAATTCAATGAAAAGAAAGTTGGAGAGTACTGTGCATGGAAATTATTTTCTCCTATTTCACTTCTAAATAAATCCTTCCAGTAATTGACTCGATTTACCAGTTATTTTATCGCGCCAGGGAGACTTGCCAGTTCATCCCTACCTTGTTGATCTTTTCTGATGAGGGGGTGATGTCTGTTGTGTGGACGGTATCCTGCTTATCTTGGAGTAACTCTGTTGAATGCTGATAGAACAGTGTGTTTGGCTGACACATAGGCTGTTCTTAGCCCTGCCTCATACCAGAAAATGTAATATACAGCTGGCCTGCACCAGGGCAATAGAGATTTTCCCCTGGGTTTGCGAGGCTCCCTTTGACCCTCCCACTCATTAAGGATCAGCGTTAGTCATCGCAAATTGCTATTGTTGGCCCCAGGTGAGTCTGATGCTAAAATAATGTGCAAAAATGGGATACTTACTCCAAGGTGTCATATTGTTATATACAGATGTTTTAAAAGAAAGGTGGAATAGGAAGGACTCCCTGCCCCTTCAACATTACTTTATACTTTAATGTTCATTCTTAAATTTGATCTGCGGACACTCCTCCAAATTTAAACTATTGGACCTAGAGCTCTCCCATTACTTATTTTATTAAAGATTATGAATAATGTGTTTAATGTTATTGGTTCACTTATGCAATAACGTCCTATGTTCAGTACATCTGTTAAGTGAGTCTCTTTACTCGGGTACAAACTTTTCAATCTGTAGACTGGGGTAAATCATCATAGATGCAGAAGGATATCAGAGTTTGGAAAGGGAACAGGGATAATTTGTTGCTGGGAAATGCAGACACTTCTCATTATGGGTTGTCAGTGGAGGCTTTTACTCACAATGTAAAAGTGATATAACTTGTTGCAAAGATGTAGACCAGATTAGCTTTTGTCCTCCAGGTATCATTCTCCTGTCAGATGGGAAAGGTGTCGCTTCCTGAGGCAAATTGTGTGCTTTAATGTGTTTTTCACGATTGAAGTATGAAAGCATTGTATGCCCAATAATGAGTTAAAGGTTTCAAGCAGAGATGTTTACCATTTATGCATGTTGGGTAGACCTGAACCTTTTATATTCCCAAACTGTTGGAGGTAAACATTTGTTTTTAACCAAAATGTTGTGAGCTGTGACCTTGTAAGTTCCTTCTCTCTCTTTCTTCTCCACACTGTTGCCTAGGTCAGTGACTGAATTACGACAGATTTGATGTGTGTTGCAGCTGATATCTTGACAGGTTACCTACCATAATCTATAATCGCGAAACCACAAAGACTGAACCAGCTTTGTCAATCATTTTTAGTCTATAACTATGAATATTTAGAATAATGTCTAGAGAGGTGAAAGATTGCATTATGCTATTGGTTTTGTTTTGCACTTATGTAGCAGTGATGTGTTAGGGAGCATAGATCAGCACTCAGACCACCCATTGTTTTGTAGTGCGGTTTGCACGTGCCCTGAACCATTCCGGTATAATTTGCCTGTCTCCAGTTCAAGAGGTGCTTGCAACATAACATTTCAGCCCACAGTTAATTGCAGTGGCTGGAAAGAAGTCAATGAGGAAACCTTGTTGCTTTGGAGAAGAGGAAACAAAGCTGTGCAAATAGATTCCTCCACCAGGGTTATACAAACTGGACTGTTTTCCAAAGATTTACAAAAACTACAGCACAGAAACAGTCCGTGCTGGTGTTTACGCTTGTGTCTGTGATGGAGTTTTGTTTGTGTTCTCTCCCATACCATGCTCCGTGAACTGATTGTCCTTGTCTGGCTCTACATCCCTCTGAGGATTGAGTTTAAAATCCTCGACTCACTTTTAAAGCCCTCCATAGTTGTGTTCCTCCCTACACCTGTGACCTATTAACACCGTATCAACCTGACCACTCCCTCCACTTAGTAGGCTCTCCCCTGCTCCTTGTCCCCTGCCCTGCCCATCCCACCATTGGTGTTCGGGCCTTCAGCTTTTTAGCCCCCACCCTCTGGAACTCCATTCCGGAATCCCTCTGCCTTGCCTCCTCACTTGCGTCTTTCAAGCCCCATCTCAAGACCTTAATCTTTGACCATGCCTTCGGCCTTCCTCCCACCTCAACCCTCTTTCCCGCTTGATTCCAACTCCCAACTCAGACGCAAAGCCTTAATCGTTTAGTGCCTTGCAATATCCTTCCATCGTTAAAGGTGCTATATAAATGCAATTTGTTTCTTTATACTCCACATGATTCTCAATTCACTCCCTTCTATATCCTTCTGTTTCCCTCTCCCTCATGTGAAGGTCCAGTTTTCTCTTGAATGCATCTACACTATTTAATTCAAACCCAGCTTCAGGCAGCAAGTTCACAATCTCACTACCCTCTGTTTGACGTAGTTCCTCCTAGATCTAATTGGAAAGGGAAGGTGAACTAAAAAATGGAAATGCTGGAAATCCATTCCAGCCCCTTGTCAGTGTCAAAGTTAAAGAGTATAATGTTTAATATTGATTTCAGAAATAGGAGAGAAATTAGTGCATATCATTTAACACTGAATTTTTAGTAGTATTATTGTTTTGAAAACTCCTGTGCAGCACACAGACTACCGTTACAGTATAAGTATTAGCAACTGTTAATCACAGAACCGTAAAGATGAACTAAACACTTGTAGTATTTAGGAATATTATTTTGTTATTCCTTTTGCTTTTCCACCATTTATACATATATATATATACATGCACACACACAAAAGTAAATTCAAAAAAACTGTTTTTGGTTACTGAAATGCTGTGAATTAGGAAATATTTGACTATACATTTCTTTAATATACTAGAATTGTTCCATTCACGGCCTTGCTCTCTCCTACCTCTCCGACTTACTATCCCCCTACGTACCTGCCCGTACCCTTCGTTCTCTGGCTCCGGTCTGCTCCACATCCCCCGCCCCAACCGCCCTACCATCGGTGGCCGGGCCTTCAGCCTCTCAGCCCCTAGGCTCTGGAACTCCATCCCCCAGTGCCTTCACCTTGCTTCCTCCCTTTCCTCCTTCAAGGCCGGTCTCAAGACCTTTCTCTTTGACCGTGCCTTCAGCTCCCCTCTCGACTCTCTACCCCCTCCTCGCTCCCTCCCTTCCCTCACCCTGACCATTTCCCCCCTGCTCGGTTCCCGACCCAACTGTCCAGCACCCTGGGACGTCCTCCCGACGTGAAAGGCGCTCTATAAATGAAATCTTGTTGTTGTTGTAGAATTGTTCTACTCAGCTTTACATTCAGTTTATGCTTGTGGAAGTATAAAGATATTGCTTCTGGCAGTAAAGCAATTTAGAGCAGGGAAGTCTGATTTACATTTCCTGTTTTTAATTGCAATGCCCAGGAGCTCAGTTGAGTTCTTCACATGCACAAATAAGTAAATGTGTTGAGTTCTGTGAACAAGTATTAGTTTTAGAACAAGTGAACATGGACTTGGGTTATGAAGTGGAATGGCAAACAGACAGTACAGATTAAACAATTTAATTATTTTACACAAACGTGTTGAATATATGGAATAGATTGTCCAGGGAGGCAGTGGAAGCAGATTCCATAAACAAATTCAAGCGGGATTTAGATGGCAATTTGGTGAAGTCATTTGATGAATATAAGAGAGAGATTTTGTTGTTTTATTAAAAAACACTACATTGGTCTTTTCAAGTCCTGTAAATGCCTGTGTCAACGAGTGGCTCATTAATAACATTAAACAATGGTCCCTTAAATGTTTTCAATTTAGGATGAAGAGCATTTGAAAGCATTTCTGAGTGGAGGCCAAATTGATTCATTTGATTTAATGTTGCATTCGGTGCTTTAAAGCCAGTAACTGATGCAAAGCCAAAGATTTTTTTTAGTTAGGTGCCTCATATTTCCATGTATCAAAGTACATAATACTTATGCTCATACTGTAAGTCCACAATTAAAAACTGAACAGACTCCTAATTATTTTGCAGAGTGACCTGTGGTCATTGGGGATCACAGCAATTGAAATGGCAGAAGGAGCACCTCGTAAGTAGCTTTATATGCGTGAAATGTTTAAGTCAAGGGGGAATAAAGGGGATATGTTTGTATTTTTCTCCTTGGGACCAGAATTTGAGAAGTTCTTCTTCTAGATCTAAGGATACCACATGAGAAGAATTTTTAAAGTTTCAACTTAACACCTAGTGAGTGTGGGCCCAGTAGCATTTGCAGATATCCGAGTTATCAGAATATCAACATTATTCAAAACAACATTAGTGGGTATTGCAAAGCACGTAATAGGTAGTGGGGTGGGGGAGGGACTGAAAGTATTGCTTTTTCATATTTGTCTTCCGGGCTAAATTCTGTTTTCCCATTGCAAGTGCAATCGTTAAGTGTAAAAATATTGAATTAAATCATGAGTTTTATTATCATTTTGTATTGTATCATCAATTATCACTTCTGTCTGATGAAATTCTTACTAAAACAATTTCTACTTTTAGCTCTTTGTGACATGCACCCGATGAGAGCACTGTTCCTCATTCCCAGGAATCCACCACCTAGACTAAAATCAAAGAAATGGTTAGTAATTCATTTGTTTTCATCAATGAGCAATACAATTGCTTTGTTTAGTTTGTATTTTTTAGCATCAGATGTTGATTTCTCCAACCATATGCTGTTTTGAATCCATCAAACTTGAAGAAAACTGCCAGCTTCAAGCTATTTGCTCTTTTGGAAATAGAAATATTGTAGAAGATGTAGAGAGGCAACATGAAACTTACTTGAGGTTTGGGATGCAAATCATGCTTTTATCTTGTGTGTTGACCATCAGAGGAAAAATGATTTCCCAAAGCTCTGCCCTTTTCACATTTCCACATGCAATTTCAAAGTATGATGTGAGTGATGGATTTTTTTTAAGTGTTGCCATTTCTAAATTCAGAAACACTGCATTATATTTGTACATCACATATGGCTACAGTATTTTAATCTGTACTGAATTAAACCATTGTATCTAGCTTTGGGTGGGGAAAATACAATTCAAAACAAAATGCGAACTGTTTTATAATGATAAAATCAACGCTGTTTGTGCAAAACTTGCCTTAATTATTAATGGTCAATGAACACAACTTCTGCAATATTTACTCAAATTTCCTTTCCCCATCTCCCCCCAACATGCTGTTGATGGCCTATTTATCTTTCACCTCACCATTTGGTCTGCGACTTTGATCCCAATTCTAAAGGAGTAAAAAAAATTCTTATAGTGTGTATTTTAATTTTTAATTGCCATCGAGATCAGACTCTGACCTGTGCTTAGACTACCTCAAGCAGGGTGCGGATGGGCTCATTCCATTGGCCCTGGTGCACAAGGACAATTAAAGGAGAACAACAACAACAAAATTACATTTGTATAGCGCCTTCCACCTCGGAAGGATGTCCCAAGGTGCTGGGCAGTCAGTGTTTCGGACCCGAACTAGGGGTCGGAATTGGGGACAGTGGAGGGCAGGGGGGGAAGCAAGCTGATCGAAAGCACGGTTGAAGAGGAGGGTCTTTAGATGGGTCTTGAAGGAGGCAAGGGAGGGAGCAAGGCGAAGGGCCTGCGGGATGGAGTTCTGGAGGGTGGGGCAGAGTGGCAGAAGGTCCGCCTGCCAGGATTCCTGAATGCTGGTCCCTTCCCATTGAGCCCCAATGTAAGTAAGAAGGATGAATGCCAGGTTAGAACAGCTTTTGGCTTAATGGTGATGCCCCCAGGGTTGAATAGTCTGCTAAAGCTCCTTGTCCAAGCTCACAAACCAAGAACAGCTACTTTTCTGAGATACTGGATTGCTGTGGACACTTTTTGAACCATATCCCAGCATGACTCACAGCCTTCAGCAGAAAATAAGATATAATTGGAGGAGGGAAAACACATTTCACATCAGTAGCCATGAGGAAGCCAATTTTACTTCATCTGTGATAGAATTCCTTAGAAATACTCCCGAGAAAGGGAAGATTAATGCCAGTGAGCTGTAAGCTTCTTCAAAAGTGAACTGATTAGTATCGCTTGAAGCCAGGGATAGGTACAAACTGAAATGAACAGATGCTCGACAGCACACGTTAGTCTCTAAGCTGCTGGGAAGAGGGAGAGTGGAGGATGTCTTGCGAGGGAAACCAAGGTGAAGAATGGGAATAGATGAATATTTTGCAGTTTTTCTTTAATTGCCTTTGTGGCTCTGTGATACCTTTCCCTCCAGATGTTCGTGGTGGGTTGATGTCCAAAATAACACTAGGTCCTGTATTGCTGTGAATCCACTTTTTGTGGAGTTTTCTTAAACCAAGTTTTGAACTTGCTCTTTAACCTTTGTAATTCATGGAACTTTGAATCTGTTTTAAATCATAGGCATGCTGAAAGCACATTGATATTTCAGACTTACAAGAGACGCAATTCTGCAGCATGAGTTCTGCATTACTGTAGAGGATAATGTACTGTAACTGTTCTAAACAAGTTTAAATTATGCATATATCTATCAATTGTGTTACTGCCATATGTTCAAAATGTTTAGAGTATGTATTATGAGGAGAACATGAAAGCACTCTGTTCCACTCCTTTCTGAGTGGTGAGAATGCAGATATCTGTAGTTACAAAATGTGAAATGCATTTGTACTTGGCATTGCTTTTAACTGCAGTGTCTGTTAATGCTGGATGATGTTTTTGTCATTAGTGTACAACCTAGGGATTATTCTCAACCTTAAGGCTTTGGTAACATTAAAATAAATGTATGGGATGTTTACCAGTGATGAGATCAAATGTACAGATTCCTTCAATATTGTGGCACCTGATAAGCACAAAGATGCTGGGCAGTTAACCGGGGTGCCTGTAGAATTTTATTGAAGTGTAATGCTGGGCATTGTGGTGAAATATTCACAAATCCATCCTTTACTGATTCCAGTCCACAACAATGGCTTATTAAGTAATTTTTTTATTCTTCTTTCACACCAATGCGACACTCCTACCATAATCCACACTCCTGAGTCTCACACCCAGTGTCCTTTTATACTTCATAGAATCATAGTATATTACAGCACAGAAGGAGGCCATTAGGCCTATCGGTCCTGTGTCGGCTCTTTGGAAGAGCTACCCAATCAGTCCCACTCCCCCAATCTTTCCCCATTTCCTTGCAATTTTTTCCTTTTCAAGTACCTATCCAATTCTCTTTTGAAAGTTGTTATTGGATGTGTTTCCATCCTTTCAGGCAGTGCATTCCAGATTGTAATGACTCTGTGAGTGTGCGTGTAAAAAAAAAAATTCTCCTCATCTCCCCTCTGGTTCTTTTGCCAATTATCTTGAATCTATGTGCCCTGCTTATGGCCCCACCTGTCAGTGGAAACGTTTTTTCCCTATCTACTCTATGAAAACCCCATTATAATTTTGAACATCTCTATTAAATCTACCCTTAACCTTAAAGGCCCCAATATCCTTCCTAAGTATGGTGCCCAGAATTGGATACAATACTCCAGTTGAGATCTTTAACTTGGAAAGGTTTAGCAGAACTTCCTAACTTTTGTACTCTGTGCCTCTGTTTATAACGCCGAGGATCCCAACCTGCTTTTTCAACCTGTCTTGCCACCTTCAAAGATTTATGTATGTGAACCCCCAGGTCTCTCTGTTCCTGCACCCCCTTTAAAATTGTACAATTTATCTTATATTGCCTCTCCTCATTCCTCCTCCCAAAATACATCACTTCACACTTCTGCATTAATTTCCATCTGCTATGTGTCTGCTCATTTCACCAGCCCGTCCGTGTCCCCCTGCAGTTTGCTATTATCCTCCAGAACAAAACTAAGTCTTGTGTAATCTGCGCATGAAGTGAGCTATATAAATGCAAGTAGTTGATGTTTTGCGATTACTGATGGCTCCTGTGCAATGGATACAGGGCCCATGGAACAATCCCAACAAGAGGTTCTCACACGTGAGCAGTAAACTTGGGTTCCAAACGAAACTCCGAGGTTGATTGGATATTTTGGTAAAATCTGCTTTTGCATATTTTCAGGTCAAAGAAATTTTTTAGCTTTATAGAGAGTTGTCTGGTGAAGAATTACATGCAGCGTCCCTCAACCGAACATCTGTTGAAACATCCTTTTATCCGAGACCAGCCAAATGAGCGGCAAGTTCGAATTCAGCTTAAAGATCACATTGACAGAACAAGGAAGAAGAGAGGAGAAAAAGGTGTGTGGTACAATATTCTGTTGTTATAATTCTGCAAAGCTACCAATGTTAACAGAGGTAGTTCTGTATTTTTTTTAGAAAAAGCAAAATAACCTTTTGAATTATTGAAGAAATTGTGGAGATTGGCAAGAAATGGCATTTTGGCTTGCATATGTATATATACATGCTCACTTGCTATAATTTCTCCCTTTGATTTGCTACGTTTTTAACATGCCTCTATCAAGAAAAATGCACCATGAAATAGAACAATCACCATCAATGCAGAGAGCTTACAAACTTATCAAATTAATATGTAGATTATCACCTCATTATAAGCATTTGTTATAACCACACTTGCTGTGTTTATGAACTACGTGTTAATTCTCATTGTCATGTCCAACATATGTTACCATATTTCCTTCTCCTAATTAATGTTTAATCCCTGCCTTCCTCAAACTAGTCCAATCCTATGATATTTCTGCAAGTAGCTTTTCACAAGAAATGTATGCTGGGGGCTGATGTACCTCATTTCCATAGAGCGGGGGGGGTGGGGGTGGGGGGGTGTTCAGTGGGTCAGTTATATTGCAGTCCTTTTCCCCAGTATTTGGAGCCCCAGCATAGGCTGTGATTTCTCTTTTCTGTGAAACTCTTGGAGGAGGAATGTCTTCCAGAAGTAATAACAGAATGTTGCTCAAAATTCTATTCCCAGCCACAACAGATGTGTTAATGGGTGCTGCTCAAAGCAGTAGTTTGGTTACAGTAGAATTGTGATACAACATGCCTCTTTTGTATTAGGATCTGTGAACATGGATTTCCAGGTCTTCGATACAGTTGTGCAAAGTTCACCTGGAATCCACAATCTCCATGGCCTTGCCATTCTAACCTGTCTATGTGAGCTGGAAAAACCTTTGCTGGGGACTCCCATTGATCTCTAAATTTGGGTTTAACAAAAAACTTAAATATACAGTCCCTTTCAATTGAATGCTTTATTTTCGCTCTGCCGTTTCCAGACTCCTACTGAGTGGTTTGTAAATCGTCATTCATTCCAGAATAATGCTGTAATCGTATTTCCTGAAAACTTTCATAACGAAAAATCTAAACATGGATCCCTTTCTTATCTTAGTATATTGGCCTTGATTCATCAACAACAACAACAAATTACATTTGAATAGCACCTTTCACGTCGGGAGGGCGACTCAAGGTGCTGATTCATGCTGATGGTATGAAAGAAGACCATCTTGAAAGATGAGGTCAAATGGGCTTTAGGGATGGCTTCATCTGAACTTTTCATGTGATTATATATGTGATCTTTATACAAGCAGCTGCTTTCTCCTTGAGTAAAACCCACACTGTTTACTGTAAGAATATTGTGCCAATTGCTGTCCCAGATAGCCAAGATGGTAAATTTGCAAATGAGTGAAATTTCTACCACCTGTCTCTTTGGTGATAACTACTATTCTGTTCTCCAATCTTTACTGTTTTAGATCTCAGATAATACATAATAGTGCCCCGATTTTTAAAGTGAAATCATCCATGGCAGCTCACAACTTAAGTGATTCAATCTGGACAGCAAAGTCCTTTTTAATGTGAATAATACATCCTTATAAAGTCTGAGGCAGTGGAAAACAATTAGCAATATCTTGCATCTGTGCATTTACCCAGTCTGATATCTCTCATCGTGTTATTAAGGTTACATGAGAAAGTGACTCCTTTCCCCTACCCTCCCACCACCCACAAGCAGTAGATTGTCCTCTCAGCCCCCAGTAGGCTATTGATTATCACTGACTGTTGTTGCTTGACTGCTGCCCGCATACTTACCCAGACCAAACTCCGTACCCCCATCTCACCAGTTCTGGTTAGGCTCCATTGGCTCCCCATCATCGAATGGGTCGACTTCAAGATTTTAACACTCATGTTCAAATTAATTCACTCCCTAGCACCTCCCCAGCTCTCCGACCTCCTCACTCCCCAGTCCACCACTCAGTGCCTCTGCTCGACTGGCACTAGCCTCCTGCTTGTCCGTCACAACCTCCGCTCCATCATTGGAGATTGCACTTTTAGCCACTATGCCCTGAAACTATGGAACACCCTCCCTCAATCCCTTCACCTTGCCCCCGCTCCCCTTTTTCAAACCCCGCATGAAAACCTTCCTTTTCGACTGTACTTACAGTCACCCCCTTCTCAATGGGAGTCGGGCTCCGCCACTGTTAAGCACTCTGAGATGTCACACTGCATGGAGGGTACTATATAAGTGTAAGTTGTTGTTGTAGTGTAAATTATGATCTTTAATTTTAGATGAAACCGAATATGAATACAGTGGGAGTGAAGAAGAAGAGGAGGAGTTGCCTGAGCAAGAAGGAGAGCCAAGGTAATGTTCAGCATTATTGTTTATAATTGCATAGTGCGCGTCCAAATCATGCAAGGCTAGGAATTTATTTAGTGGTCAGTCATGGAGCGTATGTGTCACCAAATTGTAATACGGCACCAATATATTTTGACACTACATTGGCATTAGTGTCAGTCTTCTGTCTCAGTCTTCATCTGCTATGTCACAGCATCAGTGACGTGAATATTGAGGTATAATCAAGAAACTGTCTATTAATTCAATTTTGTTGTTGTTGCTTCACAGGCTGCAAATAACAGCAAACAACAAAATAGATTGGGTACCAATAATTTGGGAAATCTATGACTGATTATTCCTTGCTGTCATACAGAGATATGAGACTAACCAATATAACTTGATTTTTTTTATGGGATCAAAGGATTGAGTAAATCAGTTCAGAACAAAAGGCTAAATCCACAAGTCAGGTAGCTCATCCATAAGCTACAGTGAGTCTTTATGGCCACAAGAGTTGTCTTTATGTGAACAATTGCTGTGAAGAGCAAAATGGCCCAGATTGTATGAAAGTGCAGAAGCTGTAGTAATGGAGCACACTTGAGAAACTGCTTTAATATTGAATATGGATTTGAGATTTTTAGGTTTTAGTTATCCAACAATAGAACGTACATAGTTAAAGTACTGTACAGTATATCCTGTGAAGACATCCTGCTGTGAAAGGTGCAATATCAAATGCAAGGATTATCTTATCCCGCTGCTTGTCCAGCTAGGACCATCCTATTATTATATAACAGTGGGAAAATGTAATCTCTTTTGCAGCTCAATTGTTAACGTGCCTGGAGAATCAACTCTTCGTCGTGATTTCCTGCGATTGCAGCAGGAGAATAAGGAACGTTCCGAAGCTATGCGCAGGCAGCAACTGCTTCAGGAACAGCAGCTCCGAGAACAAGAGGAGTATAAAAGGCAGTTGCTAGCAGAGCGTCAAAAACGCATCGAGCAACAAAAAGAGCAGAGACGGCGACTTGAAGAGGTAAAAGCTAAAACCTTCAGGTGCAATACAGTTTGGAGGAAGATTAACTGGAAAAGTTACTTAACAGTAATAATGCCTTACCTCATTTTTTTCCATGATATTCAAGTGCACATTCTCAAATGGGAGTTCAAAAATAATCAAGATGAAGTTTGGCACAAGATAAGATGTGTGGTATTGAAGTGATCCTGAGAAGTATTATATTCGTAGCCAACAATGTGGTCTATTTGCTGGCTTTCTGTTCTATTTCTCTCTCCAGCAGCCCCCCCTCGCCTGCTACTGAGAGATGAAGTAAATGTCAATAGTGTACTAGTCACACAACAATTTAAATACCAAGTATCTCCTTCATTCAATTTTAGTCTAATATAAATTTGTATTTTGATCGCATCTCATGTTGACAGTCACAGAGGTTTAATTCTCGTCAAGTTTAGTGAGTGACTTGCCAACAAAACTACTAACTACACAGTGCTTAACAGTAATTACTTAGCTTTGACATGATATATGCAGTTAAACTGCAGTGTCTTTCTTGTAAACTGCATAAAATTATGATGGAAAATGCCATCAACAAAGTTCACATTTCATTGTTTACGTGACAGAAGATAAAGGTATTATAAAATGAAAGGAACGTTATTTGTGGAATTATACAAACAGTTGGCTGCTAATCTGGTCCTGTAAATGCTGATTGGAATCTGAGATAATGGATGGAGGTTTTCATGTTTCCAATTCAGGGATAATGTAGCAACGTCGTGCTGTCTCGATTTTCTCCAGTGTACACACTCCTTGCCTAGGAAAGCAGCTGTGCTAAGATTTTAGCTAGTCTGTTATTATTTCAAATGACTTCCAGTAAAATGTGCAATTTCTGAATCAGGATAACGAAATGTTTTGCCACAAACTGTGCATCTGTTGTGCTACACTTTTCTTTGGTTAATTGCTAGCCCTAATTAGACTGACATGCCATATTCCTTGGATCTAATGCTGTTATGAGCGATTTGATAATTTTCAAGTAGAAGCGCTCAAAATTATAGCTGCTGTTTATAAATTGAGAGAAATGTCTGTGCAGTCTATAAGTAACAATCAGATTGCGATTGGTTTTATCAAGAAAAAAGTACCCACTCGAGCAATAAATCAGAGAGGAATTTTTCTAAACTGATATCCTTTATCATGCAATTTATTTGATTTTCTTTTAGAGAAGGGAGACAGACTTTGCTACATTCATTGTTCAGCATCATGCGGTTACTATACTATAGTATATTTTTAGTAGGAAGTGTGCTAATATAGAATGGAAAACTGATTAAGGCAGGCCTTTCAACAGCTGTGTGCCGTAGCCCAACCTTGAAGGAAGGAAGTCTGCTTTGACAATTCCACGTGAGCAGCAATTGATAACCCTTGATAAGAAAATGACCTTGTCAAATCCTTAGATGTCCAAGCTCAGGGTTTGTTGCTATACCCATTTTAATTTTTCCTATAAAAAACACAATTATTTGTTAAGGTTTGTTCTGAAAAATCAATTCAGCTCTTTTAGAAAAAACATTTTGTTTAATCATTTAACAAACCTCGCCCTGTAAAGTGTCTGTTAATCTTTGAGATTTTTTTAAAGTTATGTACACCTACAGAATTTATTTGTGTCTCTGACACCTGTGGAAACTCATGACAATACATAAGAGTATCCAAACCAAACTGAGATTTCCATGCATCCCATCTACAACATAATAATATACAATATAATACATCATAATAATCCTTGTATTTTGATATAGGGCTTTATCACGTCTTTGAGACGTCTCAAAGTGCTTCACAGAACATACTGTAAAGTGAATCGATTATATTTTATGGGTGAAACGCGGCAGATACTTGCACATAGCAGTGTTCCACAAACAGTCGTGGATTTAGTAACCAAGTTATTATTATTATTTTGAGGGGAATTTTTTTTCACATGGAATTCCAGAGATAAATTGTTGGAATGGAAAGCGCACTCCCTCCTTGGAGGGACGAAGTCTGCTTACCTAATTCCGGAAAGTATTAGGTGCAGTTTGGCAAGAGCTAAGGCTTGGGGTCCCCAAAGTGTGCGTTGGGGTAACTGCTGGAATATAACCAGCTAAAACAGTATTGAAAGGTACAAAGTTTCAGAGCTATTTTATGGTGAAATTAACTTCCAAGAACTAGTGTAAGAAAGCAGTTATTTTTTAATCTAATATGCATTTTCTTTAAATGAGCAGCAACAGAGACGTGAACGAGAAGCACGGAGGCAACAAGAACGTGAACAAAGGAGGCGTGAGCAAGAGGAGAAACGAAGATTGGAAGAACTTGAACGTCGAAGGAAGGAAGAGGAGGAAAGAAGAAGGGCAGAAGAAGAAAAGAGGCGAGTGGAGAGAGAGCAGGTGATTTATGTTGCTGTAACTTTTCAATAATTCATACTGGGTCAAAGAACATATAGTGGTGGTAGTATTAAACCATTAAGTAATTTTACCATTGATTATGCATTGATTATTTTGATATTTTTTTCACCTCTCCTTGCAGTTACTTTTCCCTCCCCTTGCCATTTTTTCAACATGTTTCACAACTTACATCCTATTGAATCCAGGAAAGCAAAGTCATATACAATCTGATCAATAGATATTTCCAAGACCATGATTGGCTGGCATAAATGATCTGCTAAGGTATATGGGGCCCCTTTTCCCTCTTTCTCCCTGAGATGAAATATCTCACTCTGGTACATCACTTCATCTAGTAGTTACAAGAAGTCTAGCAAGGGAAACAAATTCAATTCCCCAAATCTTCTGATCGGGCATCCATTCTTAAAATGTATTTAATATGCCACAATATATGTAATGCTAGGTTGCAAGTTTACCCACAAAATATTGTCACTCCACTTTCCAATATATCTGTGAAGGACTTTGAGATGTCTTGATGATGCAATAACTTTCAATAAATTTTCGGCCACAAAATATATAGTCAATTCACTTTACAGCATATTCTGTGAAGTGCTTTGAGATGTCTAGAAGACGTGAAAAGCGCAAGGATTATTATTATTAGAAATGCAAAGATTATTATTATTAAGTTCCTTGATCTAATTTTATTGCATTATCACCTTTACCGAGTATGAACTGCAAATGTAGGAGGGGAATGTAAACATTATTTTTATTAGTGAAATTCAGGGTATAATTCATGAGTGATTTTAGTTGTTATTGATCTTTTCCATTTTCCTCCCATATCCACCCCCTCCAAAATTGTTATTCTGGTCATGCTCATTACTACATTATTTTTAGTTGATCATTTAGTTTTGAATACTCGCACGACGCTTTGTTCTGGCTACTGCAATGCTTTGTGGAATTCTAAAAGACATTGTACCAGCTGTGATCAAATTTAAATTTCTCTGATTAAATTGAATTGTTTTCGAGGAGGAGGATTTTCAAATCTGTGCATTTTTGAACATTATTTTCCAGCTGTTTTCAATGATGCATGACATCAGACTAATCTGCCAAACTAAATTTAAAAAAAACCTACCAATTTTAGAAACAGAAAAGCAATTTCCAATTGTTAATAAGCTAACTGACTTCGGTGTTTGGTATGTAGATTTACCACAAATAAATAAGAATAATTTCGAGCTGTATAGCACCTTTCGCATATCAAAATGTCTCAGTGCTTCACAAAGACCGAGTGAGAGATGGGAATAGGAGGGAGGTGATTGAAGGTTTGGTCAAAGAGGTAGATATTTAAAAGTGGAGAGGGAGGGTGCCAGTTTGGGGGATGCAGGGACAAGGTTCCAGAGAGTGGGGGCAAAATGGCTCAATGCTCAGCCACTGTTTAATTGGGTAGAGGAAGCAAAGGTGTGAAACAGGCTTGAGTTAGCAGAGTGGAGGGAGTGGCCGGGGATGGGGGAAAGAAGATCACAGAGGGTTGGTTGAGGACATTAAGGTATTTGAAAGTTAGTACAAAGGTCTTAAAATCAATCTGCTCTTGAATAGGTTGTCTGGACAGCTTCACAACCATGAGGTGAAGAGTTCTCAGAGTTTGGTAGAGAAAAGTTGGAGTTATGGATAATCTGGAGCTCATAAAATGTTGGGCTGAGATTCACTACAAAGAGTTTCTTTGTAGTCAAACTAATGTAGTAATTCCTGATCCTGGTGTAATTTATGGATTGTTTTCCTACCTTCAGTGGAAACCAGAAGTAAAATGCAAATCTTGATAATGTTCTTTTTTGTGGGACATCATCCTGGTTGCTACATTGCAAGCTGCTGGACCTAGAATTGTAGTCTTGACTATGTATAAAGAGTTATCCTTAGCTGTAGTTGATGCCACAACAGGAGTAATGCTGGTAAATTTCATGTGCGGTTATTTTTTTCCAAACCAATATAATTTTGATGAACTTTCTTGAATGCATTTGAAGGAATGCTTCTTATAAGGTCTTTCTACTTATGATTCAACTCTGTAGAAATGGTCTGAACATCTGGTTAGCTAATGGAATTGCATATTAATAGCATAAGCAGCATCTTTCCAGGGCATTGGAACATTGAACAAAGCAAGAAGTTTTAATGTTTCTTGAATGAAGTTGATTGGCAGCTCAGTGCATCAGAGATGTCATTTATGTAATCTGAAAGATACACTTTTCAGTAAGTTGCGGTCAAATTTTATAAACTAATTTCTTCTCAGTGAATATTGACTCAGGCAGATGTATGTATTTCAGCTAGTAGGAAGAGAAAGAATTACGCTGGTAATTGATGAGCAGAATTTATTTTGATTTTACTTGCCCCTTCCCTTTCTATATCGTATTCATCAGAAACCAGGAAAGCAGGCTAGTCAAATCCATTGACTTTTCCTTCAATGATTTGCATGTAAAAGTAAACTGCCATTTTTTAGTTTCTCTTTCTGATGGAGGGAGCACTATATTTTTGTGCCTACTGTATCTAGCTGAATTTTGATTGCAGAATTTCTTCTTGAAACAGAAATGCATTACAGACTTCCACTCATTCTGCGGTAGTAACCATCCATTTATGTTTCAGGATGGTTTCTATAGCAGCTTTGATCCCCTCTTCTTTTCTCACCCCCACACCACAATCCCATGTAAATCCTCTGTTTTAAAATTGTAAAGGGTTTATCATTCCAATGTCTGCATGGATCCATGACAAGAAAAGCGTTTTGCTGTCTTGTGCAGGCTGATCAACCTGCTGGCAAACCAACACCATCAGTGAGTTGCGTATTTATGTTGCTAAGATGTGCAATAAGACACTTGGTATCACAATCGCCACCTCAGTATGTTGCCAAATTTGCCACTGCCCATGAAGTGGACATCAGCAACCTGGCATTTTAGATGGCACATTAGAATTTAATTTTGGCACTTTGCTCATGCATTACTGTGTAATTTTGTGACAGGAGTACATCAGACGTCAGCTTGAAGAGGAGCAACGTCATTTGGAAATTCTCCAGCAGCAATTGCTCCAAGAGCAGGCCATGTTACTGGTAACACATCATGTGTTCATTCAATTGCTGTGTGATTGATGTAGCTGGCAGCTTCTGTGCTATCTTGGTTTCTGCTGTTGCATTGTTCATGTATTATCAACCTAGTTGATTAGACTGTTGAGGTCAATATAGCACTGACAGCAACAGAACAGAATTGCACCAGCACTATATTTATCACTGAAGTTCCTGTGTGAAAATGATTTAGGTTATCTGTTTACCACTGTTATAGTATTTAATGGAAAAATCAGAACCATCTGAATTTAATGAACAGTGGTGCCTTAAATCCAATCTCATCTTCAGGAAAGCCATAAATCTCACAAAACTGAAGCATGGAAACATAACATTGAATTACTGGCCACTTAAAATAATGGCTTGTTTTTGTTGCCATGAGTATCATTTGAAAGGTGCTCTTTCTCCTCTTTCTCAATATTGCAGTTTATGTCTGAAGTCAGACTATTTTGTCAGTGTCCGTGTCAGTGTTCATTTAGATTGCAATATACTGCATTCTTTATGAACTGACTCACCCTTTAGGTGACTGGATATTCTTTCCACCATGCACGCCACAATTCCTTCCAGATTATAAATTCAGAGAACTCCAAAAAAAGGGAATTAATTCATATAATATATATCCATTTGCGTGGCCTTAGAAACTGTGACCAATTTATCAGTCATAAATAAAGTGAACGTAGTGTTTGATTGTAACATGATTGGCACTTCGTAGTATTTAATACTTTCTTGGTTAAAGTGAAGGTTTATAACTACACCTTGTATGTTTAAAAATAAAACTCAGACTTGATTTGGATGAGGGTAATGCATGATGCACATCAATTGTGGTCTTCCTGTGCCAAAATGTAACTGTTGCCCTGAATTTGGGTGGGACAGGCTTGATGGCAAATGGCTTACTCCTATGTTCCTAATTTGCTTGTGCTGATTGGCACTATATTCAGTTACCACCATAATGGGTGTTTTCCTAGTAAATTGTATTAGGTTTGCATCAAATGCTCATCTGCCTGGTGTGAATCTCTTAGATGGACAGCTGAGTACAGATATGATAGCAAGAGCTGGAAGTTTGGAATATTTTCCTTAAACCAGCAGACGACTCATCATTGCTGTGAGTCTACAGTCGAAAGAATTTAGCTTCAATAATTTGAACAAAAGTACAGCAACTACTAGAAAAGTCTTACATTGTTCTCTGGTATACTTACAGAATTTGTAATGTGGTCGAGCGATAAGCTGTGCTTAAAAATTATAAGCATGACTAACTTCATATATACTGTGTCCTTGAAGGAGTACAAATGGCGTGAGATGGAAGAACAACGCCAGGCTGAGAGATTACAGCGTCAGTTGCAGCAGGAGCAAGTCTATCTCCTGTCCCTTCAACATGACCAGAGACAACAGGAGAGGAACAAACAACCTTACCATGCATCAGAGCCAAAATCTCACTTTGAGCCAACTGATAGAGGCAGAGAGGTAAAGGCAGTCGTGCTCACCCAATATGTGTTAGACATTTCTGACTCTTTGATGTATTTCTCATGGTATTTCTCTCCTCCTGACTCCTGGTGACTCATCCTGTACTATGGTTCCACAGGAAGCAGCTCTTCAGGTACTTTAACAATGACACCTGACAGCCTGGACAATGAGTGTAAGTGGGCAGTTTGGTCACATGAGGCATTACAGAGAAACCCAACCCTTTCCTTGTTCAGTGTCTGGTGCAATTCCAGCAATGCTTAGTGGAGGTCAGAAGCAAATACTCAGTTCTGCTTTTTTCTCCCTCACCAAAGAAGGCTGAAGGCAATTGTAGGCCGACTGCATTAATGCCCTGGCTAGATCAGCACAAGTGATTCTTCAGGGACCGTATGATTTAGTTCCATGCCATATGTTGCTTTTATATGTGATTTCTGTTCCTATTGAACCATTCAGTAGATTTAGATAAAACCTAACTTTACTCTTTCATTCAGGCTGATGAAAGGTTCAAGAAGAGTAACCAGGGCTCGCCTCAAGCACAATCAAAACAAAGTAGCAAAGTTTTGGAGCCTCCAGTGCCTTCACGATCAGAGTCGTTTTCAAATGGAAGTTCTGAACCCAATCCAACTGCATTGCATAGGCCCATGGAGTCACAGGTAGTGTATCTGTCTTTAACATACATTACACACAAATAGGTGTTAAGATGGTGATACAGTGGAGTCTCATTGAACATATTAGTTGTGATCCCTATAAAGAGGTGTGATGGACGGTTTCACTGTGCATACATGCCATTCGATTTTCGCACTTAAGAAAAAGGACAACTTCCAGGTCATCAGCTGGTCACTGCGAAAGCAGGCCAGGTGCCTGCATAGTGATTTATGCAGTAAAGAAGTGCGTTATAATGGGCTTCACTTTGGATATCTGCACTAGAGAGGTTGAACAATTGTACGAGAGCCACATTCCATTTGAAAGTATCCTCCCCTATATCTTAGCTCGTCAGTTTCTGGTGTTAATTGCTATTCCAATTGCTATTCCATTTCAGCCCCAAATTGAAGATTAGCAATTCCCAACAATAAGCTTTTTTTATTGTTTTGAACTGCAAAAATGTCTGACTTTCGGGTTGCAAGGTTGCTACAGACGTGATGTAAGAAGCACTGTCTTGCATATAGCACCCATTTTAAATGCGCAGGAAGAGACGTCTGTGGAGTCTGTATAATCATTTTTGTAGTTGAAAAGATTGTAAATCCAAAATATCGGTGTGGGGGGTAAAAATTAAAACAAATATCTCTAATCAGTCAATTTTTTAAAAAAAACAGTAACTGGCAACCCTACCGTTTGAAATTATTTATGAATCTTTTGTCTGTTTAAATACCCTGAATAAAATAATTCACACATGAATGGACTGGTGTTCCATTCTATTTAAAATACCTGAAAATAACCCTATTGTTGGACACTCCTGCTTTAGGTGGAAAACAATATTTTATATAAGTGCATTTGGTAAGATTTTGCCTTAAAAACATGACGCGTAGTATCTGTAATATTAATGTATAATAATGGGGCATATAAAAATTATATATTACAAGACGAGGTGCAGTTTACTCGCCGATTACTGGGTCTTTAATATCATGTATTAATTAGGTACTCACCATGTTGTGTAATCTGACACATTCAGACTTCACTGTCTACTTACAGTGAATCTTTTATTTCACTGTAGGAATAAAGTAACATTTGAGATAATTGCTTGTGGTCTTCACAGATAAAACATTTACGTCCAGACAGTATATAAAATATGTTAATCCACCAAGTGCTGCGTTTAAGGCATAGTTTTATGTAGCGGCATATCTGATGTGTTACGGATATTATGACATTATCAGAGTATTTTTGATAAGATATTTTCAATCATTTGATAAGAAATCATTTGAAACTACTGTCTTCCTTTTTTCTTAACATATTTCGACGTGAAAAGCACTATATCAAATGCAAGGATTATTATTATTATTCTACTTTCCTGCATCACTCTCGTTGTGACCACATTAAATACATTGTGCTGCAATATTAGTCTTTCTTCCTGCCCATTGATGCATTACCCAGACAATTTAATTTGGTTAAACTTTTACTGGATCAAAAATTAGTTTAAATTATATTCAATATGCGAAGGTCCCATATTTGTTGAAGAGAGGCTTTGTACATTATTTTGTGGCTCAACTGTTGATAGCTGAAATTATATTTATTCGCCTCAGTTGATTGTAGGTTTGAAAACAAATTCCCAGCAACTTGCATTTACACAATGCCCTTCACATGAGTAGCATCTCAGAGTGCTTAAACAAAACTTACACCAATGTGAAACCATTTTATGGTAAATAGCTTGAGAAAAATACAGTTAATATTAACTCGTACATTGCTGTTCAAGACTTGGCGCTTTAAGTAATGTTTGCGTGTTTTGGAAAAGTTTTCTCTCCCTGTGTACTTCAATGATGCATAGGCAATTCTATTGCAAGACAAGCTTCCTGTTCTCCTGTTGAACCATCTATATTCGATACTGCACAGAGGCCATTCTTTGCTGCTATTAAATAAAAATAAAATGACAGTAATGTTTGAGCAGCTTGAGAGTATTCTATATTGAATGTGACCTCATTTGAGTTTGTAAGTACAGTGTTCAGTCAGACCACTACAAAACATTTAGCCTGAACTCGAGTAGTTAGTAGTGCATGCTACTGAATGATTTTTTTCCCCATCTTCTAATTTTTAACTGTTGGGAATTGAGTGGATTTTGTACAATGCTGCTGTCAATTATTCCAATTATGAAAAGTGCTGATGGTACTGAAATTATCTTGTAACTGAACTGGCATTTAAATAAGCTATCTGAGTGAGATTGCTTGTGCAGGGATCACTTTTTTTTCCTTGTTCGCATTCTGTTGTAAACAGCAGGAATAGCTAAGTGTTAACAGTGTAAACTCTAGCATTAAATTCAGTAAATTCAGTAGTAATTGAACAGGAAAGTGTTGGCAAGAATGTAGGTTATTTTAAATTTACTTGGGTCGGTGACTTGCAAAATAACACACTCAGAAGGCAGTTCTTCTGGGGTCCTGTTTGCATCTTTCTCCTGATGTCTGTCCCATGAGAATTCAAATACATAAGCTTTTTATTCTGCTCGCTTCCTTTTTTTATCATTCACATCAGCTGTCCCCGACACCCTCATCACCATTATTTTCAGGCAGGTTGTTTACATTTCTGTCAAATGTAACTTCCTCTTAATATTCTTTCTTAATATTGATGGACAGAAGTTCATTTTAATTACTATGATTTTTTTCTATATGAATAATGTATTTTTGATGTTTGTGTAATTCTAAGGTTCCAGTGAGAACTACACCCAGGTCTCCTGTGTTGTCTCGTCGAGATTCTCCATTACAAGGCAGCAGTCAGCCTAGTGCCCAGAATGCTGCAAGAAGGTGATTTTTTTTTTCTGGTGTGGTCCAATTAATTCCTCATAAATCATAAAATTTGTAAAACTAGGTTATACTTTACTGTGAGAATGACGAAGAATGGCATGTGAGGATTCAACGCTGGGTTAAGAATTATTCTTAGCTATGACTTTCTGTATATTACTGTGAAGGTCAAGAACTGTGCTATATGTGCTCCCAATCGTTCTGTGCTTTGCAGGTCACAAATTCACTCTGTTGCAAGATGCGGGTCTCAAATTGCTGAGACCTATGTACAAACCACTAACCTAACGTACATCAAAATTAATTCACTTCACAATTTCTTAACAGCTTGGAAACTTTGTGTCTACTATTCACATCGGGTGCTTTTTCAAAGTAAACCAAGCCAGTAATAGACAGGATTTGTTTATTAAAAAAGAGATAATGTGCAATTCTCTGCTTGGTAAGTTCCCAATGGTCCCAGCTTCTGTTGGGTGGAAGTTGATCTCAACAGGGAGGGAAAGACAAGTCACAGTCTTTCGTATGTTTTGCGACCGGCACAAAAAAACTTAGAATTGGGTTAACTGTGCGTCCACTATGGAGAATGGTGCACAAAATGGGAGAGACCCAACACAAATAAATGTAATACCTGGACGAAGACCAAAGAATAACAAAATGAGAAACATAAATGGTTTATTTTTATTGAGGGAGTTCTGATGGTGAGAAATACTCAGCCATATCGTGGGTGGGAGTCACTGTACTTCTGTAGGTAACTTTCAGCAACTGTTTTAAAATACTAAATTGGAGAGTTTCAAATTCCAATTTGTGGGGAGTCTGAAGTGATAGTGTAGTTGGGTTTTCTGCTATTGTCAGCATTGTATTTGTTGAAAGGGAGCTTTTGCTATTGGCGTCACAAGACAGGCTGAATACAGCTTCTTTTTCAAATGAGATAGGCGTGTTGCTTACTTCCCTTTGTGTCCTAAGCTATTTGAAACTCTTCTGGCTATCGACTGCCTGATTATCTCATGTTACAGTTGTGTGTGATGAAATCTTTTCCAGTGCAATTTATTGAAATGCCAATGGTTATATGGTGTCCAATAGTAAGAGCAGTGTTTTTGGTCGGTTTGCTTTTTGGAAGCAAATAAATACAACTTCCCAGAACTAACTAGGCGTTAAACAAGTGTATGTTTAGGAAAAATAACAACAACAAAATTACATTTGTATAGTGCCTTTCACGTCCCAAGGGGCTGGACAGACAGAGTTTCAGACCTGAGCTGGGGGTAAATTATGAAGAAGTTATTAGAAGTATATGGAAAAATTCAGCTTCTCCAGCTTGATGCAACTGTTATCTAAAGGTCCCAACCTTCTGACATGCATCTGGTTTTACTCAGCAGTTTTGGTTTACTGATGCTGTTACTCGTTTATTTTAAATTTCATTTGTCTTTCTGTAAATACAGTACTTAACACAATATCCTATTTTTATCAAATGTTGAAGTGTTGAGTCCCTTGCTGCAATATGTATCTATCCAAAACCATTTGCTTAATTCACCTACGGGGCTATCTATACTAATGTTCTACCCATTAGTATTAAAGTGTGAGCTCGCCAGATTAATGCTTTTTTCTCTTTGTAGCAATATAGAGCCCAGACTGTTGTGGGAGAGGGTGGAGAAGCTCGTACCAAGACCAGGCAGTGGCAGTTCCTCAGGCTCCAGCAACTCTGGCTCACAGCCAGGGTCTCATCCTGGCTCTCAGACTGGATCTGGGGAACGTTACAGGCTGCGATGTGAGATTTTCCTTTCCTAGTTAATTTAGTCAATTGCTTGCGTTGCTTTTGTTAAACTTATAGAGTCTCTGATGTGCCTGCAGTTTTGAAGGGGGAAGAAGGTCAAAAGTTCACTAAATTACTATAATTGTCAAATTAATTTGGTAGTAAGTGGGTTTAGTCCCTTGAACATCTTCAAAATTTGTATTTACATCTCAAGAATTAAATTCATAATTTTCCTTTTAACTTATTTTTCCCTTTAAATTTTGAACCCATTTTTTTACAGAGTGAGTTTTTTTGCCCTTCTAATTCAGAAATTATGTTGTTGATTTTGTGGCATTTCTTTACGGATTTCCTAATTAAGAAATCTGGAAATCCATAGTGCTGATTCAAGAGAATGTCATTCCAACTCCAATCTATCTCAGAGTAGAGTTCCCTCAAATTAGTGTTCCATATCAAGCTTACAGTTTCGATTTTGTAATGAAAAATATCACAAAATTGATCCCTGTGAATCATCCTGTTATGGTACTTACGATTTTAGTTGCAAAATCCATCTTTTGCTTACTTCCCCTATGATTCAGAACTCTTCACCTACTTGTTTTGAGGGATTAGTCACTCTCTTGGATTAAATGGGGGCTGCAGTTCGTCCTGTATCTCCATATGGACCAGCCTCTGGGTTGGTAGATTACAGATTCAAGTCACACAACAGTACCTAATTTCATAATCTAGACTCACACCTCCTAAGTAGTGCTGAGTGAAGGAAGAGCTGCATTGCTGCAGTACTGTTCTGGTAGATCAGACATTTTCCTGCTTTCCTGGATATAATCCTCCAAATCCGCCAACTCCTGGTTCACAGTAAACTGCATATTCATACTATTGCTGTAAGTGGGATACTAGCACCAATGTTTGCTGTTACAAATCATTAAACTTTAAAGTGACTTAATGTATGACATTCTTGAGATGTTTTGATACGACTCTTTATCAAATGTATGTATTTTATTTATTATAGTTTTTTCCTGACCTTTTGTTGACAGCATCTTCAAAATCTGAGGGTTCACCATCACAACGCCATGAAAATCTTACCAAAAAAACAGAAGATAAAAAGGACTTTAGGCCTAGCAGACCAACTGTAAGCTCTTTGAAACTTGCCTACTTTAATATGGTAGTTTCCTTCCCATGTCATGTTAATTCTGAGTGTTATCAAAAAAATGTTTTTAAGTGAAATGTTTCCTGCTTGTAATGGACACCCTTCTTTCATTGGTTTTGAAATTTTACATCAAAATAATAAGTAAAACTTTTTCAAAATCTCAAAACAAATTGAGTCTGCTTAAAAACAGTTTTGAATGTTATTTTGTTTTATTAACTAGTACAGTAAACCTCACATAAGTCGGGAAACCTTGGGCAGGGTGAAACCTTGGGCAAGTTTGCTTACTCCACACGCCTAATAGTAATCCCTCCAAAAAATAAAAACAATAATAAATTGGTCATTTTCAATCCACGACTATTTGTGGGACACTGCTGTGCGCAACTGGCTGCCACGTTTCGCCCACAAATACGGTCAATTCACTTTACAGTCTCTTCTGTGAAGCGCTTTGAGATGTCGAGAAGACGTGAAAAGCGCTACATCAAATGCAAGGATTATTATTATTTATTATATATATTAGTCGATTCAGTTAGGACCGTACATTTAATATGACTTGTGCAAAGTGATGTCAAATGTCAAACTTACATAGAATATAAACTCTTGAACGCGACTTGGGCAGATTCACGACTTGGGTGATTATACGATTTACTGTAGCTAAAGTATGAGTTTATATTGACTTTTTTTTCCTTTTCCATTTTGATGTCTAACCTATTGGTGTAACCTATGATGCCACATGACTTGATCACATGAACGCACACTCCGTACCGTTGATGTGTTAGGGCGAAGTGGTAAGCAACGTCATTTTAATAGCCTTCCTCTTTGCTGCCTGTGCTTTTCACTTGCTTTCACAGTATTCATTAAGCTTTCATAAGTTTAGGAGTCATTTGTATAGTCCGTATTGTTCAAGTGGGATTAAGGGATATGGGGATAAGGTAGGGTCAGGTTATTAGCTGGAGTTAGATTAGAAGATCAGCCACGATTGAATGGCGGGGCAGGCTCGAAGGGCCGAATGGCCTACTCCTGCTCCTATATGTTATGTTAAGTGAATGTTAGGAGCGAAATTGCTCGCTGTTTAATTGCACTGTGATTTTGAAGGCTAGAAACAGAGTTTCCAGCATAGAAGAGGGCTACAGCAACTTTCGCCCACAAAATATACAGTTAATTCACTTTATTCTGTAAAGCACTTTGAGGTGACTTCAAGATATCATAAGGCACTATATCAAATGCAAGGATTATTATTGTTTATTAACTGGTTGTGTCTGTACTCTGTGATTTGTCCCAAGAGGTTTATGTACAGGTGACTATGTAGAGCAAAACATTTCATAATAGTTAGGAAAATGTAAAAGTTTTCTTGGGAGTGCAATAATTTTCCTTCTCTTCCCCCTTCTTCTCTTCAGTGGTGACCTGACAACCCAAAGTTTGGCCAGTTTGTAGCACGAATTGCCAGTTAGTCAGAGCCTGAAGCTACGAGCAGCATAGGCTCTGCAACCACGGTGGTTCAGCGCCTTGGGATGTCCTCCTGACATGAAAGGCGCTATACAAATGTAATTTGTTGTTGTGGTTTCTAGCAGGGCTGGGCTGTAATTTTAAGGTTTTAAGGAGAAAGATTTTTCAAAACCAATCTAACGTAGAAATTACCGAGATACAACGTCCTTTACTGCAACCAACACAAAGAGTAAATGTAATTGTTTTTGAATGATCTTCCTTCTACAATAATATGAAAAAGGTCAGTCATTTGGGTGGAGGATGTATGACCTTGACTATAGCATGGTAAGTGGGTGGTTTGCCCTGCTGCAGTGAAGATAATACATGACTGATATGAAGGAAGAATTGAATTCCCTAAATCAGTTACAATTTAAATTTGCATTTATATTGCACCTTCCACATTTGGAGGGCTCTCTCACAAAGTTCTTCAAGGAGCTGGACAGGCATCTGAACTGGGGGTGGGAGCCAAGGGTTATGGGGAGGGGAGAGATGCCAAAATATACAGTCAATTCACTTTACAGTATAGACTGGGAAGCACTTTGACACAGCTTGAAGACGTGATAAAGCAAAGTGTGGTTGAAGAAATACATTTTGAGACTTGCCTTAAAAGAGAGGAGAGAGGGAGGGAGTTGGAGGTTGGATTTGCAGAGAGTGGGGCTAAAAATCCACCCACCAAAAAACATACAACCACAACAACAACAAATTCAATTTGTTTTGCACCTTTAAAGTCAGTAAGACATCCCAAGGCGCTGATGTTACAAAGCAAATACAAGGGTTGCAAAGCAAATTATATTGAAGTGGATGGGCATTTTTGATACTGGAGTGTTGGATTTTGAGGCTTGTATATTTTGAATCAGAAGAAGCCTTTTTTTTTGGTCGTGCAGGTGAAGTCTTGACTTCATTTTACATTCCAAAGTTTTTATTGCCCTTACATCAGCATCTGTTTTAGCCCTTTCTAAATTCAATGACTCTGCCATTCCTGTATTTCTCAGATTCATGTGACTTGTTTCCGCCTCTGAACTGCACTTGTACCTTCCAATTTCTTTGGCTTATCGAGTATTTGATGTTTGATAGAAATGTATCTAACCTCTCTCAAGGTCAGGGTACAGAAATGTTCTAATTTAGTTTTCAGTTGAACTAGACATGAAAATTCCTGACTGTTATTTGAGACACTAGAATTAGATTATCACAGTGTGGTCACTTGAAGCTTTAAGTTTCAAAGCCTGTGGTTTTCTTTGTTCCCCTACAAATACACAGTCGATTCACTTTGGTGTATATCCTGTGAAGCACTTTGAGAGTTCCTCCTCACATGAGAGGTGTATTATCAAATGCAACTATTATTATTATTATTTTAAGCACCAACTTCAAAAACCTGACTTGCAACTTATTTTCTTTCAGGATCTTGCTGCCTTGGCTAAGGAACTCCGGGCTGTGGAGGACATCCGGCCTCCCCAGAAAGTTACTGATTATTCGTCATCAAGTGATGAATCGGGAACGACTGATGATGAAGATGAAGATCTTGACCAGGAAGGGACAGACGAGACTGGTCCTATGTCCGATGATGCTAGAGCAATGTATGTTATCTTAACTAATAGTAGTGACATACTTTGCTTGATGTACATTAAATACATTCACCTACAAATCCACAGTCACAGCACCTCACAATAAATTCTGTGAAGCACTTTCAGATGTCTTGATGATGTCATAAGGCGCTATATCAAATACAAGGATTATTATTATTACAATTATAAGAAAAATGTAGTCCATATTTAGAATCCTTGCAGTTTCTGGAAATTCTATTTAATAATTTTCAACTGTTCGTGACTGTTCTACTACTGCTAAAAGTGTTGCTGTAATGTATATATACTTATACTATAACGTGGGGTCTCACTTTAAAGGGAATTGCAATGCAACCCTGTTATAACATGCATCTTTAGTGTGAATTCAGTTAAAACCTGGAATCATTTGACCCATTTCACTGAGCAAGGTTACACACTTTTACAGTAAAGTGGCTAACTTCCAGCTCAACGTGCGCAAAACTGAGGCCCTCCTGATTGGCTCGCGTCAGTGCCTCCGCACCTCAGGCGCTGATAGCATCAGCATCCAAGGCTGCACTTTCCAACTCTCAAAGCCAATCAGGAACCTCGGTGTTCTGCTCGAACCTGAGCTGTCCTTTCTACCCCACATCCGCGCCACAACTGGCACCGCCTTCCCACACCTCCAGAACATCGCCAGACACTACCTCACCCCTCACGCTGCTGAAACACTGGTCCACGCCTTTATCACCTCAAGGCTGGACTACGGGAACTCTCTCCTCGCCGGCCCTCCCGGCACCTCCCTCCACAAGCTGCAGGCCATTCAGAACTCTGCAGCTCGTGTACTGTCCCGCACCAGGCTTCGCGACCACATCACTCCCACCCTCGCTCGCCTGCACTGGCTCCCCATCCCCCAGAGGATCGAATTCAAGATCCTCATTCTCACCTGCAAGGCCATTCACAGCCTTGCACCCTCCTACCTCTCCGACCTACTGTCCCCCTACTTACCTGCCCCTATCTGGCTCCGGTCTGCTCCACATCCCCCGCCCTAACTGCCCTTCAGCCTCTCAGCCCCGAGGCTCTGGAACTCTATCCCCCAGTGCCTTCGCCTTGCTTCCTCCCTTTCCTCCTTCAAGGCCGGTCTCAAGACCTTTCTCTTCAACCGTGCCTTCAGCTTCCCTCTCGACCCTCTACCCCCTCCTCGCTCCCTCCCTCCCTTCCCTCACCCTGACCATTTCCCCCCTGTTTGGATCCCGACCCAACTGTCCAGTGCCTTGGGACATCCTCCCAACGTGAAAGGCGCTCTATAAATGCAATCATGTTGTTGTTGATGTTGTCCTTGGGTCACCACCTACCTCACTTGCAATTGCAGAAATTGCTAACTGTGTGATAACCTGAAGCCCTGAAAGTATCTTTTTTTAGTGCAGGATGTAAGTTGGTCTGCTGTGTGTATGCTCAGCGAAACTGGCCACTGTGCATTGCTAGATCATAAGTTGGGTTTTTATAGTTTACAGCCACTATAGCAATGCTCCACTGTATAATGCCTGCTTCCACCACTCTCTCACAATTGGTATCTTGCTTATGTTCTAGAAGCTTACCTTACTTGTTGGCATCACATCATTAATTAGGTCCCATGTTATTAAATCACTTTGTAAATATAGAATTTTGAACATATATAATAAAAATAGCTAAATAGGAGTTACAATGTAAGTCTAGAGTATTTGGGTCAGACTCTTTAAAACATCTGAGTTTGACTTGTTCTTCATGATCTCACAATCATTTTGAATCTTCAAAGTCGAGAAGTGTGCTGAAGATTTAAACTGTTCTGGATTTTATTTATCAGATCGTCTTCAAAGCTGAGCAATGGAGAGACTGAATCAGTGAATACAATGATAGTTCACGACGATCTGGAGTTGCCGACTGAAACTTCTGTTACTCCCTCTAAAGATGGCACTTTAATTGTTCGACAGGTACTGTATTTGACATACTAACTGAGGTCCATCAGTTGGTTATTAATTCACTCATTTACCCATCTGTTAATTTTTGCTGTAATGTGTTTTTTCCTGTTAGTTATGCACTGATTGGGATTCCTTGATGTATGATGAAATATCAGTTCTTGTGGGCTAGAGTTCTTTTGTTGTCCCCTGGGCACAAAGATCATTTTAATCTCTTCATTTTGATGCAGTTGTCTTGTAAGTAACTGGCGCCCGTCACAATAGTCAATACATTGAGTTCTGATAGACAAGAAGTGACTGCAGACTTTAAAAAAAACGTAGGTACCTAATATGTTCATTTGTAAGTCTAACATCTAGCTTTAAAAAAACATTTCTAAATAAGACTAACCTGTTTGTAAGCGTCCATTCATGAAAGTGTTTTGTTCTAACTGCAGACTTAATTTTTTTTAAACTAAAATCTCATATTCGCAGCTCTAGGGAGGTAAGCAGCTTTTAACTTGGTTGAGCAGCAATCATGCCCTTATATGCAAGCAAGAACATTTAGTGATGGAGAAAAGCCCTTATCATGTTCTGCTTAAACCTACTTAATTTAAATTGTTTTGAGCAAATCAAATTATCCAGTCCCCATAGTACATCAGAACCACATTATAAGATTAAAGCCATGTTTTTCTGTGAATATTGTAACTCATTACTAGTTTAAGTAGCATCAGAAAATTCCCAGAAAGAGCATTAAAATATGAGCAGTGTGTTCCAAGTCTTAATTCTAAGTACAAGGTAAAACATTGGCCGGTATCTGTTTTACCTGGCATAATGTATAAGGTTAATTAGCTAAACTTGTTTTTGTCAAATTTCACCAAACCTAGTTTTAACTTCTGGGACTAGCCCTTCTAGATAAAATTTACACTCTCCAATTTTGATGCATTAATTCTTCTGCCAGTTAGCTGGGAGGGTGATAGGTTTTTGAGCAACTCTTCAGCAAGACAAGTGTGCCTGTTTTTTCTACAGAGCGCAGGTGACTTAAAGCGTGCCAGCCACCATGAGAGTAATGGCTTTGCAAGCCGCATTCACCTCTTGCCAGATCTCATACAGCAAAGCCATTCCTCCACCTCCCCAACCACCCAACAGGCTCCCATCCTGTCCCCTCAGCTACCCCGGGACGAACTTACTACTAATGAGGTATGTCTGATGCCACGGCAGGCTGTTCTTCTGGCCTACCACTCCTATAAACTAGCTAGCCACAACACTGCTCCGGTCAATCTCCGATGCTTTCATCTTTAATCTTTGCTGTGTAACAATAATTCTACACCATTGTTGTAGAATTCACTAAACCCTGTTACTGGGTAGAATGTTTTGACTCCCAAACTTGCCAGTTAATGGATATTATAACGTTTGACTTTTTAAACAAAAATAAAGAAAATTCATAAGAACTGTGATGTGCAGTTTTTATTTTTTAAGCTTATTGAGAAGATAGATTTAAACTGGTTCACCCGGTTCTGAAATTAATTTGTAAATCCTAATGTGCTACTTTTAAAGTCTCGATTGTGCCCAATTTAACCATAAACATTTTTAAACCATTTTATAGTATGATTGGCACCAAATGTAGTGCAATATATAAAACCTCAATTTGCTGCCTTCTGATAAATTGTAGATGAAATCACAATTTAAAAAACTTACTTCAGTTTTAGCTCATTGGTGCAGCTTGCTTTATATGCGGACATCCAGTTCCTTACAGGCAATAAATATTTTGTTTTACTGGTAGATAGACAGTGAACAGATCATAAATATATACCTTGTACGCAGTAAATCAAGAGCAACTGGTTTTCCTCATTCACCACCAGATTCATCTTAACATCGTGTCTCTGTGTAATTGCTCCTCTGATGCCTGACCTTTAGCCACTATTTTAAAGGTGTTTACTACAATTTAATAATTGACGGTATGCTGTCTTAATAACATTCCAGATTTTATCTTTAGTGCACAAGTAACCGTTGCGTTTCTAATGATCCAGTACTTCAGCCCAGCTTTTGAATTAATAGTAGCGAAACTGCTTTAATAGTTAGTATTTACATACATTCAAAGTGTACAGATTTTCTGGAAAGTCATTCATCTTCAATTGTGTACAGAAATAATTTCAAGTGGTTTAAAAACCATTTTTGTAGTCACATTTAAATGTATATTCTGCCTTCACAGGATACATCCATTTTTAGTTTGAAATTTAATGCAAGGATGCATTCTACCCCACAATTAAGTAAACTGACAAATAATGCTCGAGTTCTATAATATATATATATATACACACATATATGTGGTGGTTCAAAGTATATGCACCAGAGATGGTATAATTTAGTTTTTGCTCCAAAGCTGAGCTTCTTACAGCATTTAGCTGTCTTAATTTGGTCTGTCTCGTGGAATGTGAAATCAGCAGATTGGGCAAAGTGGAGTCTCAGTGGCAGAAGTCAAATTGAGATTAATAAATGCAGTAATGAAATGTGTATAAATAGAGTAAAATTTATCCCTTATAATCCCCAGTCTGAACTTCAGAAATGAATGTGCTATTACAGCTGTCACTTTTTTGACTACCAAAGCTATAATTCCCATCATTTTTTCCCCTAATATGTAAATCGGAATTAAAAGAAGCTTAGTTGTTTAAAAAAGCATGGTTTGTTAATAGGATGCTAATGTTTTCTTAGCAGAAGTTCCTTTTATTTACATTTGACATCATTCAATCTATACTTTCCTCCAAATAGTACAAATAGATTAGTGGTGTGCTGTAATAGGCTACATAAGCTTTACAGTTCTATTTAAACCCGCAGTGTCTCACAATTCTTCCTCATCAGCCAGACATATGAAAGGCTACCTGAAGCTATTTTACAAACTGTATATTTTTCAGTGTTCTGAAAGCTGTTACAAGATATTCACATTTTCACTACAGAGATGATCATCAGGACCTGACAGCAGATTTTTTCCTCCACTTTTTTAGTTTTACAAATGGTGATTAAAATAGGAATTGTTTCATAATCTGATTATTTGACAACTTTCAATATCTGATACAGTTTTGGGGGAGAAACTGAATCGTTCATGGTGCCTGAGGGTAACCAATTCATTGTGCAGATGCATTAAATTTTTATGGCATGAAAGTGTTAGACTAGATCGGGACCTCACTTTCAAAAGTGGTTTGAAGCTTTGTGAACCTGCTTTTTAAATAATTTTGTAAGAGCTTCCTGTAATTAAGTATTAAATCAAGATGAGGGTTTTAGCTTCTGAATAGTTTGGTTTTATGATGAGCCAAAAAATTATTTAGATTAATAGAGGGAAAACTCTTGACATATTCTCTTTTTGGCTTACATTAATTGTAAGCAGGCCGAAAGCTATAAGCCCCAAACCCCAAATGAACCTCTTCCTCTCCCCTGCCCCCCCTCCCTTTTCTCTCTTTCCCCGTGCTGTAGCTGGTCTAACAAATAATCACACAGCTGGCTCTTTGTCGAAGATAATTTTGACTGAGCTAAATTTCCTGTAGTGTAAAGTTGTGGGTTGATTCTTTTAAAAAAAAATGAGACTGCCTTTTGGCTGGGAAAAGCTGATTTGACAGGTTTTCAGTTTTATTTCAGCAGCCGTCAGCCACACCATATTTCACTTTAATCTTCTTGGTATAATCATCCTAACATTTATAAGCATTAAACTGGCAAGTTTTTTTTGTTCTTAAAACGTCACTGTCATTCACATAACTTCTCTAACATCCCCTTCTTGTTTTACCATCTTCCCTCTTGCCTTGCTTGTGCGGTTAGATGTGTTTGAAAAAATGGTTAACCCTTTGATGACTGCAGTCACATTTCTACACCACATTTTAAAAAGTAATAATTTACACACTTTTTATCTAGAAAATAGTGCGTATTTGGCTTAGGCTAGAGTAGAGACTTACTCAATGACTGACTGGGTAATTGCTCTGCCTTACTCTCTCTTGCGGAGCAGGAAGGTTCCTGGTTCAATAGTTGATCTCAGTTAGGGTGGCAGTGGGACACTTTGATTGACCTTTTTGTCATGGGGGTCTAGAAAAGTTGAGGGGAAAACTAAGCACTCCTGATTGCTGTCCAGTGATTCCCGCTGGGGAGTTTGCAGATGTGGGTGAGTGCTGACTGCAAACAGGATTGTGCTCCCCCTTTGTGGTCAAAATAGTTTATCAGTTCCCAATTGTCAAGCCTCACACATGAGGAAAAATCACTTGGGTGAAGAAGTGGAGGATTTCCAACAAGTGTCGAATTGTATCATGAATTTCCACCTTCAGGACTGGAAATAATTGGAAAGAGGATTGTGAATTACAAAGAGTTCAAAATTGATCTGTACTTAATCTAGTTTTGTTTCAAAATGTTCAATTTCCCCAAATGTGCTTTTTTTTGGAAAGATGTAAAGGAAAATGGGAATGGTTTGTAGAAAGGACCTTCAGTGCTCAGAGGGTTAAAGTGAAAAAATGAGAAGTTCTGCAATTTCATGAAAATAACCCATTGCTGCTCAAGAATTATTTGTTGCAGCAAAATTCACTTTGGCTGCCAATTAAGTCATATGCCTACCCTTACAGTTGCATTTGTTCACTCTCTTATCTACTTGTGGATGGCAGCTCGATCACAGAAGCAGTTTTCACCCTCCGTATTGTCACTTCTTAGTTAACTCAAGGAAAATTGGATTTGGGCAGTGTTGCACCAACAATGTGCAAACATCACAAATACTGTCTTTGGAGCAAGTGAATTTTTTTAATGAAATTGTAGTAGTACTATTGATTATAAACTTAAATGCATTGTACAATGTTCATGAAATGTTGGCAGGAATTCTTGCCGTTGTCATTTTTAAAAATCAAAGTACAACATAATACTCATTAACTCTATTTTGGTTTGAAGTACTTCTCTGCTCAAACAGTGAGCATTGATGTCAACAGGGTTGTGCTTGCCACTACATTGGATGAGCTATTGAGTGCAGTGGTGTGAGATATCTGAATTGATGTCAGTTTATAATCCCAGGTGTTCAGTATCGTGTCACAATGTTTTAAAATGTCATTAACTCGCAACCCACGGGTTCAAATTCCAACCAGTCAGCCAATTACTCTGAAATTGCACACACATGGTTTAGCACTTAAATAGATTTTATTTTAAATTGGAATGTTTTTAATTGATTATGGGATCTCTTTAACATTCTTTTTCAAAAAGAACAAGACTAGTTTCATGAGAATTATTTAAATTGGAGAGGATGTTTGAGGACACCATGACTAGAAAGGCCAGGGCTTGGCTTCAGTACTTTAAAGGAGGAGTCCAGAATGATCTGAGCAAGACTGCAATTTGTGTTTTTAAGGCTGAACAGAACAGCTAGTGTGCATAGCAGTGCAGACTTGGCTGTAACTGTTTTTTCAAATGCAAATTGCGAATTACATCTAATATCATTTCTATGTGGTCTGCTGGTAATAAAGTTGTACAAAAACAGCTTAATATCAGCAAATAAGAGAACTATGACATTTTTCATTACATCACATGCCTTTAATGCTGCTATTTTTTAAAAAAAGCTTGACTGAATCTTATGAATGGTGTTTTCCAGTTCAAGATGCCTTTTATCAACTATTGAAACAGTACAGTTGTTTGAATTTCTCACCGTGAGCTGCAAATATCTGATTTGTAAATTGCATTTGACGTATTTCCGAATCATTATGTTTATTCGCTTACAAGTTTAATTGACCAACTGCCAATTTGCTTTGGGAAATGAGTTGTTTAACTTTCTTCCTTCATTAGCATAAAGTTGCAAAGCATGCTATGCTTTGGGTGACTCTCTCTCTTTAGAAACTGTAATGTTAGACAGTCATTTTAAATGATTGATTCTGAAAGACAGTTGTTTTGAACTTGCTTCAACAGTCAAATATATTAAATTACTGTAATGTATTTATTAAAATAGTGAATTGAAAAGGCAGATTCACTTGTATAGTTTCTCTTTTGATTCAATATTGACAATCTGGTTTGAGAATGTTTCACAGTATTACAGAATATTCCAAGTTGGTAGCTAACACTGAAATTGAAGCATAACATTTAAGGGTCGAACTTGCCCCAAAAAGTTGAATAATTTGTCAATTTTTTAAAAAAAAAGAAACTTTGAAAAATACTCAAATTCTGTGAGCGACAATTTGAATACAAATCCAAACAGAAGAGTTCTTTACCCTGCTCTCTTCCCTCACTGAAACAAAATGTACTCTGAAAACTACTGGTTTCATCTTTTGTGTCCATTTTGCTCATGATACCTTCTTTGCCTTCATAAATTGCTATCAGCTGCTATTGTACCACTAATATAATAATAACCCTTGTATTTGATAAAGAGCTTTTCATGTCTGCTAGACATCTCAAAGCACTTCACAGAATATATTGTAAAGTGAATTGACTGTATATTTGTGGGCGAAATGCGGCAGCCAGTTGCACAAAACAGTGCTTTGGGATGTCCTCTTGATGTGAAAGGCGCTCTACAAATGTAATTTTGTTGTTGTTGTATTTTGTTATTGTCCCACAAACAGTCGTGGATTCAATGACCAAATTATTATTGTTTTTTTTCTTGAGTGATTATTATCCCCGGAAAAGCGATCCGCCAATTGACTTAACAACCAGTTTAGTCCATGATAGTTGGATTAAGCAAGATAGTTTAGTTCATGTTGCCTTGGAAATGGAATGCTTCAACTTTAGGAAGTCAGAAAAATGTCTCCAGCATATTCCTGCTGGTGCATGTTCATAGACATGTACAATTTATTTACTACAGGTTTCTTTTCAAATTAATAAATACATCATGTGAACAGTGGAATATTCATAGTAAACATTGGTTGAATATAACAATAACAAATAATTACAATTGCATAGTACCTTTCACGTTGGGAGGATGCCCAATGTGTAAACCAGATTGCTAATATTGAATCGGAAGAGAAAGTATACCAATGAATCTGCCTTTTTAATTCACTATTTTAATAAATGTTACCCTAATGTTATACACTAGCTTGTTGAAGCTAAAAGTTAATTCACTACTAAGTGCTGGGGGAGCAAAATATTGCTGCAAATTATAACGAAAAAATCACTGGTAAACCAATTAGTACTTTTAAGATAATTACTTATTAGAAATTTTGATGCACTGTAGTGTGGGGACTGTTCATTTCAAGCCACCAAATGGTGTTTTTGCATCCCTGTGTCTTACTAGGAATGTTGGCAGTCAGATGTAAAAATCAACATTTGTTTTTTTTCATATAGTTTTCATTCTGATTGAATATTCCTATTACAGACCCAGTCAGCAGGGAGCACACTCCAAAAACACAAATCCTCCTCGTCATTCACACCATTTATAGATCCCAGATTACTGCAGATCTCTCCATCAAGTGGATCTACTATATCTTCTGTGGGTAAGTGAAACATAACAGTTCAGTTGTGTTTTAAGGGTTTAAGTCTTCCTGGAAATATTTGATTGAAGTCATATGTTACGTTCAAAATAATTTGCATTAGTTTCAAAATAATTTATTATAAAATAAGTTTCAGTTTGTAGATGTAGATTAAGATATTTGAGGTGCTTTGACTACTGTTATCTTGTAAGTCTGGATCAATAAATGAAGCACTAACTAGATTAAATATTGTTTGTCAGATACAATTACCTGCCATCTGATGTTCCATCTTTGGTGGCTAATGGTGTTGTTGGTGGGGACATGACCAGATAGATTTAGCCTTAAACCTACCTCTGTAGTTAGACTCCCCTCCCACCCCCACCCTGTCTCAGAGCGCTTAACAGTGGCAGCGCTTGATGCTGAGCTACGGAGAGGAGGGTAGTAACCATAACTACAGTCGAAGAGGAAGGTCTTCGGGTGAGATCTGAAGACTGGGAAAGAGGAGGCAAGGTGGAGAGATTGAGGAAGAAGAGTACCAAAGGTTTGGGGCATAGTGGCTGAAGGCACAGCGGCCAATGGTAGATTGGAGAGGCGAGGGACAATGCGAGGTAGTGGAGTGGAGCGTAAGCTGGTTGGAGAGATATTGAGGGGAGGTGCCCTAGCATGAAGTGATTTGTAAAATAGTTTGAGGATCTTGAAATTGGTCTGTTCTGTGATGGGGAACTAGTAGAGCCTGGCAAGGACTGGGGTGATAGGGATATGGAGTTTGGTGTAGGTGAATATATGGACCAAAGAACTTTAAATTAGTTGGATTTTTGTGAGTGGTGGTGCTGGAGAGACGGGAGATGAGGATATTGGAATATTGAGGTGGGGGTAAAGATCAGGGTTTTGTCTGCATCGGGTGAGAGGTACAATTGCCTTGCAAGTTTCCTTACTCCACACACCTAATAATAATCCCTCCAAAACAATAATAAATTGGTCATTTTCAATTCATGACTGTTTGTGGGCCACTGCTGTGCGCAATTGACTGCTGCGTTTCACCCACAAATATACGGTCAATTCACTTTACAGTCTATTCTGTGAAGCGCTTTGAGACGTCGAGAAGACATGAAAAGTGCTATATCAAATGCAAGGATTATTATTATTATTATTGGAAGCGAGCAATGTGTTGGAAGTGGAAGAAAATGGTCCTGGACCGGAAATGTGTAGGAAAGACAGCTGGCAATCAAACCTAATGCCTAGGTTACGCACATGTTCGGTAAGTTTGAGGGATAGGCCGGGGAAGTTGAGGAAGTCAGAGCTGCAGGTGAGAAGATGCTGACAGGAGCCAAGGAGTATGGCTTCCATCTTGTCACCATTCAGCTGCAGAAAGTTGGCACTCATCCAGGCTGTGATATCTGACAAGTAAGCTGACAAAACATTAGTGGATCTGGAGTCGCAGCTGGAGGAGAAGTAGATTTGGGTGTCTGCAAACACCAAAAGTACAGTCTGCAGATGACATCACTGAAAGGAAGCATGTAAATGAGGAAAATTAGGGCCAAGAATGGAACCTTGGGGTACCCTTAAGGTGACCCAGTGGGAGTGAGAGGAAAAATCATTAGCGGAAAGAGTTGAATTTGTTGTTGACTGCATTTCCTGACCAACAGGGGAATATCTACCAGAATGGCTCCTGATCTAAATATTGAATTTTCTTCCCAATAAACACGAGTATAATTCTGAGGCCGAAGAACCAAATTTTTATTACACAAAGAATATAGTAGTACCCCTTGAATTCTGCGGATCGAGCCTTGCAGTTTAATAATGATTCTACTTTACATGACATTTTTCACAGCCTGGTCGTTCATATCTATAACATACCCTTCAGCCAGAAGGCAGAGGAATGTGGTCTTCTCCACTACTGCTTTCAGTGCTGATTTTTGATATGTGGTGTGTTTTCAGTAAAATAAGATGAGTTCTGTCTGTTTGCCCCAAGTGAAATGCTCCTCAACATTGGCAGTTAAATCTGGCAGTTCAGCTGACTGATGCTCACCAGACCAAGGCATGTAAGTTCAAATGCCCTAGTAACTCCAGGGCCTCAACAAATAACGTGCTCTGGTTTGGACTTGAAACAATGAAAATGATATATGAAAGCTTTCAGCATAATAAAAAAGAAATGGTTCCTTTCAATTAGGCTGATTAGAATTATTTCTATTTGGGAAGGTCGATGGGAGGGGAATTGAAAGCAGTTTTGAGAGCTGGTTTGTAAATCTGATGGTGTGTTGTCTTTTTGCAGTTGTGCTTTCCAGCGATCAGATTAGACCAGACTCCATGAGGCAGGATCCAAGTAGAAAAGGCTCAGTTGTCAATGTAAATCCAACCAACACAAGGCCACAGAGTGACACACCGGAGATTCGCAAGTACAAGAAGAGATTCAACTCTGAGATTCTTTGTGCTGCCTTATGGGGCAAGTACTATTCATAGCCTTGATTTCAAGCTTATACCTTTTTAAGTACAGATAATAAACTATAGTTTGAATATGATTAAAAGAGTAATTTGGGCAGATGTACCCAGTGTTAAAGACCAATGTGAGCATCCATTACGGACGATACTTATTGCTTGACGTGGTTTTCCCAGGTGTGAACTTATTGGTGGGTACGGAGAGTGGGTTGATGCTGTTAGACAGGAGTGGCCAAGGGAAGGTGTATCCATTAATCAATCGAAGGCGCTTCCAACAGATGGATGTGCTTGAAGGCTTGAATGTACTGGTAACAATATCAGGTAATTATTCTACTAATTAAGATTCATGTTGTATTGGTATTTATCGAAGATGCACAAACCTCAGTTGGACATCTGAAAGAGAGAGAATTTTTATTGTGTCATATGCTGAAACATCTCAAAGAACTTCATAAGCTATTACTGTTTTTGTGAGTAAAACAACCAAGTCAAGTATTTAAATTCTCATTTAAGAATTAGCATAAATTTTGTAATTAAAAACACATTGGTGCAATAAAGATTATTGAGACAACTTGCTCTTGCTTATCCTGGCACAGAACATGTGAATGCTAAATCATCTTCAGTACTTTTCATTTGTGTGACAATGCAAAGCAAATGCAATTTGACAGTACAGCTAAAAGTGTAAACAACCAATTCAAGAAAATGCACAGGTCAGTGAACTTGTCATGTGAGCACATGACCTGGTAAGAGTAGTAGGTAATGAATGGAAAACAGATGACAAACAACGAGGAACCTGTAGCTCAGTGGTTAGAGCACTCGCCTCACAAGCGAGACACCTGGGTTCAATTCCAGGCAGGGTGAAACCTTGGGCAAGTTTCCTTACTCCATGTGCCTAATAATAATCCCTCCAAAACAATACAATAATAAATTGGTCATTTTTAATCCACGACTATTTTGTGGGACACTGCTGTGCACAATTGGCTGCCGCGTTTCGCCCACAAATATACAGTCAATTCACTTTACAGCATATTCTGTGAAGCGCTTTGAGACGTCGAGAAGACGTGGAAAGCGCTGTATCAAATGCAAGGATTATTATTAATGCTTGAGAATTAGAAATGCCATTGTTGCATGTAAAATCAATGATTTAAAATAATTTACTTTCACCTTTTTTGAAGCATGTCATTGACTTTGGTAGTCGTTTCTTCATAGCTGATGCCACTTAAATAGGAAATGCTACTGTAAAGAAGATGGGAGAATACGTTCTTTTAATATTAAGCACAATGATTTTTTTTGTAACGTTTACCCTTCGGATAATATTTTGACTAGCTCCTCTGTGGAAAGTGTAATCCGCAATGTTTTAAAGAAAAGTACCAAACTTGGCTCTGAATTGATAAGGGTAGCCATCCACAAAGAAGCACAGATTCCTGTGATGATTGAGACCAGATATTGTTCTTTTCCATGAAATGCTGGGTCACTAAAACAAACCTTGCTTTTAAATCAAATTGTGGCCAATGCTATGGGATCCAAGCATATTTTGCATTGAAAATTCTTTTCCCCAACATAACTTTGCTGTTTTGAGCGGTAAATGACTGTGAAATGTAGAATATTCTGTTTGGGCTGTTGCCCAGCAGCAAGGGTTTGGTGCTACCAGAGCTGCACACTGATTTTCAAGTTATTTTTCAGGCTTTTATTGTGCTTTTTGTTCTGAAAACTCTTGCTCTGTGTTGCCCCCATGTGGCGAAAAAGAAAAATTGAAGGTACGGTGTTGTCTGCCTGACTGAAAGTTTTGAATTGTTTCTAGACATTGTTTGCTGAATTGACGTGAATCTGAATCTAGATTCATAACCGAGTTTAAACCTCTTCAAGTAAGTAGTAGGAATGCTGTTAAGCTTTGCTCTTTCCCTTAAAACCTGTCTCTTTGATTATGCTTTCTACTAACTTCCTCTCACCAGGTTCCTGATCAATTATGTGATGTGCTTTGAGATGTCCTCCCTTTTGAAGTGCTTGACAGTACTTCTAGTGTTTAGCACATAACACAGAAATTTAAGGGGAACACCTACCATGGTGCTCTCGGGCTTTGGAATATCATTGCATCACATATAAAGTTTCCTCTGCGCTAATCTGTCATTATCACTAACCTAATGTTATCTGCTCAACAAAGGGAAGAAGAACAAATTGCGAGTATATTACCTGTCCTGGTTAAGAAACAAGATTTTACATAATGATCCTGAAGTGGAGAAAAAACAAGGATGGACAACTGTGGGGGACTTAGAAGGATGTGTGCACTACAAAGTTGGTGAGAAATGTTTAATGTATTTGATTATAGCATAATAGAAGCATTTGTTTAATATCTGAAACAAGTGCCAAAATGTTAAGGTTAGATGTATGTGTGTGTCTCTATCTGTGTCTATCCTTTACACACATTTTTTTCTTTTTATAACCCATTTAGCATTCTATAAATTCTGTTGTGCTTACAAAAATAATAGTGTGCACAGCAGTATGACTGAGTCATATATGGCACCCAGATAATCCACAGCCAATGAAATCCGAGGTTAAGAACTGCACACCACTGGCTTCCAAACTTAAGAATTTTTAAAATTCTACATTAATCTATTTTAAGACTTTAGGGTAAGAGGCTAATACTGTGCAAGTATAATGAATCCAACTACTTTGCAGAGCAAAGTCTGGGATACTGCTGTGCTTTTAAACTTCAATATTTTTGAACAAAATATGAACATTTTGTTCATATTTGCAAAAATTCACAAACAGATCAATGCTTTGTGTTAAGTTAAATGGACCAAGATAGCTGATATAAGCCATTAAACTTTGTCTTTTACGAATAGTATCATAGGATATCAGCAGGCAGGACAAATGTTGATGTATTAAGAAAGAATCTAAAATAGATATTTTTAATGTTTTTGCCATTGCCACACATTCTTTGTACCTCTAAATATTAATAACAGTAATATTTGCATTTGACATAATGCCTTATCATGTCATCGATACATCTCAAAGCTATTCGCAGGATTTTACTGTTAAGTGTATTGTGTTTTTTTTGCTGTATCGACTATATAAATTGTACTGAGTGTACTCCATTGACATGAATTAATGCATTTCTATTGCAATTTGAATCCAACATAACTATCTTGTCAACCTACAGATTATTATTCCTACAAATATCTTTCATGCCCATGTTCTTAAGTATTAGAGAATTGCCACACAGGAATAAATTGGTAACCCAATGAATAATTCATTCATAATTAGTATGTTTCATAACATTTGCATTTATGTATCAACCTCTTGCTACCACAGTAGCAAAGTGGCAATGTATCAGCTTCAAGGAGGTATGCAAATACATTGTGTCCAATCCAATCAAAGGTGATTAGTGTAATTTTAGATGTCTCTAAAATCTCAGCACCATTACCAAATTACTCTCTCTCCTCTCCATCAGTAATATTGAGATTGTATCAGAATTGTTTTCAAACATTGCAGACTGGAGATTTGGAAAAGTTGGGTTAGGTGGGTACTTGGATTGGGTGTAGATTTACAGATGCTTTTATTTCTCGGTAAGATCCATTACTACCGTTAGTAATGAAATCTTATAGAACAAAGCTGTCTATGAATCCAGTATTGATCGATACTTAGGCAGCCCTGCTCAAAGAAGGCTATAAAATTTCAGTTTGCAGAATAAAATGGAAGGTTAAATGTACTGCATTATGCTAGTTACTACATTATTCAGTGATGTGTGGTGTGAAATTTAATTCTGCAATGAACACAGTTATCATTGACTTAATTTACTGTGCCAGAATGTGCTGCAAGCAAAGCTTGAGGTTGTGTTGACTGTGGTAGATTCAGTTTGCTGCCAAGTTTTTTAAAAACAACTTTATAATTTGTCAATGATTTAAGGAAATCCACTTTTAAGTTATGACTCTGTACTTTTAATTTGTGGGGGTGGGGCAAATCCATTAACTTTAGAAACTTTCCAGGTATTAAGGTAAGTATGTGTGTGCCATTATATTTTGAGCAAATAACAAAATAACAAACCATTTCAATTGTTAAATGATTACCAAATGCAAAATCAATGTAATGCAAGAGTGATTAAGAAAGGGATATAAACTTTTTCTTGCAGCTAAATTATAGGGAATTGGCAACCAGGAGTTTGGCTGCAGTAAAGTCTGAACTAAACTGCTGGAGTTCACTAGTACAGTGACAGAGTAGAAGTCGAACGTTATGTTGTATGGAAGGCGTTGGCCAGACCCCATATAGAATATTACATGCAGTTCTGCTTCCAAATTGTAGGAATGATATGAATACTCCTTCCATACAACATAACTTTTGAATTATACTCTTGTCACTCTACTAATGAACTCCAGCAGTTTATTTTGCACTTTACTGCAGCCAAACTCCTGGTTGCCAATTACCTATATTTTAGCTGCAAGAAAAAGCCTATATTCCACTTCCCTGTCTCCTATTTTTTTTTGCCAAATAGCTATCTAATTCCCTCTTGAATTTGCTAACACAATCTGCCTCCCCTTCCTTCCAAGGTAGTCTGCTCCACATACTCTGTAAAAATATTTAAAATTCAAACTTCCTGTTTCTTTTCTCTTCTCACATTAAGTCTACGTCCTCCAGATTTATTGATCATTGTAAACACATTTTTAGGGTTTTGTTTATCACTTCTCTTTAGGATAATAATCCTTGCATTTGATATAGTGCCTATAATGTTGAAACAATTCACAGGTAATTGCTGTAAAATGTACTGACTATATTTGAAGGCAAAACCTGGCAGCTAATTTCCTGCACATCAAGGTCTTGCAAACAGTCATGAAGCGAGTGAACACGTCAACTAAGGGATTATTGGCCAGGAGAAACCTTTTCAGAACTCTGCAGCCTGTGTCCTCTCCTGCACCAAACTCCATGACCCATCTCCCCCATTCTCGCCCGACTCCATTGGCTCCGTATCCTTCAGAGGATCCAGTCCAAGATCCTGGTCCTCACCTACAAAGCCCTCCATGGCCTCGCCCCACCCTAACCTCTGCGACCTCCTAACCCCCTACCAACCTGCCCGCCCCTCCGCTCAGCCGGCTTTGGCCTGCTCCATGTCCCCCGCCCCACCGTTAGTGGGAGAGCCTTCAGCCACTCTATCCCCAACTTCTGGAATTCCATCTCTCTATCACTCCTTAGCCTCCTTCAAGTCCCGCCTCAAGATCCTTCTCTTCGACCATGCCATCGGCCACCGCCCCTCTGCCTCCCTTCTCCCCCCTGACCACAGCTTGGGTCTGAAATGCTGTTCACTGTCCAGCGCCTTGAGACATCCTCTCGACGTGAAAGGCGCTATACCAAATGTAATCTTCTTGTTGTTGTTGTTCTTGAACAATGTTATAGAGACATTAACCTGACCTGAATTTTGACCTGGACGAACAGATGGGTTCTTGGATTTATGCCCTATCTGAAACAACAACAATACAGTATCTCTGCAGTACTTTACAACACTAACTTGCATTTATATAGTGCCTTTCACGTGGGTTAGTGTCAGACCGCTGAAGTATAAACTGCTGAAGGATCATCCTATGTTATGAGCTCAAAAGTAAACATGGGGCTTGAATCCCCAAACTTGAATACTGAAACTTAACTACTTCAAAAAAAAATCCCCTGAACCTTTTTAGAATAAACATTCTCAGTTTCCGTTTTTTCTCCTTATAACTCAGAGGCCCGATATTCTACTTATGTTTAGCCTGTAAGGCTATTTGCCTTAAAATTTAGGATTGTGCAAAGTTTGCTGAAAATTCTTAAATTCATTCTTATCAGGAAGTTGTCTTTCTTCATTTCTTAAAAGATTTGATTTTAAGAAATTTCTGCAATTCTGACCCATTTTAAACATCGAAACAAGATTACAATCGTAGACTTCATTGAGATGATTTCATGACCAGATGTCTAATGCCAGCTGTCAATCCAGTTGCTCTTCTCTTAACCTCATCAAATGGCAAGATGTTGCATTATAATATGGTGACTAGAATGGTGAACACTACTCCAGATGAGACTCGATTTTGGAAAATAAATAACGCTTCCGTAGCAATGAGTGAGAGAATTCCTAGAATATTTAATAGTCTATTTCAGATAAAGCATTTATAGCCTAAAGAAGCAGCAAAGCATGTTCTTTGGTTCAGTGATTCCTTGAATTGATGTAAAGAATGCAGCCACTTCAAGTTTAGCATATTCTATAACTGATTTTGTACTTTCTACCATCAACAAAGCTCAGTCAGCAGCTGAGTGTTATTTTGCAGTAAAAACAAGCCATTGCACCAATAGGAACAACCTAATTACATTGAAATAGTGTAATTTACATCGGAAGGACATCTCAAAGCGCTGGATTACAGGAAAAAGGAATCTGCTGCCATTAATTTGTTTTGCCAGTGAGTCTTTAACAAGGTTCTAAGGAGAAGCTTCTCGATAAATCTTCATTCAACACCGTTAGAAATAGTTATACAGTATAGGGATATAAATGCATTAATTTTTAAAGGTAGGAAGACAGAGGGACAAGACTATGATGAAAACTAATGGGATCCTAGATTTTATAAATGGGTATGTAGAATATAAAACCAGAGAGGTGATGCGTATCCCGTATAAATCATTACAGTATTGTGTCCAGTTTGTCAACCCATTTAAGAAATGGATGTCAGGACAATAAAGATGGTGCAGAGGAGAATTACTAGGATGATACCAGGGATAAGTGGTTTAAGAGTAGATAGGGGAGATATCTTGTCACTTGGGGCATTCTCCTGATGTGAAAGGAGTTGAATAAATCAAATTTGTTGTTGTTGAATTGGACAAATTTTCATTGGAACAGCAATGGTTGAGAGGAGACCCGATATAGTTCTTTAGAGTAGATAGGGAGAAATTATTACCACTTGTTGGCGATGGGTGGCATTTTTTAAGATAATTAATAAAAAGGGGAGTTTAGGAGGAACTCTTTTTACAAAGAGTTATGGTGTGGAATTTTCTCACATTTCTATACCAGTTTATAATAATGCTTGCATTTGATATATCACCTAAATATCAAACGTCTTCACGAAACGTCTATGAAGTGTAGCAACTGTGTATTTGTAGGCAAATGCTGTAGCCCAATTACAATTTTATCTGGAGGCCTGTTGGGCCAGGACACTGGGAGAAATCCCCTTCGCTTTTCAAATAGTGATTTAACATATCATCCAAAGGACCTCACCTCTGACAATGGAGATGCAGTTTACACCTCAAAGCACTTTTTCCAATGGTGTATCGTAATCACTTCCTGAATAAGGCTTTCAACTCCAATGTTTGTAGTTGTGCTTTAATACTAACACTATTTATACATTCAGTATAATTTGCATTTAATTGTAATTAAATTTAATTTAATTTTCTAGTAAAATACGAGAGGATCAAGTTTTTAGTGATTGCTTTGAAGAATTCTGTGGAAGTCTATGCATGGGCCCCCAAGCCATACCACAAATTTATGGCCTTTAAGGTGAGTTACCAGAGGTCTTTCGCTATAATTTTATTCTACAGTTTCTAAAATATTTGGTTTCCGTTTTTTTTAACGCATGCTGGGATAGGAGTGACGCTGGCACTGCTAGCATTTATTGCCCATCATCAGGGTTGTGGTGGTAGCATCTGCTCTTTAAACTACTGCAGTCCTTATGGCAATGGTGATCCCATGACCATGTCAGACAATGAGTCTACCTGTGACTTTCATGGTAAATGAAATATTTTTGTATTGATCATATATTAATAACTAATATTAAAAGGGCACGTTGTAAATGTTGACCAAAATATCTGTTGTATACAACAATAACAAATTGCATTTATATAGCGCCTTTCACATTCGGACAATGTCCCAAGGTCCTGGACAGTCGAGCTGGGGTAGGATTTGAGAGGAATGGGGTCCTTGTGGGAGGGTGGTGGGAAGATGACCGAAGGCACGGTTAAAGAGGAAGATCTTGAGACGGACCTTAAAGGAGGCGAGGGAAGGGATGCGATGAAGGGACTTTGCGATGAGGTTCCACAGGGAGGGAGCAGAAAGACTGAAGAACTGACCGCTGATGGTGGGGCAGGTAGGGCCAGTGCCTGCCAAGTGGAGGGAGCAGGTGGGTTGGTAATGTTTTAGCAGGTTGCAGAGGTAGGGTGTTAAAGGCTTTAAACGTGAGGACGGTAGGGGATGGGGAGATGGTGTAGTCAGGCAAGGATTGGGCTGATTGGCTTGCAGAGTGTACATGAGCTAGAAAATTCTGAATAATCTGCAGAACTTGTTGGGGAAGAGTTAGAAATGTTAGTCCAACGAGCAGAAAGTTAGCAAAGTGAAGCCTGCCTACTGTATACTGACGGTATCCCATATCTACAAATAGTACATGGTACTTGTGTAGGATGTCTGCAAAGTTTTTCTTGTATTACAAAAACAATTTGTATTTTTATAGCGCCCTTCATGTGCAGTAGAGTCTTGGAATACAAAACTGCTCTGAAGTGCAGACTCTTATTCAGTATTCACTGCTCGTCTGGTATTCTGGGTAAAGAGGAAGGAATATAGAGGGTCTGAGGTAGGGATTTCCAGAGGTTTGGGGCATTGTGGCTGAAGGCATGTCTGCCGATGGAGGGGTCGGGGATGTGAGAAGGCCTGAGCAAAGTGAGTGGTAGAGGGGATGGGTGTGATCAGATGGGAGAGGTGCTAGAGCATGAAGTGATTTGTAGGTGAGTGTGAGGTCCTGCGATCGGAAGCTAGTGGAGTCTGGTAAGCACTGTGGTGATGGGAGTGCAGAGTTTGGTACGGGTGATAATCATCTGGTGAAATTTAAGTGCTTTGACTTTGTTCCAAGCACTTCTTTTTGGTCAACCAAGCCACAAGGTTAGGATGAGTTTTTTTTGGATCGAGTAAGGGTCACAACACATTTTACTTTTGGCCCATATATTTATTAGTATTCTCACTGAAATGATTTATACTGTTGATTGTACGATGATGAAGCAATGAGGACTTATTTTCATGCTGGTTTTGCCTTTATGGGCAATAAATGTGTGAATGCATTAATTTTTTGGATGAATTATACTTAATCTGCTGCTTGGTGCTTTTTTACAGTCATTTACAGACCTGTTGCACAAGCCATTGTTGGTGGATCTCACAGTAGAGGAAGGGCAGAGGCTAAAGGTGATCTACGGCTCCAGCGCTGGCTTCCACGCGGTTGATGTAGATTCGGGAACAGTCTATGATATTTATCTACCCACACATGTAAGAGTTTTCACTTTTTGTTTTTGAGGGAATGGGGGTGAAGACAGTGTGCGATAATATCTTAGAGATGAAGAATAGGAAGCAAGCAACATCATTTTTTAAAATAAACAATTGGACTTTCATCAAACAATGTGATTAATTATTCAAGCTTTGAATTTAGCCTCACTGTTACCATTTAAACTAAATAGATTGGAGTTAGAAAACAGATTTTGAGGTGCCTGAGCTTCTGTTAAGCTAAGTCCCAATACTCTCAACATGTATTTTTAAACTTCCTCCTTGTTACTTTAGTGAGAAACCAAGTGTCTCTAGCACTCGTAACCTTTAACACAGATTAAATTCACTAGATTTCTGAAAGCTTCCAATTTAATCGGATTCTTGAAAGTTTCATTCAAGAGTTTCAAACTTGTATTTTTGGCTGTAAGAGAAGAATATCTCAACTACATTGTTTCCCTTTAGATTTAATTCCTTGTTATCTATTTTGATATTGAAAGTCCATTTTACTTGTGGTTAATGTATACTTTCAGAAGCGCTGCTAACGTTGAGAAGCATTCTATGAAGAATGTGTACATTATGTCACATTGTCATTATATCATTGTTTTGATGAGTATTGGTCAAATGACTGGTTTGTAGTATAGTCCCATGATTTATGGACTAGACTAAGGTTTGAAAGTTAGTCATGCAGAAGGAAATGAAACTGAAGAGTTTGTTTCCTGTTTGTATTGGACCATCACTTTTCATGGGCATGTGTGTCACAGACCAGCCAGAGTTACCAAGTAGAAATTCAACTGTTAATCCTGTCAATGTGGTTCTAGATTTAAATTGATATTGGAGTGAATACATTGACAGCATAAGTATTTATTCCCTCTGCCCCCATCATTTTCTTACCGTGAAATATACTTTAAACTCTCGTTTGATGCAGTAGTAGACTTACAATTCAAACCTTATGAGAGTTTGGGAGAGTAAATCTCAGAACATTGGAATATGTTTTTTTTCAAATTGCCATTCAATTCTAAATCCTAGTTGAGGAAAATGAAGCCTGGTTTTATTTGTTAGTGAAGTACTTCATAATTTACTGCACTTTTAATGCACAGTATGCAGCATAATATTTTTACAGGAGAGATGTTAAGATTCAGTATGGGTTTTGACTTTTGCCAGGGTTAGACACCAGTGCTGTATGTTTATGCTTTTCCTTCCACCCAGGAATTCCTTTAAAGAATTTCCTGTTAAAATGGCAGGGTTTGTGTTCTTGCTGGTATTAAAATGGTTTGTTTTTCTGGCAGATCCAAAGCAGCATCCAGCCACATGCTATTATCATCCTTCCAAGCACAGACGGAATGGAGCTGTTGGTCTGTTATGAAGATGAAGGTGTCTATGTTAATACTTACGGCCGGATTACTAAAGATGTAGTTCTGCAGTGGGGCGAGATGCCTACATCTGTCGGTATGTAAATATGATGTGCCATCACAGAATGGGTTTGTTAATGGGTTTGTTTGCACTCAAGGATGGTTCTAGCTGGACAAGCAGAGTCAAGGCATTGCCAGACTGTGTTTCAATAGCAAGCTGCGGTTTTAGCTGGTTAGACTGTGGCTGTTCCCTAATGCACACTCTGGGGTCCCCAAGCCTTAGCTCTTGCTAAACTGCGCTTAACACTTATTAGAATTAGGTAAGTAGGATGTGTCCCTTCAGGAAGAGAGTGGGCGTTCCCTTCAAAACATGTCTCTGGAATTTCCATGTGTAGATGGGATGAATAGAACTTTTGTTTGGTTTGGATACTCTTGACATATGTGGGAAACCATCACTATGCTTAAGATACCCGGCTGACCAAAACAAATTAAATCTTTGACAGGTGATTTACTATTTTGGGTTTATAACCATACTTAATCTATTAATAAACTAAATATCCAGTGCAACTCACATAAGTCTTATCAGTTGGGACCATAACATTTAATATGTATTATGCAAAGTCTGAGTTGCAGGCAAATTGTAGAAAATCTGATTTAATCAATAATCTACACTGTAGGTGTGTAACTTAATGCGGCCGGTAAGTGCGCATATGATAGTTTGACGTTGCTCCATGTAAGTGCCCATGCGGTTACAGGTCAAGACTGTGTTTCCGCGATTCAGTGTGTTTGACCCGGCGCCACATGCACACGTAACAGCAAGCATTGGAATCTCATTGAATCACAAGAAATGAGGCAAGTAAGTTTGAATGTCAATTGACGCTGGGATTCAAACTTGCAAATCGCTTGAGTTCAAAGCTCCAATATTTTACCACTCCATTTGGCTGTCCCAAATTCAAGCATGTTCAATAATTGAGCAGCACAGCCTCCAGTTTGATGAGTGAGGTCCAGTTGCATGAGTGGCTCACACTTGGTCAACTCTTTGCCATCATTTTATGAGGGAACAGTGTTGAGCCCTTGGAGAGATCAAATGCATTCTGGGACCATCAGAGCATTACTCATTGGAATGAGCAGAAAATCTTTGTATCTACTTCAAACAAACGTAAATCATTTAGGGAAAAAATAGGGAAGTAGATTCCTATTGTAGTGGAATAAAATGCCAAGTTGAAAAAAAAAGAAAATGATTCCATCCTCAAATTTTTTCAATGGTCCTTTAATGTTCAAATTACATTCTTCTTCCTAGCTTCACATTGACCAAATGATTTGATCCTGATTATGACTTGATTTGCAAAATTCTTATCAGTTTTTATTTCCTTTTTTGTTTTTTTTAAAAAAAAGCATATATCCGATCCAATCAGATTATGGGCTGGGGAGAGAAGGCAATTGAAATCCGTTCAGTGGAGACCGGACATTTGGATGGTGTTTTCATGCATAAAAGAGCACAACGACTAAAGTTCCTCTGTGAAAGAAATGACAAGGTATGTACTTGGGAGTGTAAAAGTGAAAATAATCCTTGCATTTGATACAGCGCCTTTCTTATTGGGGCAACGTCGCAAAGGATATACTGTCAAGTGCCCTGACTGTACTGTTTGGGCAAACGCAGCAGGCAGACAGTTTGCACACAGCAATGTCCCACAAATAGCGGTGAAGCGAGTGACCAATTTTATTTGGGTGATTGTTAGCCAGCACACTGGATATAGTGCCATGAAATATTTAATGTCCACCTGAACTTGGGTTAATGTCAATGAAGGGCAATTGTTGCATTGTTGGAGATGCCATTGTTGGGCAGCTTCTCCAACAAAGCAGAGTACGGAGCAGGTGAAGCCTGTGACCGAGACTAGTGGTCTTGATCATGAAGTGTGAGTTCAATGTTCCGATGTGAGTTCCTGAGTCCACTTGTCCTGCTTAGTGGACACAAAAAGGCATATAATGTTGTTTTTAAGATCACAACTGCAAATCCTTTGGCCGTGTGTTGTGAAAAATATTACATGTTCCATTTTCTTTCATAGGTCTTCTTTGCTTCAGTCCGTTCCGGTGGAAGCAGCCAGGTTTACTTTATGACTCTTGGCAGGAGTTCACTTCTCAGCTGGTAGGAAGGGCATGTTGTGCATTGGGAGCAACCACAATCTTCGCAAGATAGTTGAAAGCCTTGCATTAGCAAACAACTGGAGAACAAACTGCACTAATGCAATGCATTGCCTAAACCTGTCACTTGGCATTAAGTGAATTATGAAGAGGCTGCAACGTCACTGGTGCTGTTAGAATTTTACTGTCAGGTGATGACATGTCTAGAATAGAAGAAAATGCCTCATCTCAATTACAGCATCCCTTGACTTAAGATGACTGCTTATTGCTAGCAAAAGACACTAAGAGGAGCAAGGCTGGTTAGGAAGTGGTAAGGCAGTGGGAAGTGAAAGCAATGGTATACTGATGGAGGAGAAATGTGTTAATGTAAAGGGGATCTGAATTGTCTTTTTAAAATGCTTTATCATCTTAAAGTGACTTTCTTTTGTAAGGTGACATGTTGAGGAGAAGGAAGTCACAAGTTTTGACTTTTTAAAAAAAAATGTGAATCAACAAATTGAGAGCAGTCATGTTGGTCTTTGCAACGGCAGGGTCTTGGTCATTTCTGTATACCAGGTTTTGCTTGTGTTCTCAATCTTTTTTTTTAAAAAAAGGTCAATTGAAATTTGTGCAGAGGACAGGGTTTTTCAGATTTGTATGGATTTGCAGACCAGAAGCTTTGACGTTTGGTTATGTTACAGTATTATAACTGCCTCTCTTCAAGGTTTGATGTTTCGTAGCAGTGCAAAAGCAGATTAACAAGTCCTGCACTCGTAAATCCCCAACTAATTTTAACAAATTTGTTTTGCCTACCTCATTTGTCTAAGCAAGGGAAAAAAAGAGGTGGTTTAGTCATTCTAATGTTTGTACCTGAAACTTGCATCTTTGTCTAATTTAACTTTATTAATACCAAATTTATGATCAAAATGTTTGTCTACTGTTAATTGTAGCTTTTATTAGCAGGCAAACAAAGGTTATTTGCAATTGGGAAATACGAGCAGAAATTGACAGGAAACATGTAGTCAACTGTTCAGGTTAGAAAATGGAAGCTAGTAACTGGCTGGTAAATGTGGTCGACTGAGATAGACACGTAATTGTAATCATTCAGTTATGTATGAATAGCAACAGATTTTCTTTTTAACTCAGCCAGAATTGAATTTAGGCAGCAGTTGAAAATAGTTTTACTAAGCTATTTTATTGCATTATAGTAAACTGTATATGTAGTAGGGAACAGGTGGTTGATTTAAGATGCAATGCACTAAAACACTTAATTTCAAGAATGTAGTAAAACAGCTTATCAATACAGTATATCTTCCCATATTTAGATCTGAAATCCCATTTCTGGAAAGTTTTTTTAATATCGCTGTAAACAGAATTTTATTTTACAAAATGTTAGACATTTACAAATGTGTCTACAGTAATAACCTGAACTGTCACTCAATTACTTGAGATACCTATACTGTATAATACGCTATACTGGTGGTGTAATAATGCATAGTAGCATTATATGATTCTACCATATGTTAAACTTTTTTTGGTACTTTGTAGACAGCTGCCTTATGCTGTTATGTGCACAGGATCTCAACATTTTACAGGGCTTTAGTTCTCTCAGTGGAGACTATTCATTCTGCAGTGGAATATCCTCAGTGATAGTATTATACGATCTGAGATATACTGTAAAACTTTTCATTTGTTCTTGTCACTGTGATCATTTCCTTTAGACGTTCCTGGTTGCTGAATAACTTGCAATATTTCTGTATCATCCTTTTGGGAGCTGTAGAAGTATGGTAGGAACATCTTGACATAAGTAGGTTTACCACGAGCAGAACTTGTTTTTTTAATAAAACACATCGTTGAAGCTCCTGGCAGCAGTTGCTAAGTAATCCTCTGTCTCAGCAGAGTCTCCAATTTGCAACTCCCACCTATGAGAAGTGCCAAGGTGGTGTAACAGTATTACAAAACCACTACGTTTTTGTTTGAAGAATAATTTCTACACAGCGTTTTAAGTTCTAACACCTAGATTTAGTGGAAATGCATACATTTTGAATTTTAATACTTTATTTTAAAGTCAAATAATCCTTGTTGTATGACTGCAGTGTTTCTATTTTATGCACATGTTATGTTTGAGAAAATGTTTACAAAAATTGTTTTACACTAATGTGCATCGTATATTTATGTTTTTTTTTTGAAAATTATTTGTTTTTAGTTTTAGTTTTGTATTATGATTACATTCGGTGATTATAACCCTGAACTCTGCTGATACCAAGAAGGTGATAGTTTTTTTAAAATTGTGAGGTATTACTATGTCTAGCTGCAAAGCAGATTGGGAAATATGGTTACAAGTAAACCTCTTCAACCAGTTTTCTGCTGTGTGATCTAACTTATGTCCTCTGTGTATCATGAGAATTCCTGTATTTTCCCTGAAAATCATCTTTTCTTGAATAAAAATCAACTTAATGCACATTGTGCATAACATGACACTGTAGTTCTGTGAAACTATTTAGCACACTTTTGGTTTCTATTTATATTCCCCTCCACTCTCCTTCCTCTTCCCCAGTACTTCTGAACAACACATGTCTGTGGTTAAAAGGAGGCAGGTGATGAGCCACGTGCCATGCTAGCATAATCTTAACCAAGTGGAAGGGTTCAAGAGTATAGAACTTGGGACAAATATCCTTCAATTGTTTTTCCTTTGCCTGCTCCCCACTTTTGGGATTTGCCGAGCCTCTGCTTGATATGTCAATCTGGAAGCATGGAAACGGACACACATAGTGGAACCTCAGTCCTTTTGGCAGGGTACAAGCATTCAAAACCATCCCCAGATTCAAAGTGACTCAAATACATCTTATTTCTAAGAGGTAATCTTTATTAGACAGGCTAGGTGAGTGGGCAAGAAGGTGGCAGATGGAGTATAATGTGGGAAAGTGTGAAGTTATTCACTTAGGTAGTAAAAATAGAAAAGCGGTTTATTTTCTAGAGAGGGAGAGACAAGGTTGTGTTTGTGTTCAGAGGGATTTGGGTGTCCTTGTACACCAGTCACAAAACGTTAGTATGCAGGTAAACAGCAAGAAACTAGGAAGGCTAATGCCATGTTGGCATTCGTTGCAAAAGGGTTAGAGTACAAGAGTAGGGAAATCTGGCTGCAGTTGTATAAGGCCTTGGTGAGACCGCACCTAGAATATTGTGTGCAGTTTTGGTCTTCCTATTTAAGAAAGGACGTACTCACCTTAGAGGGGGTGCAGCGTTGATTCACTAGCTTGGTTCCTGGGATAAGGTTGATAGGTTGACCTATGAGGATAGGTTGAGTAAATTAGGCCTATATTCTCTAGAATATAGAAGAAATAGTGGTGATCTTATAGAAACCTATAAGATTCTTAAGGGTCTTGACAGGGTAGATGCCGTGAGACTGTTTCCCCTGGTTGGAGAATCTAAAATTAGGGGTCTCATAGTCTCAAGATTGAGGGTCAGCCTTTTCGAACTGATTTGAGGAAACATTTCTTCACTCAGAGGGTAGTGAATTTGTGGAATTCTCTACCCCAGAAGGCTGTGGATGCTCAGTTCTTGAACATATTCAAGACTGAGGTTGATAGATTTCTAAAGGATAGAGGGATTAAGGGATATGGGGATAGGGCGGGTAAATGGAATTAGGTTAGAAGATCAACCATGATCTTATTAAATGGCGGGGCAGGCTCGAGGGGCCGAATGGCCTACTCCTGCTCCTATACCTTATGGTCTTACTAGAAGCAAAACATACAGAGTATCGCCACTGAAGTAGAATCTCCATTCAGGGTTTGAAAGCACCACAAAGTTGCACACCTATGCTGCTTCCACTCCAATTAGGAGAGCACTGATCACAATAATCACTGATCCCATACTTCACATCTGCTCTTCAACGGTGACGCTAGTTTAAACTTTAGCTTATTAACATCAATCTAAAGCCATTTAAGCTTGTATACCACCTTTCATATTAGGAGAAAATCTCAAAGCGCTTTGCAAAGATTGAGAGGGAGCCCGAGCTGGGAGACACACGGGAAGACTTAAGGTGGGGAAGTGGAATGATATGTGTTTTATAGGTGCCATATGAAATGTCAGGATCACTATTTTAAATATAGCTATGCCAATGAGTTGCACAAGATTTCAGTTTATAAGTAAATAACCTTGATGTACATCACGGTACTTGGTTATTTGTGTCTGGATATTACAGTGACTCCAACATGTGGATTTTAAGAACTGTTCCCACAAAACATGCCTTTTCATGGGAACCACCTGCTCCAGCGTAACATTGTCTCCTGCAAAGGGGAAAATTTGAACTAGTTTTTTCCCGAAATTCTAGTTCCACTAAATTGAATCCGAAATGTATATATTATGCAAAAAATTGTGAATGTTATGAAGTGTGAACATTTTCTAGCCTATAAAATATATACTGCTCCCTTTCAGCTAGTGCAGCCTGACTGACCGCTCCCTCCCTGTTTGGGTTGGCTTAGCCCACTAACCCTGCTCAACATGCTCATCTTGCTGAACAGAGAGCTATTTCATTACTTGACTTTTCTTCCTAAAGTTACCATTTATTTTAACTTTGCCACCTGGAATTAATTTGATTCCTGTAATTCAAAGCTAATATTTTGACCTATTGGTGGCAAAGTAACCCCATTTTGTGAGAAGTAAGCTCTTGTTACTCAAAATGGTATGATAAACCCTTCAGTTTCTCTGCTAGTTTAAAGCGCTGTAACATTTTTTTATTTTTTTCTTCAGGCAGACATGCTTCTGTAGTGCAGACTTACCTTTCATCAAATTGATTTGTTCATTCCCATTTTGTTACAACTTTATAGTTTTCAAAAAGATTAAATATTGGGAAATATTGTTGTAAGGAAATTGGCTACCACTTGCAGTGTTTGGCTATTGTACAAAATACAGTCACTACACTTTACACCTGAAATCCTGTGAAATGCTTTGAGACATTCCTCCTGACAAGAAAGGTACTATATCAAATGCAAAGATTATTTTTTATTATATTATGTATGTGTTAGGTGAGGCTGTGGGTTAAAAACTCCTTAATTTGGGCTAATACATTTATTTTCTGAGCTTTTTAAGATTAAGATTCTGAGCTTTTTAAGTGGTTAGAGCACTCGCTTTGCAAGTGAGAGATCTGGGTTCGATTCCCGGCAGGGCGAAACCTTGGGCAAGTTTCCTTACTCCACACGCCTAATAATAATCCCTCCAAAAAAACAAAGCAATAATAAATTGGTCATTTTCAATCCATGACTGTTTGTGGGACATTGCTGTGCACAATTGGCTGCCGCGTTCGCCCACAAATATACAGTCAATTCACTTTACAGTGTGTTCTGTGAAGCGCTTTGGGATGTCCTCCCGACGTGAAAAGCGCTATATCAAATGCAAGGATTATTATTATTATTAATGTTTACTTTACCAATGTAAAATTCAGAATTATTATAATTCCTATAGTGCCATTAAGGCTTCTATCCAAATACTTAATGCTCATGAATATGCTGTTGGGTATCAAGTATGTATGGTGAAGATGAGCAAACATACAGTTTCTAAAGACTTCTCCATACCTAAAGCTTGAAAGTTCATCAAGTCTTCGTACACAGCGTTGTCCCACTAACAGCCATGATGTGAATGATGAGTTTCATTTGGGGGATTTTTGGCCAAGACTTTGGGAGAAGTTTGGCCAAGACCAACTGACAGCACCAGGCTTCGCGACCACATCACTCCCACCCTTGCTCGCCTCCACTGGCTTCCCATCCCCCAGAGGATTGAATTCAAGATCCTCATCCTCACTTACAAGGCCATTCATGGCCTTGCTCCCTCCTACCTCACTGACCTACTATCCCCCTACTAACGTGCCGATACTCTCCGTTCCTCTGGCTCCGGTCTGCTCCACACCCCCCGCCCTAACTGCCCTACCATCGGTGGCCGGGCTTTCAGCCTCTCAGCCCCTAGGCTCTGGAACTCCATCCCCCAGTGCCTTCGCCTTGCTTCCTCCCTTTCCTCCTTCAAGGCCGGTCTCAAGATCTTTCTCTTCAACCATGCCTTCACCTTCCCTCTCGACTCTCTACCCCCTCCCCGCTCCTTCCCTCCCCTCACCCTGACCATTTCCCCCCTGCTCGGGTCCTGACCCAACTGTCCCGACGTGAAAGGCGCTCAAAAATGCAATCTTGTTGTTGTTGTTGCTGACAAGTCAATTGGATCTAGGTTTAACGTTTCGTGTTTAATTGGAGTGACTATGCTAGTTCTGTATTGGCTAAGTTAGGATTTTGGCAAAGATTTTGCCACGTGAACTAAATGGAAATAAATTTTAATGTGCAGACAACTGCAATAAGAGCAAATTTAGTTTAGTGATAAATTTTCTCTCATTCTGTTTCATGATGCGAAATGCTTATAAAGAGCAGAACTATAGCTGGTAGAATGTGTTCTTTAGATGCAGTGTACCTCAAAGATCAGTCCCGTCAGGATAGGGAGTAGGATAACAACAATTTGCATTTAAATAGCGCCCCTCACATAGGGTAGCATCCCAGAGCGCTTGACAGTGGCGGAGCACTATGGTGAGCCAGGGGGAGGGGAGAGGTGACTGTAGGCATGATTGAAGTGGAAGGTCTTCATGGCGCAATCTGTAGCTGGGAAGGAATGGGCAAGGCGGAGGGATAGAGGAAAATTGTTCCAGAGTTTTAGGGCTAGTGGCTGAAAGTGCGACCATCGATGGTAGAATGGAGGGCACGAGGGACATGCGGGAAGCTGGAGTTAGTTGAACGGAGGCAGCGGGTAGTGGGTTGGGGAGTAAGGTCAGAGATGTAGGAAGGTGCCAGGGCTTGAAGGGATTTGAAAACGAATGTGAGGATCATAAAATCGATCCGTTCGGTTTGTTGTACAATTTGTTGATGTACTCAACCATGGGCAGTACTCCCTCTGAACTTGACAATGAAAATAATAATAATTGAATTTGATGTAGGACGTTTTCATATCTGCAAAATGCCTCAAAACCCTTAACATAATTTATTGTAAAGCGTGAATGTGACAGCCAATTTGCATACAACAATGTCCCACGAAAGCCATGACTGGAGGATTGTTGGCCATGACACTGGGAGAAACCCATTCTCTTTTCCAATAGTGCCAAGGGATCTTTAAAGTCCATCTGAACAGGTAGATGATATTTGGGTTTAATGTCTCACCTGAAGGATGGCACCTCCGACAATACAAAGCTCACGAAAAAAATGTGTCAGCTAAACTCTGAGTTCAGAGTCCCAACGTTGAGTTTGAACCTACAACTGAGCCAGTCTGAAGGCTAATAGGCTGTGACCTAAGACCCTGGCTTTGGGACTATGTAGTCCTATTACAAGGCACAATGCGAGGACTCAGCTGACATAATTGTCATCTACAGTTGGTATAATAACACAATGGTAAATCTGTCCAAAATGTTAACCACGCCTAACAAGCCTACGCCGATTGAATCAGGCTGTCCTGATGACTTGAGCAGAAGTAGCTTGTCTCTTTTATTCGTGGAGTCCTGTAGCTCAGTGGCTAGAGCACTCGCTCGCAAGCGAGAGACCCAGGTTCGATTTCCGGCAGGTCGAAACGCTTTTCGCGCTTTGAAATGTCTAGAAGATGTGAAAAGCATTATATCAAATGCAAGGATTATTATTATGTATAGATATGGTTGGATCAGCTTGATGCTATCATTCAATCACATGGAATTGACAGCAGGAATGGTTTTGTGAATAAGGAAGCAAAACAAAACACATTGCTGAGTTCATCACAATGTAGTCCAAAACCCCCCTTGGTTTTCTGGTTCAGGAAGTAGGAATTTGAGCTGAAATATCAGTTTTTGTTTTCCACGAGTGACGTTTAACACTGTTTTAACAAGTTCAGTAGTTACTGGGTAACAATTGATTCAGTAACAAGAGGTCAGCCAATGAGTGCAAACAACAACAACAAAATTACATTTGTAAAGTGCCTTTCCCGTCGAGAGGACATCCGAAGGCGCTGGACAGACAGAGTTTTGGACCCGAACTGGAGGTTGGGATCGGGGAGGGTGAAAGGCAGGAGGGTGAAGTGGGGAGATCGAAAGCACGGTTGAAGAGGAGGGTCTTGAGATGGTCTTGAAGGAGGCAAGGGATGGGACGAGGTGGAGGGACTGCGGGATAGAGTTCCGGAGGGTGGGGATAGAGTGGCTGAGGACCTGCCCGCCAAAAGTGGGGTGGGTGAGGCGGGGGACATGAAGCAGGCTGGAGCCCACTGAGTGGAGTGAACGAGCAGGATGGTAGGGGGTTAGGAGGTTGTAGAGGTAAGGGGAAGCAAGACCATGGAGGGCTTTGAAGGTGAGGACCAGGATCTTGAATTGTATCCTCTGTGTGATGGGAAGCCAGTGGAGTCAGGTGAGGATGGGGGTGATAGGGTCACGGAGCCTGGTGTGGGCGAGGACACGGGCTGCAGAGTTCTGGATGATCTGCAGCCTATGGAGGGAGGAGTTGTGAAGGCCAACAAGCAAGGAGTTTGCATAGTCAAGTCTTGATGTAATGAAAGCGTGTATGAGGGTTTTGGAGGCCTGCGGAGTGAGACAGTGGCAAGTTTTGTAACAACTTTTACAAGCAGGATATTTTCTATAAGAAAGAGTACATTTTAGGAAGTTCTGTATTGGAAAAACTGTACAATGAACGTGTTGACCAAAGAAGACGTTTTATAGTTCAATGTTTTTATTAAAACATTTCCAAAGCTTCAAGATCCCAATAACTCCATAAACAGACTAAGAGAATTCAGAACCTATTGGAAAGCTGGGAGCCACAATGTACAATGATATGGGTGGAGTACATATGGAGTCCTGTAGCTTAGTGGTTAGAGCATTCGCCTCGCAAGCGATAGGACCTGTGTTCGATTCCCAGGTGGGGTGAAATGTTGGGCAAGTTTCCTTACTCCACTCCCCTCTGTTTACCTAGCAGTAACTAGAAACCCAGTTGTTAGTCGATTGGTGGATCACTTTTCTGGGGGTAATAACCCCTTCAAATCAAAAATAATTTTTTAAAAAATAATAATTTGGTCACTAAATCCATGACTGTTTGTGGGACACTGCTATGCGCAATTGGCTGTCGTATTTTTAATCTCACTGTTCCACAATCTCACTGTGCTTTGTGTAAAGTAGTTCCTCCTGAATTCTCTTTTAGATCTCCTAGTTGCTATCTTATACATTAAAGTATAACCAGTGGGAACAGCCTATTTATGCTAACCTTATCACAACCTTTTAATTGTAAAACATCTCTATTATGTCCCCTCTTAGACATCTTGTCTAGTGAAATGGCCTAACCTATCCAGTCTGTCAAGATAGCAGGACCCTATTAGCTCTGGTATCAAATTAAAAGACTAAGTTTCAATTAAATTCACATCATGGGTCTTTGTGGGACATTATGAGTAAAATGGCTGCCTCATACAAAATCCTGCCAATCAAAATAAACTTTCTCAATACACTTTACAGTAAGTCATGTGAAGCACTTCAAGATGTCCTCCCAATGTGAAAGGTGATATATAAAATGAAAGGATTATTATTTATTCTTCTTTCATAAATGAGAAGAAGGTGCAGTCAAACCACACCCATCCCGTCAAATTCTGCAGGTCCTTGATACTATTTAAATTATCCATAATACACCATCTTATTTTCATTTTCAAATCTTTAGTCCAGTAGATTTATCATGACTGTTTGTGGGACACAGCTGTCTGTACCCAATTAGCTGCCAAGTTTCTAAATGCCACAAAATATACAGTCAATTCACTTTACAATATATTCTGTGTAGCGCTCTTTGAAAAGAGAAAGGAATTTCTCCCTGGGTCCTGGCCAGCAACCAGACAAATAAAATTGGCCATTCACTTTGTGGCTGTTTGTGGGCTTTACTGTGTACAAATTAACTGATGTATTTGTTAGAAATATGCAGTCACTTCTCTTTACTGTGAAGTGTTTTGTGACATTTCGGCAATGCGATAAGATGCTATATTCAATGCAAGGTTTATTATTACAATTCCACAGTTCTTTGCTCAAGTGAGTCTTGGCAGTGAGTGTGCAAGTGCAGGGGAAGGAGGACATTGCAAGTAAACTAATTTCTTCATCAGTCCTGTGAATCCTAGGTGCTTGTTGTGAAGATGATCAGGAAGCGATGCCCTGCATAAGTGCCCTGTCTTTCAGCTGGTGTGAAGCCCAATTTAAAATAGCTTTACCGTGGCCTACTTCATTACAATTCACTGTCAAATGGCTAGTACCTCTTTTTTGGACATTAACTGCCATTGCCAATTGAAGTGGTGGACTGTACATGGGGCAGTGCAGGGAGCATTGCATTTCTAACTGCACATCTAAACAGGTACACGTCCACCACATTTAATAATAATAATCCTTACATTTGATATAGTGCCTTATCACGTCTTCGAGGCGTCTCAAAGCGCTTCACAGAATTTATTGTAAAGTGAATTGACTGTTATGTTTTGTGGGCGAAACACGGCAGCCAATTGCGCACATCAGTGTCCCATAAACAGCCGTGGATTAAGTGACTAATTTTTTTATTATTATTTATCGTCATTGTTAGCAATGCTGTCATTGCTGTCCAATGACTCTATAAGTAATTCCTATAAAAGGACAGTGCATGCCAAATGAGGCGCATTCCTGTTCTGTACACCTGTGTATCTGCGTGTGTAGAAATAAAACGGAGGTAACCATGAGATCAAGAAGATCAAAGGTTTGCCACAAGATTGACTGAGCAACACAGTCGTTGACATGCTGGTGACCCAGAATATGTCACACCTTCACGAAAAATACCCTGCCCCATAGCACCAGAATCAGATCACTGGGTTCCTGTGAGTTACAATAATAGTTGTTGTGACGGTTCTTTGTTAGTGACTTGAGTGATTGTTGATGAATCCCATTTTGAACAACCACATTTTAACCCCAGTGAAATCAAAAGCACAATATTGACAGCAGGTTTCAGAAATATTGAATCTCGCTTGTAACTGAAAGTGGGTCAGGCTCGCTCGCAGGAATGCTCATTGCTCCCGGATAAAATTACTTCAGACCGGAGTCCCAGGGGCTCCAGTGACATACATCCAATTACGTCAGGATTCAATATTCATGAATCCTTTGCAAATCCCAGTTATGAGTATTGTTCAGCACCTTATATCAGGAGATAAGGTGGATAGTTTGGGAGGTCTAATTTAGTTTTTTAATTTTAAGTCGTCTTTCTCTTTCCTCTTTTTNGGGTGCCCGGCCAACTGTGTAAAGCGCTTTGAAACATCTTCCCGACGGGAAAGGCGCTATCTAAATGTAAATAAGATTTCAAATGAATCAAACAGAAGGTCAAACCTATCCATACGGTGGAATGTATTAATTAGTGATTTTAATAGGATTCCTTAATAAGGAGTTAATTGGAGCCTCCTGCTGGTAACCTGAAGTATGTCATATGTCACCTTGATCCCTCCATATCTTTAAATCCCTTAAAACCCACCTTATTGACTATGCCTCTGGTCACCTTCTCTTTCCCTCGCCACTCCTTATTCTCCCTTGCTTGGCTGCTGACCCCTGTCATTGCTAAGTGATGTTCTCCAATGTGAAAGATGCTATATAAATGCAAGCAGATCACTTCAGAGCAGAGTTCCCACAGTTCAGAGTAATGGACAGTTTACTTATTAAAAAAAACTATCAGGAATCACTGCTTATTAGACCCCAGTTTGTATAATGTGTGTGTGTGTGGAGAGGAGAGGAGGGAAGTGTCCTCCTGTTTTTAATCCCAGAGTAAGACACAAAGTCAAGGGACCTGACATCATTTATAAACTGAGCAGATTTGCCCAGACAATCTACTTTGTGCAACAGCATAATAAAAACTAAAATGTGTATTTTTCAGGTGGTTGATGCTTTTTCCCCCAATAAAATCTAACCGCTAGCACCGAACAAGACCATTTGCCCAACTAATCCGTGCTGGTGTTTATATACTCCACATGATCCCCCACCCATCCTAATTTCCCCTCGCTTTCTATAGCTCTTCTCCCTGATGTATTCATTGAGTTTCCTTTTGCAGGCATTAATACATTAACACTTTCTGTTTTCATTCATGGCTTCTGGCAGTTGAGTTCCACATTCTCACCATCCTCTTTTTCTCTACGTCTGCTGTATTCTTGCTGAGTGTTTGAATCCAGCGTTTTGTTTCCTCTATAAAGTTGTAAGGGAATAAGGAAATAACCATCTGAGTAAGATTGTGTTACAGCTCCAGAATGGTTACATTAGTGGCTGTGCTTAGCATGATTTGTATATCTTTCGGCAGCATTAAGGCCATGACTCCAACAATACCTTCCAGCAACACTGCAGGTAAATGATGGGAATGTATATGTTTGTGAAAAAAAAGTTTAATAACTGCTGTTTTTTGTTTCTGAGGACGAGGGCATGTTTCATATCACTATTTCAGGATCTACATCTTTCTGCCTTTCAAAGTTTGAACCTTTGAACTGTTTTGTTCTTCGGACTTTTTGCTGTTTTGTAAAAATCATAAATTTATGCAACTTCCGATATTCGAAAATGGCAATAGCAAATAGCATATCAAATCCTATTTGTGAATATTGCAAAGTAATGCCATAGTTTAACACTTATAAGGTGAAGCAATGTGTTCATATGTAGCAAAAGTACTGAGTACAATGGTTTAAGATTTGCTGATGGTCTTAATCTATGAAGAGAATCCAGGTGGTGTATCCCAATATCCTTTTATATTTCTCCTTTTCAGATATTCACCTCTTAAAAGCTAATATGCATTATGTCTCAACCATGATTCCAGGTAGATCATACCATGTCTAATAACTCCCTCTGTGTAAAAATAATCTCTCAACCTCTCCCTTTCCTCTTTTGGTAATTACATTATACCTGTACCATTTAGTACAGCCAGCGCCTTGGGACGTCCTCCTGACGTGAAAGGCGCTTTATAAATGGAATCTTGTTGTTGTTGTAGTACAGATAAAGTGGAAATAATTTCTTCCTCTTTAGGCTATCAAAACCATTCATAATTTTAATCTTTCTCAAGTTTCCTCCCAACTTCCTCTTTTTTAGGTCTCTCAGCATATGTAAAACCATTCATTGCTGGCTTCACACCCCCAGTTCTGCGTGCCCCACTCTTCAGGCTTTCTGCCCCCACCCTCTGGAACTCCATTCCCTTCACCTCCTCCTTCCCTCGCCCCCTTTGGTCATCTTCCACCTCACCCCTCCTGAATCCAACTCCCAGCTGTTTCATTCATGGTATCATCCTTATGAATAGCACCCTCTCTGTATCCTTGACATCCTTCCCATAGTGGATACCCAAAATTGGACACAATGCTCCCAACTCCAGCATAACTAATGATTTACACAGGTTTAGCAGTATCAAGACCAATATTGTAATAGGAAGACATCTTAGGAAGAAGCATTGTAGTAATAATAATCCTTACATTTGATACAGCACCTATCACATCAAGAGGATTTTTCAAAGCAAGTCATGGAATATACTGTGAAATGTAGTGAGTATTTTGTAAGGTTCGTGCACAGCAATGTCCGACAAACAGCCATGAAGTGAATGATCAATTTTACATGGGGGATTGTTGGCCAGGAACTGGGAGAAACTCTTCTCTTTATAATCAGTGCCGTGGGATTTTAAATTTTCATCTGAATGGCACCTCCAACAATGAGGCAGCCCAGGGCACTGAACTGGCATGTCAGCCTGGACTATATGAATTCCACATCCCGACTGGGGTTGGGGGGTGGAGGGCGTGCGGGGTTAAACCTATAACTTTTTCACTCAGTTGTGAGAGTGGTACTAACTGAGCCAGGCTGACACATAATAATAATAATCCTTGCATTTGATATAGCGCCTTATCATGTCTTCGAGACGTCTCAAAGTGCTTCACAGAATATACTGTAAAGTGACTTGACTGTATATATTAAGGGCGAAATAAATATAAATGACATGTAGAGTAATTGAGAAAAGGTGCACAGACTAGTAAGTAGAGGTGTGTTAAACATACTATTCAGTGGTGTCTTCAGGGAATTCTCTGTGCTGGAATTTCAAACTATCACCAGAAGGAAAAAGGAGATATCTCAATGACTTGAAGAGGCATTGCATCAAAATCGAGGATTATTATTATATTATTTACACAAGAGAGTGATTATTAGAATGTGTAATACCTTAACAGAAATGGCTTGTGAAGTTGAGTCCATGGGAGCATTTAAAGGGAATACGGATAAATACTTGACGAAAAGTATTAAAAGGCACGTGGAAGGGGAATTTGGGTTGCAGTAGATACCTCCAGTGTGGTAGCTCACTCTAGTAGTTTGCTTCAGCTAGGGGTTGGTAGCATCAACACATATACAAAAGACTGCACAGCCTCTTTCTATGCTGAAAAATCTCCAGCATTGATAATAACAATTTGATATACCACCTTTCGCATCAAGAGGAAAAGTGTAATGATTGTGTATTTGTTGGCAAACGGGCTAGCCAATTTTTCCACACATGGTGTTCCATAAACAACTGTGAAGTGAATGACCAATTTTATTTGCGGAATTGTTGGACAAGTCAACAGGAAAAGCTCCCTTCTCTTTTCGAATAGCGCCATGAGATCTTTAACATCCACCTGCACAGGCAGTTGGGACCTTGGCTTACCATCGCACCAGAAGGATGCTTCCTAGTGATGGAGCCAGGTATTGCAGCAGGGAGGATAGACCATTAGTGGCATCACCTTCCCGTCGCTCTCTGCATTATATTTTGCAGACCCTTTAAACGCTGCCTCAAATCTCCTGCTCCGTCTCTCTTCCTGTTACTCTCAGCTCTGCCTTTTCTCTCATAATATGCTTGAAGGGACACCAAACATACACCTACAACAACAAAAACTTGCATTTATGTAGCACCTCTCATGCAGGGTAACGTCCGAGAGTGCTTTACAGTGGCGGAGCATGATACCGAGTTTGGGGTAGGGACAGGTTACCATAGGCACGGTCGAATAGGAAGGTCTTCAGGTGTGATCTGAAGATGGGAAGGAAGGGGCAAGGTAGAAGCATAGAGGAAGAGTGTTCCAGAGTTTCAGGGAGTAATGGCTGAAGGCGGGGCCACCAATAGTGGAACAGAGGGCATTAGTGTGAGTATTTGGAAATAGATCTGTTCGACAATAGCGAGCCAGTGATACTAACCTGGCTAGAGCCTGTGTGATGGGGGTGTGGAGTTTAGTACCTAAAGGCTGCCAGGGGGGCACTTACCCCCCCCCCCATATTACCTCCACCACTGATGCCACCTTGAACAATACAGCACATTGCTAGCACTGCATCGGCGTGTCAGTGTAGATAAGTTCAAAGTGCGGCTTGAACCCACAGCCTCGGACTCAGAGGTGAGAGTGTTACCAACTGAGCCAGGATGACACCTAGTTCCAAATATTGAGTGAAAAAATACATTATGTGGTGATGATTATCACTGGTGATAATGGTGACATTGTGGGACGTTCCACTCCTGGAGATGTTTAGCAATTGGGGCACAAGATATTTTGATCCCTATTAGTGAAAAGGATTCAGCAGTACTGCTGCTAAAGCTGCCACTGCCACAAGGTGGCGCTTAACCTAAACGTTTGTGGTTTCAGTACCCGCGAGAATAACAGTGAATGAACGATTCAGATGAATTCATTTTTAACATAGCTTTACACTTAACCATTAAAAATAAGTCTCTGTTTATTTTATCATAGACACGATGAACTGTCTCCAGTTTCAGTACCGTGCAATCTGGAAATAGTTTGACAAAGTTTAGTTGTTAATAATTGCTTCTGAGTCAGTAAGTTATAATAATAATAATCCTTTGATATAGTGCCTTATCACTTCTTTGAAACGTCTCAAAGTGCTTCACAGAATATTTTGTAAAGTGAATTGACTATATATTTGTGGGAAAAACACGGCAGCCAATTGCGCACAGCAGTGTCCCACAAACAGTGGTGGATTGAGTGACCAAATTATTATTATTTATTTTATTTTTTGAAAGAATTATTAGCCCTGAAAAGCGATCTGCCAATCGACTAACAACTGGGTTCCTACTTACTGTTAGGTGAACAAAGGCGTGTGGAGTAAGGAAACTTGGCCAATGTTTCGCCCTGCTGGGTATCGAACCCAGGTCCTCTCGCATGCGAGGCGAGTGCTCTGAACAGGTTGTGGGTTCAAGTCTATGCTGGTGCTCCAAAGCAGTACTGGGGATCACTGCAGTGTTCGAGGTTTCATCCTTCGGATAACACATTAAATTCCCTGTCTGCTTGTTGAGGTGGACATTGGAGATCTTGTGACACTATTTGAAAAGAGAAGGAAGTTTGTCCTGGCCTACAATCCCCCAAATAAAGTGGGTGATTAATTTCCTGTCTGTTTATGGGACATTGCTATGAGCAAATTGGCTGCCACATTTGCATACAACTACACTTTATAGTAAAATCCTCTGAAGAGCTTTGAGACGTCTTGATGGCATGATAAGGCGCTATATCAAATGCAACGGTCGTTATTTCATTAAAATTGGACTAAATCATTAAAAGTGCACTGAATTAGTAAACAAAATTCAGCCAATCAATGAATAGGCTCAGTAGCCACTTTCCCGTCACTCTAAAAAACAAAACAAAAAGTGCCAGAATTTTCTGTTCCGGTTCACAGAGCCAGTAAAATCTGCATTAATCTGCATACACGTCCACACCCAAAATTCAATAAGAACAATGTATACTTGAATATGATGCCTTCTGTGTAGGATGAATGTTTCAAAGTGCTTCACTGAGATGGGAATGACCAAGCAGGGAGGACAAGAAACGGAACTTGAGAGTAAGTTTTTAAGAAAACTTGGAACAAGAAAGGGCCATTCAAACTGATTCCTTACAAGGATGTCCTTGGGCTTTGCAACTGATCCTCCTCACAAGAAAGATTTTGCAAGATCCTCCCTGTCCCGAAGGCAAAATAAAGTGGAACTCCAGAATACCCATTGGTACAATTGATCCTTACTTCCTATATTGCATATCCATGAGTAGGTCCCACGGTTCAGGAATTTATTATGTTCCACCCAACATTTGATCATCTTTGTACTTATCATCCTACCTCTCTTTGCTCCTATCTCAAATTACAATCTCTTTTGAAGGATATTTTTGTTCAATTGAGAAATCGCTGTGAAAACACCAGCCCTATGTAATACACTGTAAATGTTGAAACGAATAATAGGTACCTGGCCATGTGATACTATTGTTATATCAGAGGTGTGGCAGTGAGTGTTGGCTTTATAAGTTGTAATAGCTGAGCCTGCAGTCTCCCCACCTGGCTGCTAAATGTTTTGCAATATGTATTGCTAATATTTAGCAAAACCTTTCCACATTCATTACATTTATGTTGTGAATTTTTTTCAAAATGTTCTTTTTCCTCTTTCCACACTGACAGAAACCCCTATTGCTCAGATCCTGTATCCTAACAATAACAGCATTGAGGCACAGCTCGGTAAGTGAAACTTGGTGAAAAAGTAAATATTATCTTCCTTTCCCTTTTCTGGTGCCAGCTTTTCGAATTATCCATTATCGCATTATACTTCTCTATTATCAGCTGTCAACCAGGATCAGACATTCCAATGCAATGCTGGGGTGCGATGTATTGTCAGAAGTACAATTGTTAAAACCCCACAAGTCAGAACTTGCAATCACATAGCCTAAGTTGACACTCCAATGCAGTGATGGGAGGGCGGGGGGTTTGCATTGTTGGAGGTGCCATACTTCGAATGAGACTGTATGTTCAGATGGATCACTCAAGCGCTTTGAGATGCTGCCCTGTGTGTAGGACGCTCTACACAACTGCATGTTGTTGTTGTTGACTTTAAAGACCTTGTGGTACTATCGGAAAAAAGTTTCTCCCTGTGTCCTAGCCAATATATCCCCCAAATAAAATTGGTCACTCACTCCATAGCTGTTTGTGAAACATTGCTATGCACACAAAATGCACAGAAAATCCACTTTACAGTATGTCCTGTGAAGCATTTTGAGATGTCTCAACTACGTGATAAGATCCTATATCAAACAAAAGGATTAGTATTATTATGACTGTTTGTGGGACATTGCTGTGCACAAATTGACTATTGTGTTCACCAACAAAATACAGAGTAACTCTACAGTAAATCCTGTGAAGTGCTTTGATTTGTTTCAACAATGCAATATATCAAATGCAAGGATTATTACTGAGCATATGAACATTATAGTGCATCCACCAACAAGAGACTGAGCAAAACAGACTTATGTTTCATTTTTCTTTTCTGTTAGAACAATTACTGACCTAGATGATTGTGTGTGGTTAAAAGGAATTTAGAGCAATTACTGACTTGATGATTGTGTCTGATAAAAAGAAATCAACATAGCGAGGTGAGATGACTGATAATATCCATTGACATTGGGTGTCTGCCAATGTTAATTTTGCTGAGTTTTCTCATGTGTCATACCCCCAGCTTCAAAAATGAGCTTCCTCACATTGTTGGCTCAATAACACCTTCAATCCAGTTCTGCGTAATTTGCTTTGAACTAACTTTTAAACAATTTGGAAAACACAGGAATGCACAATTCTTTCTGATTGATGCTTTGGATCAATAGATGAGGAGACTCTTGCATTGGGTAGCTTCTCAATGATTACATCAAATGCAAGTATTATTACTGAATGGATACTATGGACCATTAATATATCCAGTGTATTTTCTTTACACTTTTTAGTGTCTGATTATTTTGTTTTTTTTCTCCCATTGGCTGATTGTCTGATCCTGGCTCTCAGCCTCTTCATGCTGGGGTGTGGTTCCATGGACACTGGTTGCTCTCTGGTATCCTGGCCAGGGTGCTGTGAAGACCAGACTAATTTAGCCTCCCATTGCTCCCTGAGGTCAGCAAACTCAGCAAACCTAACTGGAATTCAAACCAGTCATCTTGTGGTCTGTGATCTACAAATGATGATTGTTTAATTTTTTTTGTATAAATTCTTCTCCCTCACTCCCCTTCACCCCTGAAGATGCAATCCTAATCCTTTTTCCTTCCACTGAAGTGTGGTTCCACAGACATCAGTTGCCCCCCTTGGTAATAATAATATAATAATAATCCTTGCATTTGATACAGCGCCTTATCACGTCATTGAAATGTCTCTAAGTGTTTCACAGGATTTACTCTAGATTGTGGCGACTGTGTATCTTGGTATCTTGCCAATGCAAACATTACGCATGTTTGATCCCTGGCAGTATCATGAACAAGCTGAAGAGATGTGGAAGGCTCCAGAGCCAAGATGAATTCTGTCTATGTGTACACGTCTGGGGACTTTGGATAACATGGGAAGCCTGGATGATATTTCCCTCCATGACCCAGGGCCTGACCTAATTATAATGTCCCCTAGTCACTGAGCTATATGGACAGCCTGTGATCTGGTTAGAATTCCTTCTCCATGCACACGTCGAGTCCTGTAGCTCAGTGGTTAGAGCACTCGCTTTGCAAGCGGGAGACCTGAGTTCAATTCCAGCAGGGCGAAACCTTGGGCCAGTTTCCTTACTCCACACGCCTAATAATAAACCCTCCAAAAAAAAAAACATAATAAATTGGTCATTTTCAATTTACGACTGTTTGTGGGACATTGCTGTGCGCAATTGGCTGCCGCGTTCGCCCACAAATATACAGTCAATTCACTTTACAGTGTGTTCTGTGAAGCGCTTTGGGACGTCCTCCCGACGTGAAAAGCGCTATATCAAATGCAAAAATGCAAGGATTATTTGTGACTGATTGTCAGGCAGTCAACCAGTACAGAACCCTCTGCAGCTTTTGACCTCGCCACTGAGAGGTCCATCCTCCGCACAGGATTCAAGCCACATAACTTGCCACACACAGAGTGAACAAGTTTAGGTGAAGCACTTTACCTGAGGAAAGAAGGAAAGGATGTCAGCCACTGAATTGCTCTTGGACATCTTATAATAATAATCCTTACGTTTGACATAGTGCCTTATCACGTCTTTGAGATGTCTCAAAGTGCTTCATGAAATATACTGCAAAGCAAATTAACTGTATATTTTGTGGGCAAAACCAACTCAGAGGATCTTAGCTGGATAAGCTGCACCACAATGCATTTCTTCAGAAAGAAATTGTCCCAACTGCCCAGCACCTTGGGACGTCCTCCCGACGTGAAAGACGCTCTATAAATGCAATCTTGTTGTTGTTGTTGTACTTAGCTGCCCTTTAAACCAAAAGAACAGTAATAGGGAATGTGGTCTCTATAATCAATTTTGTTTGTGATTTTAATTAACTGTTCAGACATTTAAGAATTATTAAAAAATATATTCAGCATCTGAATCATTCATCTGGAATCAAAAATGAGTAGAGAGCGGGCCACTGTTCTCATATCATTCAGTGGAAGTTTATAGCTTTATCCAACCCTGATCCTCAATCCAATCGTAAACATTTTTCCTTATAATTCTAAAAGCACCAATCCCTAAAACATTTATCCCTCCTGCTTTATTGTTACTTTGTTCTTGCTGGAATATTGTTGAACTCCGCAAGTGTTGACTTTTTACAGGCTCAAAATTGAATACCACTTGCAAAGTATGGACTGAATTTCATTCAACAATTGAAATATTGGTATATTGGCTGGCAAATGGCTCTTACATTGAAGACTACAGCAGAAGCAGCAGAGTTAGAGAAAGACAAACAATGTATGTATTCAACATTTTATTAAGAATTATAAATAATAAATAATAAATTACAGAGAAAGTATTTTAATAATGCTTTTGGAAATCTTTATTTGTACTATGTAGGTTGCAGCTCAGCACAGCAAATTCAAATCTGATCATATTTAGCTGCACAAATAATAATAATCCTTGCATTTGATACAGCACCTGATCACCTCTTTGAGATGTCTCAAAGCTCTTCACAGAATATACTGTAAAGTGAATCGACTGTATATCTTGTGGACGAACCGCAGCAGCCAATTGCGCACTGCAGTGTCCCACAAACAGTTGTGGATTGAGTAACCAATTTTTTTTTACACTTTGCCAGGTAAACAGGGACGCGTGAAGTAGGGAAACTTAACCTCACATTTTGCTCTGCCGGGAATTGAACCCAAGTCTCTCACTTATGAGGCGGGTGCTCTAACCACTGAGCTACAGGACTCTGAATAAGTAATTCTTGCAGAGACTTCATTGCTGTGTTTCTGAGTAATTCTGCATGGAGTTGCAGTCATTGGAAATGTATCTTTTGTCCATCTAACACAAGGCAGAAGAGTAATAATTAATACAGTCTTCTAGTCCCTGTGCCATGTAGAGTTATGGAAAGTAACCCATCACGTTCATTTAAAAAAAAGTTACTTGTGAATAACAGTTGAGGCATTTCAGATCCTTCAAATTCCTAGATTAGAGACCCAAATTTCTCACGACCTTGGTTTGAAGATCAAATGCTTTAAAATTTAAAATTGTCCAGAATTTTGTAACATTTCCATATTTAGTCTTAATTTGGAAGAAGGTTCCCCCATTTTTTTTTAGGAAAAGTGGAAAACTGATTTCAAAATTATTTCCCCCCCAAATTCTGCATGATCGTATATTTTAAAATAATCTGCCCCCCCCCACCCCATCGCCAACGTCTTGGGTTCTCAGTCAGCCATGTAAACAGCTTTGAGTTGTTCTCAGCCGTGAAAGGCACTATAAACTGTATTGCATAATCTAGGTAAACAGGATGCATCCCTTAAGGGAGAATACGCATTCCATTCCAGCAATCTATCCCTGGAAATTCCATGTGTAGGTGGGAAATCTCAGATTAATATCAGACACCCGGCTGACCAAAAAAAAATCACAATCTTAGGGCAAAGATCATGAGAAATTTTGAACATAAGATCCTTAAAGAGGTTTGGGTGAAAAGTTCCAAAGTGTTAATTCTTCCTATCCTGGGGGACTATAACTCACTGCTTTAACTCGTTTGTATCTTTTGTTTAATTTCTAGTGAAAAAAGAGGAATAAAAGGACATTACATTAAAGCTGAGCTGAGTTTCTCAGAAGTGACAAACGAGGATTTTAAAACAAGTTTTATATGCGTTGCTTTGAGTAGACAAACAGCTGAAACAAGATTTCTTCAAATAAGACCGGCAGGTATATACTTTCTATACAGTATAAGTATTAAGATGAAATGAGTGGATTTTAATCTAAATCAGTGGTGGCCAACCTTTATGGTGAGCCAACAAAACACATTTTTTGATTGAATATTTCTTGATTTATGTCATAAATCACAAAATATTCAATCAAGAAAAAAAATGAATGCACACCACCAATTGAACATGGACTTACCTAGATTTGTACGAACGTTCAAGAGGGCTGTTTCTTAATGCCCCGTGGACCACTTTCAGCCCACGGGCCAAAGCTTGATCAATCAAATGAGCCATTCCATGATAATTCTATAGTTGGGAGAGGGGAAGAGAAAATAAATCAAATGGTGATCCTGTAAATGATCGCAATAAGATTGAAAAATGTACAGGACTATTAAGCTTGGAATGAGAAAAGGTTATTCTGCCACTCCATGCACAGACACACACACACACGTTTTCTTGATTGGACTGGGGGAAAGCTCTTACCAGTTATTTGCTCACCCCCAAAGGTTATTAAGCTAAAGCAGCAGAAAGTTCATATATCCCAAAATTGCCACTATTCAAACCCGGCATTCTTAAAATTCCCAGTATCTTAATAATAATAATAATAATCCTTGCATTTAATATAGAGCCTTATCACGTCTTCAAAATGTCTCAAAGCCCTTCACAGAATATACTGTAATGTGAATTGATTGTATTTTGTGGGCAAAACACGACAGCCAATTGTGCACAGCAGTGTCCCACAAACAGTGTGGATTGAGCGACCAAATTATTTTTATTTATTTTGAAGGAATTAATACTCCTGGAAAAGCAATCCATCAATCGCCTAACAGCTGGGATCCTACTTACCACTAAGTAAACAGAGGCGTATGTGTAGAGTAAAGAAACTTGCCCAGAGTTTCGTCCTGCCGGGAATCGAACGCAGGTGTCTCGCTTGCGAGGCGAGTGCTCTAACCACTGAGCTACAGGACTCCACATCTGTCCTGAAATTGCCCTTAATAACTCTAAACATATATCCTCTTGTTCTACTGTCTTGGTGCATCCTAAAGTATCCGTTGAGGTTTACTTTTTCAATCCCATTGAAAATGTTATGCACCTATTTGGAGTCCCCCCTGAGTCATCTTCATTTAAGACTGAAGAGCCTTCGCTTGTCTAATTATTGCTCGTAACCTGGGCCAATAGAAAAGTGTGGTAGCACTTTTTCCACAGAACCCATCACAAATGCCTCCTCTGCTACAAATGCCTTCCTCCGCTACAAATCTGCAAAAAAGGTAGTTTCTGGCGCGCAGGCTTCTTGCTGTTTACCTGTGTTTGCGAGTGTGTGCTCTCTCTATATGTTTGTGAGTGTGTGTGTCTTTCTCTCTGTGTTTTTAAGTGTGTGTGTGTGTTTGTCTGTGTTTGTGAGTGTGTTTGTCTCTCTTTGTGTTTGTGAGTGTGTGTCTCTCTATGTGTTTGTGAGTGTGTGTGTGTCTCCTCTATATGTGTGTCTGTTTGTGAGTGACTATGTGTCTCTCTCCTCTGTACGTATGTGATTGTGTGTGTCTCTTCTCTATCCGTGGGTGTTTATGAGTGTCTCTGTGTGAACGTGTAAGTGTGTCTCTCTCTCCTCTGTGTGTGTTTCTCTGTGTGTGCGTGTGTGTGCCTCTTAGTGTGTGTGTGTTTATCTCTGTAGCTCTGTGTGTGTTTCTCTCACTGTGTCTGAATGTGTATCTCTCCCTCTGTTAATGTGTGTGTATCCTCTCTCTGTGTCTCTGTGTGTTTGTCTCTCTCTCTCTCTCTCTCTGTGTCTCGTTCTGTGTATGTGTGTGTGTGTGTGTGTCTCTCGCTGTGTGTGTGTGTCTCTGTGTGTGTGTCTCTCTCTCTCTCTGTGTCTCGTTCTGTGTGTGTGTGTGTCTCTCTATGTGTGTATGTATGTGTGTGTGTGTGTCTCTCGCTGTGTGTGTGTCTCTCTTTCTCTGTGTGTGTGTGTCTCTCTGTGTGTATGTGTCTCTGTGTGTGTCTCTCTGTGTCTGTCTGTGTGTGTGTCTCTGTGAATGTGTGTATGTGTCTCTCTCTGTGAATGTGTGTGTGTGTGAGTGTCTTTCTGTGTCTGTGTTTATGTGTTTGGTGCTGGGCCCTGAGAGGTAGGGGTAGGACGAGTTGAGCACCCGTAGCCTTGGAAGTTCCCCCACCACCCCCAAAAAAAGGGCCACGCAGTTTTTGTTAAAGAAGGAATTAATAGTTTTTATGCAACAACCTAATGTGTGTTATTTCCTTATCAATAAAGTGCCAGATGTAGGTTGGCAGTAGAATAATAATAATAATAATAATAATCCTTGCATTTGATATAGTGCTTTTCACATCGGGAGGACGTCCCAAAGCGCTGCACAGAACACACTGTAAAGTGAATTGACTGTATAATTGTGGGTGAACACGGCAGCCAATTGCACACAGCAATGTCCCACAAACAGTCGTAGATTGAAAATGACCAATTGTTATTATTGTTTTGGGTTTTGGAGGGATTATTATTAGACGCGTGGAGTAAGGAAACTAGCCCAAGGTTTCGCCCTGCCTGGAATTGAACTCAGGTCTCTCGCTTGCAAAGCGAGTGGTCTAACCACTGAGCTACAGGACTCCAGTCCACAAAAAATGTATAGTCCACAAAAAATAATCAATTCACTTTTCAGTATATTCTGTGAAGCGCTTTGAGAAGTCTCGAAGACATGATAAGGTGCTATATCAAATACAAGGATTATTATTATGATTTACCTCAATAGCACCATAAACCCCGCAATTCTCTGCAAGATTTACAAATCCCCCTGTAGGTTTTGGCAAATATTTCCATACGTTTCTATCGTCCAGCTCATAACTCATTCCTCTAACATTAGGGATCATCCTTATTACTCTCATCTTCACTGCCTCCAAGACCTCCCTTATGTTGCAGTGCAGTGTTCTAAAGTACTATAAGAACGGTAACTCGTGCAATTTAGCAGTTTCTGAAGCTGCTTAAATTATTGCAAAATAGAGTTTGCTATTTCCTTTACTACTGTACATTACCAAATGTCAGTGGCAGTAAACGCATTCAACCGGTTTCAACAAGATTCTAATTTCTAATCAATAAGTTGACTTTAAGTTTAAACGCATGCGATCAGATGAGAGTGAAACAAAGATTTTACATGAGGAGCGAATTTATTTGAAAAGAGAGGAGTTTTCCCTGGTGTCCTAACCAACAATGGACCAAATAAAATTGGTCCTTCACTTGTACAATGATCGTCCGTTGTAGCTGGAAATCTGACGTGAACAGATATACATATATCCAAAAACCGTAACATGAAGGTATTGCATTATGGGATGATGACATAAACGTATACTATGTGGTGTAATGTTCTCTCTGAATTCAGGCTAGTGGGCAAACTGGAGTAAACATTTTCTCAACCACTATTATGCAAATAATACCCATGGACGTGACAAAATGAAGAACAAAATCATCTGTTGTTGCTCATTTCCCGGCATCCACTGACTTCCATTTAGGTTGCGTGTGATCAGGGAAAATTTGTGTGTAGGTGGGGGCTGAGGGTGGGTGGTGAGGTGCTGTCCCTGTAATTAGATTGGGTTCTTGTCTGTCTGATCGGGTAGATTTTAAAGAAACCACAGCACTATTTGAAAAGAAAAGTGTTCTTGCTAACAATCCCCCAAATACAATTGGTTATTCATTTCATGGCTGTGGATAGTGTTGTGTGCAAGTTGGCAGCCGTATTTGTGTACAAATACAGTCACTCCACTTCACATTAGAACCCGTGGGTGCTTTGAGACGTAATCCCGACATGAAAGGCGCTGTATCAGTTGCAAGGATATTTATTACTGTCACTTTCTCAGGTTAATCAATCATTTGGCTTGGTGCCAGCCTGACTGAGTCTCCACGAGGTCTTCCCTTTGTCCTGTCTAAGATAGGAGATTGATCAGTTTAGGGCTGTATCTGGTGCTTGTTATTTTGTTATGTGGGTTCATTAGTATATTCTTTTTAAGTGACTGGTTATTTCTTATCAGTATCCCGGGATGGTACCAAGGTCCTCTAGTTTAAACAACTTGCTCATTAGTTGCTATTCTTGAGGGTTGCCTTTTGTCGCTTGGCAGACCCTGTCAGAATCTAGCGACTTATTACTAAGTCGAGATCCTGTGTCGACCATTACCTTGGACCGTTACCTCTGTGGTTATTTACTGATAGGTGGTGACCCGATGCCCTTTTCCAAAGCTGTCTTGTTATTCTTTCAGAAACAGAGAAAACCAGATGTGTCCTATCCCATGACTGTCAGTACTTTCTCCATTCTACATTTGTTTAATGTTCATTATTATTAGACTACAACTTCTATAATCTAACACTATTAAAAAAAAAATTTAAGTTCCTACCCTATCACGATTTGCTAGGTAAACAGAGGCTTTGGAGAAAAGAAACTTGCCTAAAGTTTCGCCCTTCCAAATCACAAAATCACATCTGAGTTCAGCCCATCTGATCTCATCTGTCTAGAACACCCACCCTACCATTCCTCCATCACTGTATCAAGCTGCCATGTCTTGCCCTTACGTGTCCAATGACCGTGGTTTCTGGAGGAATCTTTTATGTTGTACTTTGCCAAAAGTCTTATAGAAGAGGAGAGATGAAGAATCTTCACTTCCACATTCTCTAGAATATAGAAGAATTAGAGGTGATCTTATAGAAACCTATAAGATTCTTAAGCGTCTTGACAGGGTAGATAGTGTGAGACTGTTTCTCCTGGTTGGAGAATCTAAAACTAGGGGTCATAGTCTAGTTGAGAAAACATTTTTTCACTCAGAGGGTAATGAATTTATGGAATTCTCCACCCCAGAAGGCTGTGGATGCTCAGTCATTGGACATATTCAAGACTGAGATCGATAATTTTTTAAAAACTAAAGGGATTAAGGGATATGGGTTTAGGGTGGGTAAGTGGAATTAGGTTAGAAGATCAGCCATGATCTTACTAAATGGCGGGGCAGGCTCGAGGGGCCAAATGGCCTACTCCTGCTCCTATCTTTTATGTTCTTATGTTCCCATTTACTACAGATCACACAGTGCAAGGTTGGTTTTGACTGAGCTGTTCCTGGTAAATTTAAATTTGTCCATTGCTACTGGAATTTGTAGCCAATGCAAAAATAAGCTACTGTACAGTATTCTTTAAACAAAGCTATTTTAGCTACGGTTTGACAGGGAAGCCGAATACATTTTCTTACAAAAGTAGCAACTTGCATTTGTAGAGCGTGCTTCATGAAGGATGATGTATTGGAACACTTCATAGGAATAGGATAAGATGACCAGCAAGGAAAGAAGGGGGAAAGTGGATATGACCATAGGCATGGTCAGAAAGATAGAAACAACAACTTGCGCCCTTCACGAGGGGTAGTGTTCCGGTGCTCTTGACAGTGATGGAGTCTGACCCCGAGCCAGGGGGAGAAGGAGGGGGAGGTGACCATAAGCACGATCAAAATAGAAGATCTTTAGATGGAATTTGACAGTGGGGAGGGAGGGGGCAAGGAGGAGCGAATGAGGGAGAGAGTTCCAGAATTTTGGGGCACAGTGGCTGAAGGCACAGACACTGATGCTGGAGCGGAGGGGACGAGGGACAAACAGGAGGCCGGAGCCAGCCAAGCGAAGCAGTGAGCGGTGGAATGGAGGGTAGCAGATCAGATAGGTAGGGAGGTGTGAGGGCATGAAGGGATTTGAAAACGAGTGAGAGGATCTTGAAATTGATCAAATCAGTGATTGGGAGCCTGGCAAAGACTGGTGTGATGGGGGTAAGGAGTTTTTTGCAGGTGAGTATCCAGGCTGCAGAGTTTTGGATTCACTGAATCTTGTGTAATGTAGAGCTGGGGAGACTAGCAAGGAGGACATTGGAATAGTCCAGCCAGGAAGTGACAAAGATGTGGACGAAGGTTTCGGCTGTGTTGGTTGTGAGGTACGGACGGAGGTGGGCAAGATATGTTTTTACGTGAGATAATACGAAGATGTTAAAGCTTATGAACAACATAACGTTTGATTATTCTGATCTATAGACTATTTCATGATAGTAACGTGATTTCATTTTTTTTCCTGTAGTCTCCAATATTGCACTGAACATTGTGGTTACACTTGCTGTGCTTTCCTGCGCCATTCTGGCATTCCTGCACCTGTTCAAGTCTTTAAAGAGAAAGAATTATCTTGACTTCTGATAATTTAACATAAAGGAAAACTACAGGTAATCTGTTTATCTTGATGCTTTTTCCAACGTCTCGGCTGAGATCAGGAGCTTTCCATGTGGGAATTCTGAATGTCAGACTGTGGCCTACCATTGACCTGAATTGCAGGTTTGATTTAATTAGGGGTACAATCTGTGATTTTGTCAAAATTACATTGTATTTAATGATTTTACTATTGTTTAAGCAACAGGAAATTCTACAAATGACTAATGTACATAATGCTCTGAGGTACTACCCTGTGTTAAAAAACCTGCCCTCGCCCCCTCCAACCTCACAAATTTCCAATATTATTATTATCTCTCCGTGACCCTGGCTCCCTCTGCCTCCTTGTTCGCCTGGACCTCTCTGCTGCGTTCGACACAGTCGATCACCCCATCCTCTTCCCTCATCTACTTTAGTGGGATCGCATTCGCATGGTTTGAGTCTTACTCAACAAACTGGCAACAATATAATAATAATAATCCTTGCATTTGATATAGCGCTTTTCACGTCTTCTAGATGTCTCAAAGCGCTTCACAGAATATGCTGTAAAGTGAATTGACCGTATATTTGTGGGCGATACATCTCGGCAAATGGGTTTTCCTCCTGAACCTGCCTAGTCACCTGCAGGGTACCCCAAGACTCCATCCTTGGCCTCCTTCATTTCCTTATCTACATGTTCCCTCTCAGCGATGTCATCCGCAGACTTGGCGTCAACTTCTACGTGTATGCGGATAACACCTAAATCTACTTCTCCCCCTCTAGCTGTGACTCCCAGTCCATTGATGTCCTGTCAGCTTTTTGACAGATATCAAGGCTGGGTGGGTGCAAATTTTCTGCAGCTGAAAGCTGGCAAGGCGGAAGCCATACTCTTTGGCTCCTGTCAGTGTCTTCTCTCCTGCGGGTTTGAACTCCTCAACCGCCCCTGGCTCTCCCTCAGACTCACTGAAGCCATGCACAACTTAAGCGTCAGGCTTAATCCCCAGCTTTCCTTTCTACCAAACATCCGTTCCTGTTAATTGCAACATAAGCAATCTGAATTTGACAGCTAATATGTTGTTAGATTCAGCTAAAAGTAATATATGCAAAACCAACATATTCATGAATATGAAGTCTGAAGTCTATTATGTTTTGACTCAATTGGCTATTGTAAATGGGTATTCAGCATATAAATACCTAAACAATGATGACTATGTAGCAATAATAATAATAATAATCCTTGCATTTGATATAGCGCTTTTCACGTCGGGAGGACGTCCCAAAGCGCTTCACAGAACACACTGTAAAGTGAATTGACTGTATATTTGTGGGCGAACGCGGCAGCTAATTGCGCACAGCAATGTCCCACAAACAGTCGTAGATTGAAAATGACCAATTTATTATTGTTTTTTTTGTCTTGGAGGGATTATTATTAGGCGTGTGGAGTAAGGAAACTTGCCCAAGGTTTTGCCCTGCCTGGAATTGAACTCAGGTCTCTCGCTTGCAAAGCAAGTGCTCTAACCACTGAGCTACAGGACTCAGTGTACTGGAAGTCCCCTGCCATTTTGACTGTCTGGAAAGGCATTTGTTATCAGTCTCTTGATGATTTGGCTTTTCAGAAACAAATATATGTCTGGAAAACTTAACCTCAAATTGGTGTTTGGTGTGGGTTCTGATTCTTGCATATTTTAGTACATCTGATACGATGAATGCTGAGCATTCTGCTGTACTGAAAGCAAAGTAAAGGATGATTCCAGTCTACAAGTTTTAATGAGAGGTTTCCAGAACTAAGTCAACTTTCATTAGGCAAAGCAGCCTCAAGAAGGGACATGCTCAATATCTTCAAGATGCTAAGCAGACATGGTTACAGTAGACGCAAAGTAGGCTACATAACTGAAATGTGATTACATAAAATTGTAAACCTCAGTTGACACAAACTAATAAAGGTTTTTTTTCCCTACAGAGTAATATGCACATTTAATCTTTACAAAACTGTTTGCTGTATATAAAATGATATAGAGTATGTCTTATGTAGACATTTATGCCTGGTTCATATTGTACTACTGGAAGTGATTTATTTTTATTGCTTCCACAAGATTACACGATGGCTTTGGATGAAGAAAGGACTTGGGCCCATTTCAGTTCATTGTTCCAGAATACCCATCCCACTATTTTCCCATCATGTAATTTCACTATTTTTAAATGAGTCCGTTGTCTTTGCTTCAACTGCATTTCCTGGCAGTTTCTTTCAGCGTTAATTACACTCTGGATAAAGAAACGCTTCCCAGTGTCTGTCCTTAAATTGTCCTTTGCAACACAAACCTATGTCCTCTTGTTCTGCTGTCCTACTACATCCTAAAAAAAATATTCTGGGTGAGCACTTCAACAATGGGGAGTCTAATAATTTTCCAGCATCATTCATTGTTATCAGGGTAAGAAGGAATTTTGCACAAATAGTTGGCTAACCAGCTCTGATCATTGGTCAGAGTTTAATGTTGAAAGGCTAGGAGTATGATTTTCTTTTATAATATTCAAAATGTTTTTCGAAAGTGTTGGTCAAAAATGTCGACCAATCTATTCTTCTCCAATGTTCATGGTTGTGTCCTTTCCTGGTTTTATTTTTGCCTATCCCAACTTTGTATCTGCCAACGGCTTCTCCTGCCGCTCCCGTACAGTCATATGGTGTTCCTCAGGACTCTATCCTGTCCTCTCCTTTTTAATATCTGCCCTTTAAACCCCACATCTGTGACCTGACATGTTCAGCTTTCCCCCATTTCCATACCATTGCCTGCCTCCACTACTACCTCTCTTCTCAGGCTGCTGAGACTCTTATCCATGTTTACGTCACATCCAGGCTCGACTATGCTAACTCCCTGCTCACTGGACTTTCCAACTCTTCCCTCCAGAAGCTTCAGGCCATTCAAAACTCTGCAGCTCATTTACTCTCCCACACTCAGCTCCATGAGCAGATCACCCCCATCCTTGTCCAGTTTCACTGGCTCCCCATTCCCCAGAGGATTGAGTTCAAGATCCTTGTCCTCACTTATAAAGTCCTCCATAATTTTGCCCCTAATTACCTTTGTGGCCTTTTTAAACCCTACGAACCTGCTTGCTTAACGTTCGCTGCCCTGCCCGCCCCACCTCCCATTGGCAGTCGAGCCTTCAGCCATTTTGCCCCTCCCTGTGGAACGCCATCCTGGAGTCCCTCCTCCTCGCCCCTTCCCTCGCCTCCTTCAAGCTCTGTCTCAAGACCTTCCTCTTTGACCGCACTTTCAGTCATCTTCCCATCCTGAACCCCTGAATGCAACCCCCAAATCGGGTGCAAAGCCTCAACTGTCCAGCGACTTTGAACATCCTCCTGATGTGAAAGGTGGTGCATAAATGCAATTTGTTGTTGTTTGTTGTTGTCAAATAATAATAGTAATCATTGCATCTTATCATGTCATTGAGTCTTCTCAAAGCATTTCATAGAATATATTGTAAAGTGACTGTATTTTGTGGGTGAAATGCAGTAGCCAATTGCGCACAGCAGTGTCCCACAAACAGTCGTGGATTGAGGGAAAGCGATTCGCCAATCAACTAACAACCGGTTCCTACTCACTGCTTACTGTTTACTTACTAAGACAAATAGTATACAGACATCCTGGACTGAAAATAAAAATTATGCCCTCGCTCTGATTGCTATCAAGTGAGCTTAAAAATTAATAATAAGCAATCTAATGTTTTCTCAACAACAAGGCTCCAATGTTCCTCAACCCTAAGGTATACTGTTTTTTCATGGCAAAGTTGTACAGTTTTCAAGCTGACTTACTACAAAACATAGTGTAACACTAGGCATTAATTTTGATCGCTTTCACTTACTGAAAAGTTCACTTAAAACCACAATACAATTCTTACATATTTTGCTGATCTTCTCATTATATGGTTGCTATCAAGGTTTAATCAGAACATCTCAAAACCACTTCCTTTTTAATTTATTGTAAATTTGTAAATTGTTCCCTTACTGCATTGACCTTTTATAAGTCAATGAGAGTTTCAGAGTTGGATATCTGCATCGTTAACCTGTGCGTTGATTATCAACTGCCACTAGCTGTCAATTGGGGAAGAATAAAGTCTCTAATGTGATAACATTTGATTTGTTTCTCTTGTGTGCAAATTGGCTGCTGTATTTGCCTATAAATATACAATTACTATATTTAACAGTGATTACTGCAAATTGCTTTGAGGCACTTCTATGCATGTATAGTGACTAGCAGCAGCCTTAAATTAGTCTTGTTTCATTTTTCTCCTTTCCACAAGCAGCATTTCCCTCTTAGAATATATGGCTTAGCTGTGGTGCTCCTGCAATTGAATGCTGCAAGCAGTCACAGGAGGAGACGCACAGCTGAAATAACTATTTGCATAAGATTGTGAAGAAATGTACCCTGGTTTTCAACTATGGAACAATCACAGCCGAGCCCAAACCTGGACTCACCTAGAGCTCACTTACATGCATTTTCAATGGGGATTCATGGACAATGATCAGGAATGGGGCATGTGGTCTTGATTTTTTCCCTTCGTCTCCGCATTGTAGATTGAGGAAGCAGTGTCCTCAGCTTTTCCGAGATGTTGACTCGTGTGAAGCGTGCTATGTAAATGCATGTTGTTGTTGTAGAGTCTCATAAAAGGCAATTCATTATTGATTGGAATACTGTAAACATAATCCTTGCATTTTTGATATAGCGCCATACAAGACAGTAGTGAAAACCTAGGGCTGATTTTGCAAAAACATACATCAATCGATACTTACAAAGCACCTCATGTGTTTGATCCTCACCAGCAAGCAACACTGGAAACAGAAACAAGATTTTTGCCCTTTCTGCTGTTTCAGTGTTTGAATGGCATGCCTACATGGCAGAAACATCCCCAGCTAACTGCAACATAGCAACATGGTGGGAGCTCAACCTGAGCCAAGAGTGAAACTTGCTGCAATTGCACAATGGTACAATTAGGCTACCAGTGAGCACTGTTGATGTAGAAAGGTCATTTTCTCTTTGTTCAGGCCTCTTGAAAGACAATAGACAAACCCCAACAGAAGACCATGTGAAAATTCTTCTCATGTTAAAATATAACAAGCACAAAAATTTTGGCTGAAACTTATTTGTTTGCTTTTGTGAAAATTTGATTTGGAATCTTTTGGTTTCTCTGCAAATTCTTTTGAAACTGCACTTTTTCACCTTTTGAAAGGGGTTATGTTCCGTTTTTGTTACAAAAGTACTATTATTGTAAACCTCACTTTTTTAGTGGTCAGCTGGGTGTCGTACACATTCGGAAACCCATCATCATGCTTCAGAGTATCTAAACCAGCTGAGATAGATTGTTCAAATGGATTGTGCACCCTTTCCCTGGAAGGACACATCCTGTTTACCTAATTCTGGAAAGTATTAGGTGCAGGTTGGTAAGAGGCAAGGCTTGGGGACCCTACAATGTATGTTGAGGTACTGTTGGAGTCTAACCAACAAAAACCACGTAGCTTGCAATTAATCTCACTGTCTGGTAAGTTTTCCCACTGCTTGCCCAGTTTTCAGGATTAACAGGAGCTGAGTAGGATGACTCCCTGCCCCCAGTGACTAGCCTGCCCTTCCAGGTCCTGCCAAGGAGCCAGGCTGGATGTGCTGTCATCAGCAGTGCCCTGGAATACTGCGGACCCGCCTGGCTCAGGAACCTCACATAAGTCTTATCAGTTGGCAGCACGCATTTAATGTGACTTATGCAAAGTATAAGTTATGTCAAACTTGCAAAAAATGTAAGCTCTTGAATGGGACTTGGGCAGATGTACAACTTGGGCAATTATACAATTTATACAGATCAGACTTATGCAAGTTTTATTGTACATTGTTTTTTCCAGCAATCTATGATGTGTTATTTCTTCACGTTTAGTTTTTATCAATATAGTGAAAAATGTAGGCTAGCAACTAAAGACGCCTCTCAATAGCACCAATCAACCACCCACAATTTCCTGCAAAATTTATCAAATTTCCCAGCAATTTTTGGCAAATATTTCTGCAATTTTCAAACAGAACATTGGTGGACTACATCAAAACTTCTGAGAGATATGGAAAGTTCATCCATCAGTTTTTGGCAGAATAATTCAGAATCTAGATCTTGTTTCAAAACAATCAAAGAAAACCACTAATAGATCTATCAGTTTTGATATATGGTTTGATAATATTTGCACAGAAAGTGTCATGACATTTCTGGGTGGAAATATGTGTCACAAAATTGTGCAGAAAAACACCCAATGCAGAGTTCATGGGATGAATGCAATAATTTGTTCCTGTCTGTAACAATCTGATTCTTGGATCGAGCAAAGGAACAAACTGACCTTTAGATGAAAGAACCAGAATCTCTTACAATTTATCAACACATGGGGAAAATCTTGGTGCTGCTTTGTGTGACTGTATTAAATACTTGTGTCATAAAAAAAATTGTGTTTCTTGGTAAAACGTATTCATTTTTGCAGTTAAATTAATGACAAGCTCAGTTCCAACTTCAAATGATCTATTACAACAACAACAACAACAAGATTCCATTTATAAAGCGCCTTTCACGTCAGGAGGACGTCCCAAGGCGCTGCAGAGTTGGGTCATGACCCGAGCAGGGGGGAAATGGTCAGGGTGAGGGGAGGGAAGGGAGGGAGCGAGGAGGGGGGAAATGGTCAGGGTGAGGGGAGGGAAGGGAGGGAGCGAGGAAGGGGGAATGGTCAGGGTGAGGGGAGGGAAGGGAGGGAGTGAGGAGGGGGAAGAGAGTCGAGAGGGGAGCTGAAGGCTCGGTCAAAGAGAAAGGTTTTGAGACCGGCCTTGAAGGAGGAAAGGGAGGAAGCGGCGAAGGCACTGGGGGATGGAGTTCCAGAGCCTGGGGGCTGAGAGGCTGAAGGCCCGACCACCGATGGTAGGGCGGTTGGGGCGGGGGACGTGGAGCAGACCGGAGCCAGAGGAACGGAGGGTACGGGCGGGTAGGTAGGGGGATAGTTGGTCGGAGAGGTAGGAGGGAGCAAGGCCGTGAGTGGGGGAGGGTGGGGAGGGGGGGTGGTGGTGGGTGGGGTGGGGAGGGGTGGTGGTGGGGGGGGTGGTGGTGGGGAGGGTCGGGGAGGGGGGGTGGTGGGGGGGGGTGATGGTGGTGGTGGTGGAGGGGGGGGGTGGGGAGGGTGGTGTGGGGGGAGGGTCGGGGAGGGGTGGTGGAGGGGGGGGGTGGGAGGGGGTGGTGGTGGGGTGGGGGGGGGCGGTGGAGGGGGTGGGGATCGATAGCTTGGATCAATGTGGAGTGGAAATAATGAGCGGTAGAGTGGATCAGGATATATTTTAGATCAGATAGCTAGTTTCTTTATTCTGTGAATTCCTGAGTAATTTATGAATGTTGAGTAGTGAATAAGAAAAACTGAAGGATTGTTACAGCTTTACACAGAGCGTTACAACACAAAAACATACCATTCAGCAAAATAGTCCCTGCCATTGCTTAGGATCAGTGTGAGCCTCCACTCCAGGACCTCAAGAGAAAATGTGCTTCTATTTTCAAATAATTCCATGGGATCCTTAATATACACTGAGAAATGAACAGATGGGACTTTTATTTTGCCCTTCTTCCAAAAAATGGCACTTTTGGTAATGCAATGATTGTACTTCAGTAGTACCCTAGAGCAGGAGGGTGCGGCGAAAGGAGGAAACCAGAGTGGGAGATCTTCAGTCAGGATCCCAATGTCCTTCAAGCCTTAAAACCTAACCATTGGGGCTTTGAGATCAGAAAGTGTGGGACTTGAACCTACAGTCTTCCAACTGAGAAGCAAGAGTGCTGCAAAATGAGCTAGGATGAGACTTGGAATAACCGTAACATGCATATTTTACTTGTGGCATGATGTTTTGTGCAATTTAATGTTTGTTTTGTGAGTGTTTTGGTTTTCCTTTCCAGAAATCCTGTGTACTTCTAAGAACTGCACTCCATGTCACTGACTCACTTCCATACTAACACGGAACAACTTAGGGAAATTATAATCAGTAAAGAATTAGTACTAGGGAAACTGTTGGGATTGAAAAATTACAAATCCCCTGGACTTGATGGCCTGCATCCTAGGATATTAAAAGAGGTGACTGCTGAGATAGTGTATGCCTTGTTTTTGATCTTCCAAAATTCTCTGGATTCTGGAATGGTTCCCATTGATGGAAGATCGCAAACATAACACTACTATGTAAGAGGGGTGGGAGAGAGAAGATGGGGAACTATAGACCAGCCAAGAGGTGACAAAGGCATGGACAAGAGTTTCGGCAGCTTGTGGGGTGAGGTATTGTTGGAGACGGGCAATGTGGCGGAGATGGCTTCCATCTTGTTGATGTTTAACTGCAAGAAATTTGTGCTTATCCAGGTCTTGATATCTGTCAGACAAGCTGACAGAACATCAGGGAACTGGGGGTTGCAGCTGGAGGAGGAGAAGTAGAGTTGAGTGTCATCCACATACATGTAGAAGTTAACCTCATGTCTGTGGATGACATTACCGAGAGGGAGCATATAGAGGAAGAGGAGGGGGCCAAGGATGGAGCCTTGGGGTACCCTGCAGGTGACTGGGTAAGGGCGAGAAGAAAAACATTTGCAGAAATGTTGTGCTGGCTGTTTGTAAGGTAGGACTCCAACCAAGCGAGTGCGGTCCTACTGAGGTGGATGATGGAGGAGAGGTGGTGGAGGAGGATGAAGTGGTCGACTGTTAAAAGAGGCGGAGAGGTCTAGGAGGATGAGGAGGAAGAGGGAGCCCTGGTTGCAGATAGAGAGGCCCCTTGTAGCGCCCTTCGTGCAGGGTAGCATCTTGGAAGACTTGGAGCTTACCACTGAACATGCAGACGGAGTTCAGTGTAACATTTTCTAAGTTTTTCCTTCCCTTAAAGTCCCTGCCCAAGTCAAGGCTATTAAACAAGTCCTTAGGCAAACACTTGTCACCTCTGCTTCATTCCAGTCTTCCTTAGAACCAGCAGTCTGGGCTCATCAAATAGGAATTTCAAGAGAGAAGTGGGTAGATATTTGGGGAGGTCAAGTTTGCAGGACTATGGGGAGACCGTGAGGGAAGGCAATGATTTGGGTAGCTTTTCAAAGAGCAGGCACTGACATGATGGGCCAAATGGCCTCCTTCTGTGC